AAGGACGCCCGCGCCTCTCTCTGGCTCACTAAGGTTCGACGCCGCGCTAGCAAATCGCCCACCACTCTCCCCTACCCCTCGAGACCCCATCCCCCCTAGCACGGCATGTCGCCCAACAACCAAGTGGTCGCGGACATCCGGGGCAAGATCGAGCGTGAACACAAGTTGATCCAGGGGTTTCAGGCGCTCAAGAAGAAGACGCAAAACCCGGAAGTGATCCAAAAGTGCAACAACCAGATCCGCGACACTCAGGCCAATATCGACTTTTTGCAGCAGACGTTGGACAAGTTACAGTTTCAGCAGCAGCAACAGGACCAGCCCCAGCAAAAGCTCAACTACACGCGGTTTGATTTGATCAAGTATGACTGTCCCTCGTTGGGGCACAAAATCCAGCATATGGTCCAGCAGCTCCAATTCAAGCTCCAGGTGGAAAATCAGTACCGTGAAGCCAACCAAAAGATTAGTCATTTGTATCTTTTGGACGGGGACAAACTGCTGCTGCTGGCAGCGGAGGGGGGGAAGATGGAGCTGGATCAACGGATCCAATTGCTCAACAAGCTGTTGAGATTCTACCAAAACATGCACATCGACGTCGAGGACATCACCAAGGACTTTGAGATCGCCACCACCCCGAAACATGCGCGCAGACCGTTGCTGGGGAAATTGACCGTCGCCATCACTTGTGTGCGCGATATTGACCATGTGGCGCTGCCGATGTTCAACAGGAAGCCGGAAACGATCGTCGTGGTGAAGTTGGATGACGTCGAACAGGCTCGTACCCGGGGGCTGCGTACTGACAAGTTCAATGAGGAATTGGTCATCGACGTCGACCGCGGTAACGAAATTGAGATTTCTGTGTTTGACAAAGTGGGGTCAAACAACGTGCCGGTAGCTGTCAACTGGGCGCTTTTGCTGGATATCACTGAAGAAATCCGTAAGAAGAAAGTGGCGGCGGAATGGCAACTGCTTGACGGTGAAAACCAACAGACACCTCAGCCTAATGTCAGCGTCCAGGCATGGCTTGCGCTTGAACCGGCGGGGCAAATTTTGGTGACATTGCTGTTTGAGAAGCGTTCCACTGGACGCCAATTCGGCGGCGGTATCGGTCGTCACGGGGCTATCAGAGAGAAGAAAGAAGAAGTGTTTGAACACCATGGCCATCAGTTTGTGCAAAAGCAGTTTTACAACATTATGTGCTGTGCTTTCTGTGGTGAGTTTTTACGGTACACTGGGTATCAATGCCAGGACTGTAAGTTCTTGTGCCACAAAAAGTGTTACACGAAGGTGGTCACTAAGTGCATTCTGAAGCTGCAGACCGATGTTGACGACGAAACCATGCTCAACCACCGCATTCCCCATCGTTTCGAACCGGTGGCGAACCGTGGTACCAAGTGGTGTTGCCACTGTGGTCACATCTTGCCGTGGGGTAAAAAGAACGTCCGTAAGTGTACTGAGTGTGGGGTTATGTGCCACACTTACTGTACCCACTTGGTTCCCAACTTGTGTGGTATGCTGATGGAAATGGCTAATAAGATTTTGGCCACCATCAACCAGACTAAGCCGCGTAAGGTCACTAAGCCTGTCGCTAAGCCGAAGGCTCGCTTACCTCCGCCCAAGACCCCGGACTCGCTCGTGTTCCCTGAAGGTCCTGGCCACCGGCACCAGCATAGCTTCGACGCTCTGGGTCCTGACGGGCGCGAGCAAATGCCGGGCCACCGTCCTCAACACAGCTTCGACAACTCGCCCAGTAAGCCGCTCATCGCGGTGTCTGACCACCTGGCTAAGAACAAGCTGTCGCCTCAATCACAACTTAATCAACCACCAGTGCAATCACCCTACCGAGGCCTGGTGCAACTGCCGCAAAGAAAATACCCCGAACTGTTGCCCACTGAAACCAACAACGAATATCAACAAGCGGTGGAGCGTGATGATTACCGCTACGATAATTACAAGCCTCGTGCTGCCGAGGCTAACGACCCTTATAAGTTGCCTGAAGTGAAGAGCAATAACCCCTTCTCCGATGACTTCGCTAACTTCGACTACCAAAACCCTCAACTGGAATTGCTGGCTGAAGAACAAGCGTACGTTGAACGCCAGCAAGAGTACGTCCAAATGCAAAAGAAGGAACTGACGCCGGCGACTCCCGCTAAGTCGGAAGACGTCGACATGAAACCGGCTCAACCAATTCTCAGCTACCCGGCCGCTGACGAAAGTGTTGCTAGTGGCAATGCCAGCGAGACGCGGACGACCACGGGTTCGAAGAAGAAGAAGCGGAGAAAGGTTGGCTTGGACGACTTCCAGTTCCTTGCGGTGTTGGGTAAAGGTAACTTCGGTAAGGTGATGTTGGCTGAGCTGCGTCACACGTCGAACTTGTGCGCCATCAAGGTGCTTAAGAAGGACTTTATCGTTGAGAACGACGAAGCCGAGCTGGTGAAGCTGGAAAAGCGGGTATTTTTGACTGCTAACAAGGAGAAGCACCCCTTCTTACTCAACTTGCATTGCTGCTTCCAAACCGAGAACCGCATTTACTTTGTGATGGAGTTCATTTCCGGGGGTGATTTGATGTGGCACATTCAAAAGCTGCGGTTCCTGGCGAAACGGGCCAAGTTCTACGCCTGCGAAGTGTTGCTTGGTCTCAAATACTTCCACGACAACGGTATCGTTTACCGTGATTTGAAGCTTGACAACATCTTGTTGACCACGCAAGGTCACATCAAGATTGGTGACTATGGGTTGTGTAAGGAGAACATGTGGCACAAGCTGACGACGGGCACTTTCTGTGGTACCCCTGAATTCATGGCGCCGGAAATTATTGCCGGTAAGCCTTATGACCGGCTGGTTGACTGGTGGGCGTTTGGGGTGTTGTTATTCCAGATGCTTTTGTGCCAGTCGCCGTTCAAGGGGGACGACGAAGACGAAATCTTCAATGCCATCGAGCACGACGTGGTGCGGTACCCGATCCTGATGCCCCGGCAGACGGTGTTGGTGTTGCAGGCCTTGTTGACCAAGGACCCCCGCCAACGTTTAGGGGCGCTGGAGCGCGACGCCCTCGAGATCATGGAGCACCCCTACTTCAGCGACGTCAACTTCGACGACGTGTTGCATTGCCGCATCCCGGCGCCGTACATCCCTGAGGTGCTGAGTGAGCACGACTACCTGAACTTTGACCAGGAGTTCACCAGTGAAACCCCCAGGTTGACCCCCGTGGAAACGGTGTTGACCCTGGACATGCAGGAACAGTTTAGAGGGTTCAGTCACATCGCCGATAATGCTACCATATAAGAGCTTTAATATAACAAGATTCCAGTTGATCGGAGAGGCAAACAGCAACCAAATGCTTTGACGTTTACGAGGATTAGATGGTTAATGCCACAGATGTATTTGATCTCTATAAAATATTCCGTCCCATGTAAATATGCGTTTGTGGTTTCGTGGCGTGGTGTAGTTTAATACTGTGGTGGCTGCCCCCCTCTCAGGTGATGACGCAGCACCCTTGGGCCTCGGGGGCTGCTTTCTTCGACACTGACCGCACGGCATTATCCGACGATCGCTGTCTGCTGGCAATTGCTGAGGTCGCAGATTGCGATCGGCGATTGAGTGAGGACTCGGGGCTACTAGTACCGAGGTCGCGATCGATTTGGAGAGTGCCCGCGGTGGAAGGCCTGTCGCTGGTAGGAGACACGGCTTTAGCCGACGGCCGCCGTTCACGAGTTTTACCTAAAATCTCAATCAACGGGGCAAACGCTTCGTTGACTCCCTCACCCGTCGCCGCCAGCACTTCGAAAAAGCTCATCCCGAGCCTCAGGGCAAGCTCCTGGCCCTCAGTATCGGACACTTGGCGGATGTCGTCAAGATCGGCTTTATTGCCCACAAGCACCATCGGCACTGCGGTGAGCTCGGCCTTGTTGCGCACCATGTTAAAATGCTGGACAATATCCTCGACGGGCTCGAACAGGTCACGGTCGGTGATAGAGTACACCACCATAAGACAGTGGCAATTGAGGAACTGTTGCTTTCGCAGCAGCGAGTAGCGATCCTGGAGAGCCAGGGCGTCGAAAATCAGGAACTCCTGGTAGCTATCGTCGTCAGCAATCACTTTGACGTACATGTCCTCCACCAGCGAGTCGATGTTATCGATAAACCGCTGGTGGACGTAGCGGAGCACCACCAGAGACTTGCCCAGGTGGTGCTCGCCTAGCATGAGAATGTCGAACCCGACCTTAAGTGCCAGGAGCGAATTGGCATTCATCGAACGGTTAGCGGATCGGAGAAAGTGGTGGGGATGTCGCGGAGTTGGCGGCAGCCGTTTTTCCTTTATAGTGTCGCGCCCTTTTCCAGTGCATGTCCAACGGTCGAAAAATATTGGGCTAATGTTTCCATGGGCATGTGCCGTCCTTGCAGGACAATAGCTTAAACCCCCGGGAGTCACCCCGTTTCTAGCGTGTGGCGTACGGAATACGACGCGTTGGGTGATCCACGAGGCTTAGGTCTTTTCCCTTGGCCCTGACGCTTGCTAGTGGGCCCACTACCACTGTCGCGGAACCAGATACCCCCATCAGCACCGATGGATGAGGTCATGGCGTGTTTTTTTTTTTTTTTTTTTCCCGCTACATGCATCGCATCGTTACGCGCGTGGGATCTCGACACTGGAAGGGCAGCAAAAGGAGAGCGAGAAAAAAAAAAGCAATACAAAAAGAACATGCTCGATTATCTAATGTATTATGAGTTACTTACCCGGAGTTATCCGGGTTACTCTAAATATTGCGAGTAGTCCTCAGCCAGAGCAAACGTCGGCAACAGCAGAAGCTTGATCCGCTTGCGTGGCTTCTCGTCTTCTTCATCGTCGTCGTCAGCGGCGGGGTGGTCGATCTCGGCGTCCAGAACTTCTTCCTCGGAGTCCTGGTCCATCATCGCCAGGTAGAACTGTTCGTCGTCTTCATCGGCGTCTTCGTCATCGTCAACGACGGCGCCAAGATCGTTAGCGGTGGCGGTGGCGTCGACGTCGGCGTCGTCGTCGTCGCTCAGCATATCGCCAAAGTCGAGGTCTTCGTCGTCGAACATGTCGTCGTCGTCGCCGTCCATTTCCACCTCAGGGCGCAGTCTCACCAACGCGTCCCATACTTCGGCTTCGTTGTCCTCTTCTTCGTCGTCGTCGTCGCCAGACTTCTTCTTCTTCTTCAGCGCCGCCCCCTTAAGTTTCAGCTGCTTAGTGGTGAAGTATTGGTGGTAGAACTGTTCGTCGGGACGCACCTGGTCGGCCCGCTTAGCCAACCAGTCCACAGTGTTGGCGGGAGCCTGGTCGGTGGACTTGGTGTTGAAGCCCCCGCCCAAAGGTTGCATGATCGACATCCCCTTGGGCCCCGTCTTTTCCTTGGCGTTCTTGTAGACAAACCGGTCCAAAAAGTGGGCTAAAGTGAACAACCCAAGGTCGGGCTTCGGCTGCTTGGTGCCCTTGATCAACGACTCGGCGTAGACGCCGACGGTGGGGTGGTAGTGCTTTAAGAACGCTTCGATCTCCCAGAGCAGACTGGAGGCGGCGTGGGCAAATTTAGGGTCACGCTTTCTCGGGTCGTACTCCTGGCCCTCGTCATCTTCAGCCAACTTAATGGTGTCTTCGGGTCTCAGCAGCTTATCGACAAGCATGTCGCCAATCGCCGGTTGTTGCTTAGCAAGCTCCATCACCACAAAGATCATCCCCGCCACCAGGCCGACGTTGAGCCAGTGGACACATACTTGGAGCATCCGCTTGACAAACGCTAATTGACGACCAACAACCTTATCGTTCTTCAACAGCTTGTATAATAAGTTGAGGTAGATCCCTTGTTTGGAGGTGGTGGCGACCCGCGGGTCCAATAACAGCTCGTACAACGTCTTGTAGTACCGGTCAGCATCGAGGTCTTGACGGGTGACCACGTGATGAATCAACAGCAACGCTTGTACCGAAGTGTTGAAGTTACTGGAGTGGGTCACTTTAAAGAGGATATCGAGATGTTTAGTGTAGACATCTTGAGGCAAGTTCGAGAACGGGAACGCCCGGTTGAGCCCAGTGAGCACCGCCAGGAACAATCTCTGGTTCTTCTCTTCGATGACCTCGGCTTCCGATTTGATTTGTTTCACCAGCTTACCCCCCTTCTTCCCCTTCTTACCGGTATTTCTCAAGTTCTTACGCTTGTTTTCCAGCTTACCGAGAATATTATCGACTTTTTCTTCCACTTCCTTAGCTTCCACAAGCACTTTTTCAAAGAGAGCAAAGTAAGTCTTGACCAACGTGTTGGCCAACTCAATTTGTTCACGGCCAAGCACGGTTTGGTTGAGGGTGGTCGACCCGTAGTATTGGGTGGAGTATTCAGCACCGGGCTTCATCACTTGGTCGACGACGGCGCCGACGACGATCGGCGCCATGTTGGGGTGGGCTTGCTCGAGCGTCAAGAGCAAGTGCAGCGTCTTCAGCGCCACCTTGCTGTCGCTGTCGCCGAGCTTGTTGACACCAAGACGCAACAAGTTGGCTTCCTGTTCGGGCTTGGCCAGCAAAAGCTCAAAGATGTGGCTCACCACCTGGGTGCGGACGTGGACGATGGGGTCGTGGAGCAAGTGCTCGAGCACCTGGATGAACTTGAAGTACACCAGCTTCAAGTGGTCCTCAAAGTACATGAGCCCGAGCTGGGCGTCGGTGAGGTCGTCGGCCAACGGCTGCTTGTTAAACGCCACTAACTTACGGTCGGGCAACACCCCACCAAGCATGAAATCCTTAAACGCGGCAATGGCCTGGAGCGCCGCCGTTCTCAGTTTCTTCTCACAGAAGTGAAGTAAAGTGTCGATGGCCTTGATGTTGTGGAAGGGCGCTTCCTGAGCCAAAAGGGCGAGAGCAGAGATTTTATCGTTCAAGGTACCGTCGACGAGAATCTGACTCAAGAACTTCTTTTGCGACGAGTTGGCGGTGAATTCTTCGTAGTAGAGCTTGTTTTCCGCGTCGACAAACGCCTTGGCTCGGTCGTAGAGCCGTTCCTTGGTATATTTGTCAGGGTTGGTGGCGGCACCGGCGGGGGCGGCAAGCTCCAGGTTGTACCAGTCGTTGCGGTTGGGCATCTGGAGCTTACTCAGCACCACCGATCTCACGTCTTCGATGAAATCAGCATTCTTTTTCTTGGCCGGTTGGGGAGGGGCTTTTTCGGACTCGGACTCCAGCCCCGTAGCAGATTTAGAGTCCGAGCCGTCTTTTTTTGTCGGCTTCGACGGTTGTTCCTCTTCTTCTTCCCCTTCTTCCTCTTCTTCTTCTTCTTCTTCTTCTTCTTCTTCGTCGTCGTCGTCGTCGTCACCCTCAACTAATTCAGGGACTTCATCGTCATCAAGGTCTTCGGGGATCTTACCGTCAAACCCGATATCCTGGTACATCAGAGCCAATTCCTTTTCGAGGTTGGCGTCCTTGCCTTCGTCGTCAAACTCTTGTTCCGAATCGTCGTCCTTGACGTCGGCGATTAGGTTCAAGTCGTCTTCGGTAGCCCCCATCGCGAGCGCTTCCTGGCGGAGCGCGTCTTGAAGAGCTTTCTTTTCATCGGACTTGTCCTTAAAGTCGTTGGTCTTGTGGGGCTTATCGTCTTTAGGCTTGGACTGCTTATTGTTGTTTTGCTTCCCCCGTGACTGAGGCTTTTTGTCGTTCTTCTTATCGCCGCGGTGGTGGTTGTCCTTGCCCCGAGTCTGGGTATCTTGCTTCCCCTTAGTGTCTTTCTTGTCCTTTTTGGCAGATTTTTCCTTCTTGGCCGGCTTGTCAGCGGCGGCAAGTTTGGATTTGACCTTATCCTTTAGCAGGGACAAGTCAAGAGGGGCCGACATGGTGGGGATGGGGGTTTAGCGATGGGATGCTCATCTCGATGGAAGGGTGCTGCACAGTGTGCAGGCCGAGCACCTAGCGAGACTTCAGTGAGTTCCGGGGGAGTCCTACCGAAAATTAACAGTAAAATGCGCCATTTTGTATGGTAACCAACCACCGGATATCGGTCGGTTTATCGTTTGGTGCCACACTAAACCCTGGTTTTAGTCTCCAAGAAGCGGGCCTAACGAAGCTAATCGAATTAGATACAAGGTAAACTTTGGTTTCCGGAACGCCATAACGCCTCATCAGTCGCCGGCAACCTCAAGTTAGGGCAACCGGATGCGGGAAAATATCGGGGAATGTGCTCAATTTCCATTTACGGGGGAGACACCCACTGAAGCATCCACAGACGCACATTCCGACCACCAGACCCTGGACGCCATTTTTAGCCTACTAGTCTCGTATAGTCCATCCAGAAGAACATGGAAGCAACGCATGGCTCGCAATTGACCACGGGTATGACTATTGGGGACACCCATATTCAGGATATTTGATGGAGATCAAAACACGAAATAATAGGTGTCAAATGATGGTGATGACATCATCACGGCAATTGCCGGACAGATCTTGGGGGAGACAATTGAAGGGTTTTGTCTGCTAATGAATGATCTAACTATAGAATATCTGGGGAAAGGGTCGAGACCAGGGGCGACGATCGGATCGGGGGGAGTGCTCGTCTAGGTCCCCGTCCGTCGCCGCCTCCTGTTAGCTCCGCCTCTAGGGCTATATTGAGGGCATTACATCTACATGTAGAGAGCATCACACATTCCGCACGGCGACGATTGTTTATGCCGTTGGCAAGCGTTTGGTGGGGGTTGAGTGCATGGGGGCCCTGCCCACGTTGATGCGGCCCGCCCTGAACCTTTTTTGGAATCTGATTGTTGCCCGGTTAGGCGGCCCCGGCCGTAGACGAAAAACCATCAAAAACATTAACTAAACAATAGACTCCATCGCCCCATTTCTTGACGGCGCTCGGCATATAGAGGAGTGGGAAATGCCGGCGTTGTCACCAGCCTCAGTTCCGATGGCCTAGACCACAATTCTATGAAATTTCACAATTGGTATACGAGAGCACCTTACCAGACAATTACCAGTAACTTAGTGGAATAAAAGTATCACGCCGTTCGAGTTTTATTTATGGCAATACACTTTAACATTCTTTTATAGCATCTCAATTCATTCTATAACTCATCATATCGTTTTGTTTCCTTTACCCGTTCTCGTGTCATTAGTGTGGGGTCATCACTGATCAAGCCGCACCCGCGACGCGTAAGGCTCCAAAGACCATGGACCAGCGACCGCGAGAGGAGCGCGATTACAAGGAGATCTACCCGGACTTGGACGAAACCGACGTCCTACCAGTGTTTGTCGACGACGGCGACGTGGAATGGCCGCCTCAGCAGCCCCGAGTGGCGACGAAAACCCCAAAGTTTCGCGCCCTTGATCTAGCTAAACCCGACGAGGTGCCGGCGCCTCTGTGGCAGCGGTTTGGCTACATCACCGATAATGAAGAAGATGATAGCGTCCCCACCGCCTACCACCGTCCGTATGAACACGACCCGCCACCGCCCCGCGTCGCCTACGACTGCGACGCCCAGGACGTCCTCTTTGTCGAGTGGTGCCGCAAGAAGAACATCCACATGAGTGCCGAGCTTTTGGAGGTGGCGATGACTCTGTTGGACCGCCAGTGGGACCAGTTGGACCAGGCGCTAGACCACCACCACCACCATCATCGATATTTGACCCTTGATCACGATTTGGACAAATACGGTAGCGACGATGGCATCGTCCCGGGGTCGGAGTACGACCAGCGGTGCGCGGTGTGTAACGACAGCGACTGTACTGACGATAACGCCATTGTCTTTTGCGATGGCTGTGATATTGCTGTCCACCAGGAGTGCTACGGTATTGCGTTTATTCCCGAAGGGCTGTGGCTATGTCGGCACTGTATGATCAATAGAGACAAACCCGCTAACTGTGTGTGTTGTCCACTGAGCACAGGGGCGTTCAAACAGCTAGATAGCTCGAAATGGGCCCATGTGGTGTGTGCTCTTTGGATCAACGAGCTCTATTTCGCCAACCCTACGTATATGGAGCCGATTGAGGGATTGAGCCAGGTGCCTAAGTCTCGATGGCGGTTGGTGTGCTATCTTTGCAAGAAACGAGTGGGGGCGTGTATCCAGTGCTATAACCGCCAGTGTGTCGCTGCTTATCATGTTACCTGTGCTAAGCGGGCAGGACTCTATATGGAGCTCAGTGAAGGGATCCAGGGGGCATTACGCAACAAGACGCTGTTGAAACTGTACTGCAACCGCCACTCTCCCCCCGGGTGGCTCGCCGACGTCTCCAAGTGCCGCAATTACTACCGAGATCTTGATATCTTAGTGAAGCAAAACGCTCAGCTTACGCGGCGGTACCAGGCGGCGACGAGACTTAATCAGTTTAAGTGGAAGACGATTCATAATACTCCCATTGCCCCCCACAAGTTTGCCCACGCCCTCGGCCGCGAGCTAGGCTACCGGCGGTGTCCGTTGAAATCCGCGTTCGCCCTCTGTAAGTGGTGGTGTTTGAAACGCGACGCCAGACGAGGGCGGCTCATTCGAGGCCCTGGCATCGATGGCGGGGCTGGTAGAGCCGACGGCGTCAGCGCCACTACCACCAAGGCGCTTGTGGCCAACCTCGACCACCTTATCGGCCTCGCCCTGACCTCGGTGAAAGCGCAACGGGTCCGCCGCGAGCTTGGCCAGCTTGAGTGGACCCAAGTCGCTCGTGCCTACGGGCCTCGCCACCAGTTGATCTCTAACGGCGCACGTGGCAGCCTCAGCGGGGCGCCGGCGCGAGACGAGTTCCCCTTTGTTGAGGTTGACGGCGTCGACGTCAAGTTGAAACCATACGATTATCGGCAGGTGCTTGCCGACGCGGAGCTACTGGAGGTGGAGGGGGGCGACGACTAGCTCCGACGATGCGCCGCGAGGGGCCCCTGACCTGCGGCGGGCGATCGAAGCCAGCGCTAGCCTGGGTGCCGTCGACAAACATTCCCCAGTCACGCGATTTGATTGGATCGCCCGTTCCTTGTCGGGCTAGCAATTGCATCGAAAAAGATTACGCGAAGAGAGGGGAGACGCAGGAGCACGCCCCTGATCACAGACGGGGACCTTATTGCGGCGTTTGTGGCCAGATACACCAAAACACCGATCCGGCACTCAGCGACGTGCTACCATGACAACCGGCCCGTCAATCAGGGTCAGACAGGAGGGGGTGTTTCAAGGTTGATGGTCGTCTCCCGATGATGGGGTGGGTTGAGGGGTAACGCTGCACCCACCGCCGACGGGGCTGAGGGGTGCGGGCATCACCGTCTAATTTACCCCCGCGAATGGTGGCCGGCTATTGGCTCGCGGGCGCTTTTTGGTTGTGAGCCCCAGCAGGTCTGGACCCCCATATAAGCGGCACGCACCTAAATCGACCTGTGAGGTACCACCTGGCAATCTGCACCGGGTACACGAAAATAAACATCAGCCCCCAAACGCAAGGCCGCGCTGCGAAAAAATTAGCCGGGACCCGACCTTTTCTAAGCCTGTATAAATTCCGCCGGCCCTCCCCACCGACCGGGCTCCACCACTCCCTTCACTCCACACCAAACCTCCGCAGAAAAAAACCGTTCACCTTTCCTTGGACTCCCGGCCAATATATACTTGATTATAGTCACTCCTTTATTATCCCACCCATAATAAAGTGTATATTGCCCTTCCCCTGCCCAGGTTTACATTTCAGTGTTTGTTTGGTTGATCCCGTGAAACATCAAGAGAGGACCCTTTTGCCCCGCATTCAGTGCTCAATATCGCCGTCAATTTGCAACTTAGCGTGAATTGTTTGACTAAAGTCGCTCCTTTATTTCCAACTAGTCAGACGTATTAACGCAGAGAAGAACAATGATGGCCCACACCCCCAACGCTACCCCGTTACGGGACTCGTACAACCCCCACTTGGGCCCCCAGCTGAAGAAGTTGCCCATGATCGTCGACATCGCCATCGACCCCAATGGCAAGCAGATGTACCAGGTCCACGAGCTGCTGAAGCTTGTCCGCAAGGAGATGCCCCGCCTGACCCACTTTGTCCCCCAAGCGATGGAGTTTGGCGGCGACTTGGGCGCTCCCTTTGGTGCTGACGACGAAAAGACCCCGGTGAGACCGGCGTTTTGCACGATGTCGCCGTCGCTGGTGCCGCAAAAGCGTACTTTCGAAGACGATGTCTACGCCAACCCACAAGCGCCGATGTTCACTTACCAGTTTGACGCCCCCGGTAGCTACTCGCAGTTGGCGCCGGCGGCCCCCATGGTCAGTGACTACGCTACCAGTGTCCCTCCCGACTACCTGGTGGCGACGGTGCCTCGCTCGCAAGACAACGACATCTGGTCGCCCGACGTCGAGGCGGCGTTCGAGGAAGTGTTGCACCTCATCCCCAAGAACGGGCTCAACAAGATCAAGATCTCCGGCCGTCTGTGCGGGCGCAACGAGCTCATCCTGGACTACATCTTGCTGAAGACGGGCAAGTTCCGCACCCGCAAGCAGGTGCTGTCCCACATCCAGGTGATCAAGAACTTGGGCCAGAAGAAGGACATCATCAAGTTGATCAACGAAGGGCCCCTGTTCGACACCGAGGAAGAACTGCAAGAGAACTTTAAGCGGTTCGAGGAGATCTTCCTGAAGATCAACTTGCTGAAGCTGTTGGGCTTTGCCGACGACAACGCCGCCGGCGCCAAGCGCAAGGCGGCCCCGGCCACCTTGTCGCAACTGCTGGCCAAGCGCCAACGCAAGGCATCGGCGGGGCTGCGCTTTAACAAGGTGAGCATGCACAACTTCAGCATGCTGATTGGCGATGCCTATGGCCTCAACTCGGTGTGCCTCACGGCACTGGAACCAGTGCACCCTCTCCAAGAGGTGCCGTCGCTTAAGCTTGGCGACAACGTCAACGTCCAGGCGCGGTTCCCGGGGCTCGCCGACTTCCAAGGCTCCAACATCCACGTGTTGCACAACATGGTCAAAGTGATGTTCCCGTCGCAGTTGCCCTACAACTACGACATCGAACAAGGGTTCAAGTCGCTGTTCACGTTGCACGACAAGTTGACCCCCGTGACCCCCGTGCAACTGCCGACGCGGTCGCTGCCGCCGGCGCTGGACGGGTACTCGTTGTTCACCGCCGTCTACCTGTACGGCAACGAGGTGATCAAGTTCAACGAGGAGGGGATCCACCTCAACGAGGAAACTCCCTTCTTGACCAAGTTCTGGAAGTTCTTTGTCGGCAAGTTCATGGGCAAGGACGAGGTCAAGGTCCAGTTGGCGTGGAAGGGGATGACGATCAAGCAGATCGTCTACGAAAAAGACCCTTACGTCGAGGTCCACGAGGTCCACAACGTCCCCAAGTCGAAGATCAAGATGGTGTTGTTGTGGGAGTTTGCCACCGTCGCCGACCCCAAGGACGCCGTCACCACCACCAACAAGTTGATCTTGCCCCCCCGCGACGTCACCGTGATGGCGACGCCGGCGCAAGCGCCGCAAATGAACGTCCAACGCAAGTTCCAGACGTTGCAACAGCAGCACTTTGCCATGCCGTCGATGGTGGCGCCGCCGCCCCAGCCGCAGGCGATGTACTCGCTGCCTCAATACTCGCTGCCCCAATACGCGCCGCCGCCGCCGCCGCCGCTGCTCCACCACTCGGCCAATGTCGACTTGATGATGATGCCCGTCCCCGTCGACCAGAACGAGTTTGGTGGGTTGTTGTACCCCGAAGGGTTCCAAGAGTATTAGCTAGTGTTTTAAGGACTTTATAATTATTGTGTTTACTGAATCGATGGGTTAATCGTGATTTTGAATTGTAGACCACTAAAAGAATCAATATGAGACAAGGTTAAGAGGCTGGCGATCCCCCTGGACCGTTGGTGCAAGCAGCCAAAGCCGGTACCTACCGCAAGCGCCTAGCGATTTGTGGGGGAAAAGGCCTTTGTTGCTATTATTTCGCTACCCGGGTTCGCGCGGCAGGTACCGATGGCGTCCCATTGACGACGCGTTCGCTTTGGGAAAAAAACAATACACTGAAGGGGGACAAAATCACCACCCGCGACGTCATCATCCCCTTGCGCTGAATGACACCCCCCTGGCACCAACAAAGGGGGCTTGTTGCTTATACCTCGTTGGTTAACCGAGGTTTGATGCTATTGTCTGGTGTGGCCGATTAAAGTTCACGAGAAAGCGGCTACTCCCACTGAGGTGGCCGCTGCGCCTTCCCCAACTTCATCCTCGGTCCCCATCGGCTGGGGTCTACCCACATGATTTGACCAAAATGGGGTTTTGGCGTCAGCGGTCAAAGCTTATTTGAAGGCGGCATTAGGCTACGGTGTCGACAGCCTTAAAATAGATGATCTCACCCTCAGCGTTTGTGGCGACAATACCCCTGGGGAAAGAGCCATCATGCTACTTGCGTACGATCCATAAGAAAGGGCCTGTTGGTGCAGTGGGCTACGGATACACGCTATGGCGATTGAGTTGGTTTAGTTGAAAAGAACTATTGCCATCGTGGGCACCACGCGAATCGTCTAAGACACCGTTGATGGAAACGTGTTGGTGTCATAACCGGGGTGTATTTTCCAGCGCCGTCCTCTATCACTTGACAATAAGGTTGCCACCTACATAGGCGGGTTGGCGATGGCGCCGATGGCTGTGGCTGCCTTTGTTTACGAGGAGTATTTTCCCTCAGATGGTCAAATTTCAGGTTGGTTCGGGGGCAGCCGCGAGCTTTGTTTTGTTTTTCTCTGAATGCGCTCGAGACAACGCGACACCACAACTAGGTGCAGGCCCTAATGACTGAGGCTAACCATCAATCACATCACCAACCGTCACCCCGTTGAAGCCCCCCCTACCCCCTTCAACTTGCTCATGTCTTCACGTTGTCCTCATTCTAAATTTGGACCCGCATGTAATGACCCAACGCAGCTCCGCATGTGAGCGCGTCGACCTGAGCTGAAATTGGCTGTTGTTTTGCTTATAGCCCCCAGCACGACCGCCCCGAATGCACTGCTCGCAGGCAACCCTCGTCGAGGTCACAACCGGGGTGTCGCGACGAACGATTATCGGGTGGGGCACGACTCCTCCGTATCATGTTGTGCCACAAAGCAGTGTACCAGAGAGGGGATCACAGCTAGGCTTGGATCACGTGATCCACTTAAATGCTGCGAGAATCAATGCGAAAGCCCCGGGTGGCAGCAAACCCCACACCCTCATATGGCCCCCCCTGCTGTGTAGTTACCGTCGCCTTCTTGCTCCCCAGTCCACAAAACCGCCGCCTCTTCCTAAGTGCCGTCGTATACCCTAGCAAGTGTGGTCCTTACGCTGACAGCGCAAGCCCATCAGCAGCACCGTTTCATGCTCAATGTGCCTCTACAGGGTGTTTATGGCAAGATTGACGTCTGCCGCCAGTAGAGTCCGACAGAATTTCACCCACCTCCGACATTGAGGACCCCCCCGAGAAGTGCGACACCGTGTACATTGTTTGCCCCACTCATGCTAGCAATCCACCTGAAATTTGCTCAAAATCTCGAGTCGAGGAAAAGGGAAATTGTGTCTAGACTAACGTATTGCGATTACGCAATCATGATTGTCTAAATCCCGCTAAGCGGAGAAGGTTGACCCAACGGCAAGCGGAACAAGATTGGTCTGTTTGGCACCGACTTTATCTGCCGGAAGATACACAAAAGACGTGTACATGATACCGCCGAACGGCTCTCGGTGTTTAAGCCGGGCCGAGACAAAACTGAGAATTTGACTCTCGAGGAGCGACATAAGACACTACCGATAATGATCTAAAACAATAGGAGTTGTTTATTCAATCATCTATTTACCACAGGTGCACCCTTCGTCAGTACACTTAGGGCAGGCCGTCTTGTCACACCCGCTGCAATTGCAGTCGGAGGTACACAGGGCACAAACATTAGCACAAGCGCAGTTGTTGTCGTTGCACTCCTTGCACTTCACCTTCAGGCAATTGTCGGAGGAGCATTTGCAACCGGGAGAGCAGGAAGTACAAACATCGTGAGCAGCCATTTTCAATCGTAATACTTCTGTCTACACTGGGTATTCATCTTTACCTTTTATACCCGCCAATTTGCCCAACTAGTTTGCTATTCTCCCCGCTGCGATTATCCCTGCATCACTTGCACCACCCCGGTGTTGGTACTAGTGCCAGCCGTTTGATACGCCCTGTACCCGAATCTATCTCAGATGTTGATTTAGCGGATCCGAATACTGGCAAGATTCACTGAAGTTTTAAACTGTGGGCGCCACAACCTTGGTGGCCCACGCTTATCTCTCCTAAGAAATCAAAGCCGGAGCAAGTAGCAACTTTTCGTCTGTTCTTGGAAGGAAGTGCATTATGGTCCGACGCATCCGTTTGTAAGCGGTCGCGGGCTCACAATTCCAATTCCGATTGTCTGTCCCCCGGTTTTCGAAACCCATAAAAACCAGGCAGAAAAGCCTTAGACGTAAACACGATAGCGATGGCGGACGACTCCGAGGAACCCAGATACCACGGGTTCGAGGATCACGATGATATCAAAGACTTCGCGTCTCAAGTCAACCATGACCCTCGCTTGGCCCAGATTAACCAGAAGCGGCGGGCGCTGATGGTGTCGTCGGTGGGGGGAGGCGCCGATGACGTGGAGAATAACGTGCTGAAGTTCTTCTCCACCGAGGCCGATCCTCGGCTCGATCCCAACCTGGAGCAATTCGACTCGAAATACTGGATGGAGCAGGTTCGCAACTTGTTCGAGTCCAATGCCGATTATTTTAAGCCCAGTACGATGGGTGTCGCCTACCGTAACTTGTCCGTGAAGGGTGCTTCGACTGCCTCTGACTACCAGCAAACTGTGCTGAATTATTTCCCCAAGCTTCTTCTGGCTCTCTGGGACAAGGTGAAGCCCAAGAAATATAAGGAGTATTTCAACATTTTGAACCCTATGGATGCGATTATGGAGCTGGGGCTGATGACCGTCGTTTTGGGTAGACCTGGTGCCGGGTGCTCCACGTTACTCAAAACCGTTGCAGCTCAGACGTACGGCTTTACTGTGGACCCGAAATCGGAAATCACTTACGATGGTCTCACTCCGAAAGATATCCAAACCCACTTGCGTGGTGACATCATATTCTCGGCCGAACTGGACATCCACTTCCCTAAGCTTACCGTGGGGGAGACGCTCGAGTTTGCTGCGAGAATGAGAACTCCCAAGAACCGTGGCCCCGGGGTCAATCGTGAAGAATATGCCAGCTACATGGCCCTGGTTGTGATGGCTACTTTCGGTTTGCTCCACACCCGGAATACTTACGTTGGTAACAACTTCATCCGTGGTGTTTCCGGTGGTGAACGTAAGCGTGTCTCGATCGCCGAAGCATGTCTTAACGGTTCTATCCTCCAGTGCTGGGATAACGCTACCAGAGGTTTGGACTCGGCCACAGCCCTTGAATTCTGTAAGGCACTTCGTACCGCGGCTAAGGTGTTGGGCATTACCTCTTTGGTCGCCATCTACCAATGTTCGGAAGAAGCTTACCGGCAATTCGACAATGTGGTGTTGTTGTACAAGGGTCGCCAGATCTATTACGGGCTGACTGCTGACGCCAAGGAATTTTTCATCCATCAAGGTTGGGAGTGCCCCTCTCGTTCAACCACTGCTGATTTCTTGACTTCGTTGACCAACCCTGCCGAACGTCAAGTCCGTGAAGGTTATGAAGGTAAGGTACCGCAAACCCCCGAGGAAATGGAACAATACTTTTTGCAACTGGACCACTACAAGCGCTTGAAGGAACGTGTCGACTCTTACATTGACGGTGTTAGCCGTGACGAGGCCGTTGATCGTATCGGTGGTGCTCACAGGGCCCAACAAGCCGATCACCTTAAGAAAACACTGCCTTTTACGGTGAATTTCGCCATGCAAACCAAGTATCTTGTCATTCGCAACTTCCAAAGAATTCGCAATGACCCTTCGGTTGATCTTTTCTCGATCGGGGCCCAAATTGTTATGGCTCTTATCTTGTCTTCGGTGTTCTACAACCAGCAACGGATTACCAACTCCTTCTATTTTAGAGGTGCGGCTATTTTCTTTGCGGTATTGTACAACGCTTTCTCGTCTTTGTTGGAAATTATGGCTATGTTTGAATCTCGTCAGATCGTGGAGAAACAGCGAGCGTTTGCAATGTATCATGTTTCGGCTGATGCAATTGCGCTGATTATATCTTCATTCCCTACTAAGGTGATGATGTCGTTGGGTTTCAATATAATCTTTTATTTCATGGTCAATTTGAGAAGAAATCCCGGGAACTTTTTCTTCTATTTGTTGATGACTTTTATGTGTACCATGATTATGTCTCATTTGTTCCGGACGATTGGTGCCATTTCTAACTCGATCGCCCAAGCTATGACTCCTGCATCGGTAATTTTGTTAGGTATTGTCGTGTTCACTGGTTTCGTCATTACTTGGCCCACAATGTTGAAGTGGACTAAGTGGATTTTCTGGATCAACCCTGTGCACTACATTTTTGAATCATTGATGTTGAATGAGTTCCACAATCGTGAATTCGACTGTTCGGTGTTCGTGCCCAGTGGTGGTCCGTACGACAACGCGGATCCTATGTCTAGGTCATGTTCTGCTGTTGGGTCTGTGCCTGGTAGAACCACTGTTCAGGGAACCGATTTCTTGAGACTCTCGTACAACTTCTACAACGCTCACAAATGGCGTAATTTCGGGATTGCTTGGGGCTTCCTTTTACTTTTCCTTTGCACCTATCTTCTTCTTACAGAACTCAACCCCGGTGTGCGGTCTAGAGGTGAAGTTGCCGTTTTCAAGCATCTGGCTATGCGCAAGGCCAAGAAGCTCGCTAAGCAGAAGAATACTGATGTTGAGACTTTGGGGAACAAAATGACGACGAAGGAAAATGCCGAATATGTCGAGGAAGAGCCCAATGAAGTGCAAATTGGCGGTGAATTTTTCCAAAAGCCTACTATGCAAGACGATGGTTTCCCCTCAGGTCAAATCTTTTTCTGGGATAGTTTGACTTACCAAATTAAAATCAAGTCGGAACAGCGTGTTATTTTGGACCATGTTGACGGTTGGGTGAAGCCTGGTACTTTGACTGCGTTGATGGGTGCTTCCGGTGCCGGTAAGACTACGTTGCTTAACTGTTTGTCGGACAGAGTGACGACAGGTCAAATTACTGATGGTTCGCGGTACATTAATGGGCGTCCTCTTGATTCGTCTTTCCAACGTCAAATCGGTTACGTGCAACAAGAAGATTTGCATCTTCCCAAGCTGACGGTTCGTGAATCGCTTCAATTCCTGGCTTACTTGCGTCAACCTCCTTCGGTGCTGAAGAAAGAAAAGAACGCTTGGGTTGAACAAATTATTGACTTGTTGGAAATGCGTGCTTATGCTGATGCGATGGTTGGTAAAACTGGTTCGGGTCTTAACGTTGAACAACGTAAGCGTCTTTCGATTGGTGTTGAATTGGCTGCAAAGCCTAAGGTATTGTTATTTTTAGATGAACCTACTTCAGGTTTGGACTCGCAAACTGCATGGTCGGTGTGTAAGTTGATGCGTAAGTTAGCTGACTATGGTCAATCAATTCTTTGTACCATTCACCAGCCTTCGGCCGTTTTGATGCAATCGTTTGATCGACTTTTGTTTATGCAAAAAGGTGGTAAGACTGTCTACTTTGGTGACTTGGGTCCTGATTGCCAGACTATGGTGAAGTACTTTGAAAACCACGGATCGCACCCCTGTCCTCCTGATGCTAACCCTGCCGACTGGATGTTGGAAGTTGTTGGTGCTGCCCCTGGGTCACACGCTAATCAAGATTATCACGAAGTTTGGAATAACTCAGACGAATGTCGTGCTGTTAAACAGGAATTGGCTGAAATGAGAGAGCGTTTGGTTTCTCGTCCCGTGGATGACCTGAAGGAATCAAAGCAGAAGTATGCTATGCCTATGTGGGCTCAGTTCAATGCTGAGCTCAGGCGTACTGTGACTCAAATTTGGCGTAACCCTGAGTACATATACTCGAAATATTTCTTGATCATCTCCTGTTACATTGCTAATGGTTTCTTCTTCTTCAACTACTCGAAGGACAACAACCTCCAATCGTTGCAAAATCAAATGTATTCGGTTATGATGTCGTACAATAATTTCCCGACGATTATCCAACAGATGTTGCCTGGTTTCATTGAACAGCGTGAAATCTATGAAGTTCGTGAACTCCCCTCGCGTACCTTCTCGTGGTGGGCTTTCTTCACTGCTCAAGTGCTTTCGGAGCTTCCTTTCCAATTCATCGCTGGTACTTTAGCCTTCTGTTGCTACTACTGGCCTGTCGGTTTCTATCGAAATGCCGAAGTCACTCACACTGCTAGAGAACGTGGTGCGTTGTTTTGGTTGTTGGTGGTTTCCTTCAATATCTTCTGTACCACCATGGGTCACTTGTGTATCTCCTTCATGGAAAGTGACCAGAACGCTTCTAATTTGGCTGTTATCTTGTTGACTATGTGCTTGACTTTCTGCGGGGTGTTGGCCGGTCCCAATGTTTTGCCAGGCTTCTGGATTTTCATGTACCGGTGCAACCCCTTGACTTACTTAATTCAATCTCAACTTGCTACCGGTCTCGCCCATGCTCCCATGCACTGCTCTGAGGCAGAGTTCGTTCATTTTAATGCTCCCGAAGGTATGAATTGTGGTGACTACATGAAGGACTTCCTTTCTGCCGCGGGTGGTTTCCTTGAAGACGCTTCTGCCACTTCCTGCAAGTACTGTCAATTCGACAACACCAACGACTGGTTGGCAAGTGTTAACGTGAAGTACTCCACCAGATGGTGGTACTTGGGTATTTTCTGGGCGTTCCCCGTATTCAACGTTTTCGCGGGTGCAATTCTTTACTACATCTTCCGGGTGCCTAAGGGTAACAAGATGAAGAACAAGGGTGGTGAAAAGCCTCCTCCTCCTCCACCTAAGGCCGCTCCCATTACGGAAAAGTCTAACAACCAACTTACGTCAAGCTCTGACGAAACCGTGACTTGATTCAATTCTCCCAATAAAGCATTTGTTTAAAATTAATTAACTAATTGAATAGATAATGTAAAGAGTGCTGGTACAGTTCTAGACGTAAACTCTGCAAGCTGATATTCCCTCAATTGATTCATGAACGTTCATATCACTAGCGAAAATCAAGTCTCCTTTATCGCGGCCATATCAACGACTTCCAATGTTCCCTTCGAGCCAATGACCTCGCCCAATTTCTTGTAGTTGATGGGATCGATGATACCCACCAATTCAAGCTTTTTAGCATCCTTTTCCTCTTCCTCAACCTGGTCGATCAACGGTTTGATGTCCTCTTCATACAACTTCTTTTGTGCCACGGGAACCACAATACGAACCTTCATCTGAGCCCGAGCAATAGGAATCAATTGCTTTTCCACTAATAATTTGATAGCTTCTAACGCCTGCGTCTTGGGGGGCTTATTAGGGTTTAAATGAAACTTCAACTCCGTCAACACCTTCTGAATCATACTGGGAGGATAACGCTTCTTCAGTCTGGGATTGATGCATTTAGTGGAAATGATGGTCAAAAATTCATTCTGCTTCTGCTGTAAGTTGGCCGAACGCTCCTTTTCATTGAGTTGAATTTCACCTTTATTAAGGATTTCGAGAATGATTTCATTCTGATCGATAGTACCGAAGGCTTCCTTCAAGTCTTCATTGTTTGCCACTTGACCCTTGGAAACGTTGGTGAACACTTGAGGGATCTGGAGAACCTCATCAAGATCTTTCTCAACCTTCAGGCGCCAGTCCTGGACCTTGTTCTGGTAACAAGCAATCTCAAATCGCTTTCTGCCTTTCTTCATTCTCACGAGGGACACATTGGTGAGTCTAATTTGACTCATAGGTTGATTAATCAACCCCATGGTGGCAAGACGTTAGTGACGGGATGTGAGATGGAAGTTGCGCACAAACGCATTAAAGGTGATGCTAACCACAGCCTCAGATTGAAGGATACTCTCTTCAGGTTTGCACAGAGACTGACATCAGGCAACAAAGAGTATTGATGTAATCCGTCAATAAGTAGGCTCACTGGTCAATTGAAGGAGATTATGTGAAATTTGGCTAAGTTTTAAAATTGTACGATTCAGATTCTTTACAATGGTTTGAATTTTACTTGTCAGATCTGTCTATTGTGGTTTCGTAAAAACTGTCAAAGTTTAAGCATTTTTGACGACATTAGAAGCGTCAGATTCCTTCAACGAGACGTTATCGGGTTCTTCGAAAACGTCCTTCACTTTACCGTCCTGAATCAAGGCAGCGTATCTCTTGGATCTAGAGTTGCCGAAGAACTTCGAAGCATCGAACAACGCGTCAAAAGCCTTGGAGAATTCACCCTTAGGGTCAGAAAGAATCTGGACATCGCCATTGGCGCCAAGATCATCAGCCCAAGCCTTAGTGACGAAGGGGTCGTTCACGGCAACCACATAAATACCGTCGTAACCCTTGTTCTTGAAGTCCTTGGCGGCCTTAATGTAGCCGGGAACGTGGTTCGCCGAGCAAGCGGGCGAGAAAGCTCCGGGCACACCAACAATGACGTTCTTGCCGTTCTTGACGGCGTCGGCGAGGTTGAATTCATTGCCGGGCGAGTCCTTGAACAAATTTACCTTGGGCACTTCTTGGCCCTTGGAAACGTAGCGGACGAATTGCTTGGGAGCAGCCAGTCTGGATACCGATCTGAACATTTTGAATTGAGTTGATAAAGTTTAAGGAGTGGAGCAAACTCGAAATATATTACTGGGAGAGAACTGGCGCAGCGGTATGCAGGACAAACTGTGGGGAGAGGGTGGGGCCGGTGGATCTGTCGGAATGGGGTCTAATAAAGCTCGGCCGGAGAATCTAGCTAGCTATGTAACCAATGTGAATTCTGTTCCTCTTTCACATACATTAAATCCCTGCATTAAATAGTGTTAAAGCCGTAAGTACATCTTCATTTATGGACTACCCAACAAAAATCGCGGGTGAATTGAATCGCCGAGGCCGGCTTTCCGTTCATTCCGAAGAGTTGCACATTAATTAGTCTGAACTATTGAAAGCTAGTGATATTTAAAACAGGGGTATCTTTCAAACCCACATTGAGCCCGAGCCGTCTATGGACCGTTTTTCCCACGCGCGACTCGACGGTGACACCGACGATGGCAACGCAAGAGGAAATCTCGACTCAGGATGCGCTAAAGCTCTACCGTAATACGCTCAATTTCAACGTTATCAGCCGGTATGATCCTGCCATCAAGCAACTCCTTTACTTTACCTCACATTGCGTGATATACAAATTCCAGGACGAGACATGGACGAAGACCGACTTCCAGGGAACCCTAGCGTTCTACATCCGTGATTTTACTATGCCGCTGGGCCCTGGTTCCAGCTACCAGGATTTACAGCGTTGTTTCTGCTATGGTCTTATTCTATTAAATCGCTCCAACCCGGAATGCTTTTCATTGGGGTTGTTGCCCAACGTCATGACAAGAATGTTTTTCCCCAACGGCATAAACAACAACGGCATCACTGAGATGGACGTCGAGCTCAACGACAACTTAATTATCGTGAAGAACCTTTTGGGCGAGATCTACGGGTTGTGGGTATTCAACGAAGAAGATCGCACCAAGCTATTCAAGTTGCTAGACTATTGCTTGCAAAACCAGACATCGTGATGTTCCGTAATGACCCACTTCCACTGCCACGAACCTAGTGGAGGTTATATATAGTGTACAGTTATCCACAGGACATTTACCTTAAGCTCAGACGTATAGGACACGTGATTCGCTCTCAATAGCTTTGGTGTAGGGTGCAAAGATAAGGTTTATTATTTTCAGCCTGAAAAGTCGTCCTTTGCAATGGCTTTGAATTACCCTAAGTTTGTGTTATTTGGAGATCTGATTACAGAATTCAGTGCTGCGAGAGATGGCTCAGGTCTTGTCGCTTCACTTGTGGATGATTACCGTACCAGGATGGACGTTGTCCTCAGGGGCTATAGTGGTTACAATTCTCGATTTGCTGTGGAAATCCTTCCCCCTATTCTCCAAGGATTGGACAATGTCAAGCTTATGTACATCTTCTTTGGTACCAACGATGCAAACATGTATACCGACAAAATTGGTCGAAAACAAGCAACGACAATCGAGGAATACCTGGAGAATATTGCCGAATGCATTGACTATGCTAAAGGTCGTGGAATCAAGGTGATTGTGGTGGGACCAGCTCTTCACGACGCTAACTTGTCGTACGATTACTTCAAACAGCGCAATCCCGAACGGAACATCACTGGACCCAGCTCTTCACCAATGAGAAATCGTGAGTACTCCCAAGCAGCGAAAGCGGTTGCTACGCAAAAGAACGTGCCTTTTCTTGATTTATGGTTGCGTTTTCAAGAGGCGCTGGGGTATCTGATTGACCAGCTTGACTACAATAATTGGAAGGATTGCCCCAATCTTTCCAAATGGTTGGTTGATGGTGTACACTTTTCCTTTGAGGGATATCGATTATTTTACGAAGGCTTGTTAGAAGTTATCAAGACACTGTACCCCGAGCTAGCTCCTGAAAATGTACCAACCAAGCTCAGATACTATCGAGAGATTGATGAGAGTAATTTGAGTTCCATCTTCGATATGAGCCAATCGTGAACCACCTCCTCCCAATTCCAAACATTATCTCGAAAGATAAGCTGCAATCTACTAGAAATATCACATCACAATAAAGTGAGTATTATTTCATGATCCCGAATTTATCGTTCAAATTGCTTCAATCTGCATCTAAATCTATAGTTGAAATAGTTCTCTTGATTTGTGTTTTTTGAAGTGCTCTTCATGCCTTGATTTTGTTTTTCACGGCTACCTCACTCAGTGTTTTAGCAGAACAAGAAAACCCCACATATGGAGCAGATTGTGCATATCACTTATATACAATAATCGATATTTCGAGTAGTCACAATATCTCAAATACGTGGGGTCAAAAACAAATTGGATTTGGGCTCTCTTTCTTCGAGTCTGGGGTTCGTGTATTCATGGTAGCGCGACGCGCACCTTTTACCCTTCGGCGCTCCTCAAGAGGTAACCTTCGACTCTTTGTGTGGCCTGTATAACGTCAAGCTTCCCCTAAAAACTCCTAGTTGCGTTTGACGGGACAAAGTTGACGATGATGAATGGCAACGGCCCCACCCGTTCGGCCACCGTCCAAGCCCAGCGACAGAAACAATTGGCCCAAGCTCAGGCACAGTCACTGACTCAAGGTAACAATGTCGTGGACAAGCAAGCAAAAATGCCTCAGCATTTTGCTACCACAAGTCAAGAAATATTACAGAAGTATCAGAAGTACCCCGCTCTGATTTCGCTCCATATTTTCGAAAACCATTACCGCTTCAACAACTCACTGGAGTCGCAGGTGATTCCCAAGAATCTGCCTATGATTAAAGATTTTTTGCATCATGTGTTGAAGGAAACTATACCAGTGGAGCTCCTGGAACTTGTGAAGGATTTCAGCATTCGCCTGTATGATGGTTGTCTTATCCTCCAAGTGTTTGACCATCGTGAAATGGTTGAGGTGCTGGTAAAACAACAGAATGGAACCACGGCAGTGCAGAAGAAACCGAAAACATATCGTACATTATTACGACCCACTCAACTTCTGATTTACTACGACCTTTTGTACCATACCGACGCAGCGCTTTTCAAGTTCCATGACCCCCTTTCACTTCAAATGGAGCTGGAAATTTTGACGCTTACCAATCGAGAATTAGATTTGCTGACCCCGCTCAACCCTTACCTTTGTGATGATTACCTCAAACCAGAACTGGAATACCCCAAGAAAGTTTGGAACGAAGAGAAAGGAGATTATGACCTTGTGTTCAGCCATCGTGAGGAAACCAAAAACCCTATTCGTAAGCTTCATCAAGATGAAATTGTTCTCCATAAGCTGTCAGATTACGAAGAAATCATGTTGCTTATGCTGAATAAGTATAAGAATGATAACACTGAACAAAAGCTTGTCGTTGTTGGTCAACCAGCTATTGCGGGAGCAGTGCCGCCAGGGCTGACGCTGCCTCAGAAACCCAAAGAGAAATCGGCTAACGCCACGCCACCGCTGCAGTTGAACCGGGTGCCTTCGGTCAAACTGGTGCTGACGGGGCCGCCACGGTCAACTGGGCAATTTATGCGGTTGCGGCTTATTGAAGAATACCGCAAACGTAAAGACGCTAAACAAGCTGCTCAAGTTAAGGCAATTAATCAAGTTCAGCCGCAAGGCATGGCTCCTAATGTGAATATGGGGGTGATTGGCGGTCCTGGTGGCCCCAACTCGAACCCAAACAATTCGCTTCCAGCACTGATGGGTGGAACCCCTCAACCACGCCCACAAATAAAGCAAGAAATGATGCCGCAACAGCTACCACCACAGCAACCACCGATGCCCCCTCAACAACAGCATCCTCCTCCCCAAATGCAACAACCCCAGCAGCAACCACCACCGCCACCACAATCACAACAGCAACATCAACAAGCCTTCGCTCAACAACAGAACCACCCTCAAATGAAACGTCAAAAGGTTTCTGCGGCTCAAGTTGCTGCGGCTCAACAGCAACACATGAACCTGATGCCACTGACTCCAGCTGTGGGCCTGAGCATGCCTCTGTCGATGGGTACCCCGGTGATGCCTTCTGCAAATGGAAATATGATGCCGCAAAGGCCCCAGCCACACCCGCAACTGCAGTTTATGGATTCTAACACGGGCAATAACCCTGCCAATCAGAACCAGAACAATCCTATGCCTCCACAAATGATGCCGAACATGGGAAATAACCCTGGGCCCCAGCCTCTGGGACCTCCTCAAGGGCAACAGCGTCCAAGTGTAGCTCAGCTGCAACAGCAACAGATTCTCAACAATACTTTGTCTCCCGAAGAACGGGCAGTCTTCAGACAATTGCAGCTTAAAGTTCAGGGCTACCAGCAGATGGCCAATACAGGTGTGACGCCCAATGGGCAACAGTTGACTCCTCAACAGAAGCAAACGGCTATGAACCATGCTCGCGCCTACCAGCACCAGCTCATCCAAAAATTCCCGCTATACTTCCAAAGAGTGAGCCAATTCCGCTTGCTTCAACAACAGCGCCAGCAGCAACAGCAGCAAAACATGATGAACCAACAACAGCGCCACTAGTGCGCTTGAACATATTAATTACTACCCGATTGGGATTGCGACTTTCACAGTCATGTATCACTAAATACCATTATTCACGCGTTAATTCACAAGAGAAATTCATACTTCGTATAGAGTCGTTACTAGCCCAGTTCTTGGGGGCTACCGAGGTACGCCAACGCTAAGATCGTCACAAGCGAGTAAGTAGCGCCACGAACAGCCTCGGAGGCAACCCGACGGAGCAACGACGACTTCTTGGAGAGAGTCGGCCGCTTTACACGTTGGTGGTAGTCGGCATCGTCGTCGTCTTCATCGTCATCTTCGCTGTCACGACCGCGCTTGGTCCCTGCCAACAGCTTGAGCTGAGGGGTAGGGGGAGGAAGTGAAGGAGCCGACGACTGGAGATTAGGGTAGGATGAAGCACTGCAAATACACCACTTCTGCGCAGCAATGTCGGCTCTCAAATCAGCAACTTCGTCATTGTCGCTGAAGAGATTGTCCAGCGAGTCCACCAGTGAGGCCAGCAGATTTTCGGCCAGATGGTTGTCGTAGTTCGTGGAGGCGACAACAAAGTCAAGGTCGTCAATCGACGACGCATCACTGTAGGGGCTCACCAATTTAGTGAGACCAACGTCATGGTCCGACAGGATTTCGACCGACGGCGACTTCCGACCATAGGATTCCCGCAAAAGCTGATCAAACGAAACCTCACTTTCGTCGTTCAGTTCGTAGGAATTGTCGTCACCGCCGGACGCTACCAGCAAGCCACCATCAGTAGGACCCACCTCTTCCACGACGAATTCTTCTTTCTGCACCTGACGCAGGTCGAGACTATTGCCGGTTACCGTCAGGTCGTGGGCTTGCTTCGAGAACACAGAATCGTTGGAGGTGTCAACGGCGTATTGGTTGGTGACAGCATCAGGGAAATCCAATTCGAATTCAACGTCGTCGTCACCATCATCGTCGTCTTCGTCAGAGTCATCCTCAATGACAATGCTGTCAGGGGTATCCTTCGTCAAGTCCTGCTTGACTTCACTTTCCAGCTTCTCCTTTTCTTCTGACGGCTTCGGCGTAGGCGTGGAGCTCGACAGCTTCGTCGAGCCGATAGTCAGCAGTTGGGTATTAGTAGTGTTGATGCTGATGTCCGCCTTGTCCTTGGAAGCCTGCTTTTGAGGAGTCGCTTTCGGTAAATGCTGAGGCGGGGGGACATTCGTGGGGAAGTTAGGCAAGTCCACCGAATCCAACACCAAGTATTCAGCCGTCTTCTTCACTTCAAACCAGCGGCTAATGCGCTTTTCCGAACCGTCTTCCCATTTGAAGTTCTCCCGATCAAGCTTCTCCACTGCGGATTTATACAAAAAGCCGACAAAGTCCCCCGGCGACAACACTAACGGTTCCGCACCCACAAGGGTTTGGTTCAAAAAGGTACCGAACTTCAGTCCAGGGTCCCTGATGCACCATTGGCCCTGCTGCCAGTGGACTTCGGCGTGGATCTTCAGTATGCGAGCGTCGTCAAACAACAAGTTGGTGAATTCGGGGGAGGTCTTCCGGCGCTTCAGCAGCCGACCAACGATATGAGGTTCGCCGTCTTTGGGCTTTGGAACGGTACGTTTGGGGAACATGGTGTCGGGGTGGCTTGCACGTGGTGGTGGGCTCGTTGCGTTTAAATAGTGATCCCCCCCCACTCCCTATTTACCGTTATGTCCTGCACACGGGAGATAAGGATAGTCGAGAGGTTAGGGGCAACAGCTACCCCGAGGTGATCATGACATAGGGGGGTTGCTACGGTGATGGGCGTGGAAGGCCTAGCGTTCAGGCCATTATTACCACAGTGACCAAGCACTTAATCTTTTCCGAAAAAGGTACGTAGAAGTGTGACGGTTGTCGGTGGCTATTGATCCGGTTACTAGCGAAGGTCACAATAACAATGGGTGGCGGTATTTTGGTAGACGGCACGTCACAACACCGCGGGGCCGGTTAAGCTGCCACAACAACAGAGTCTCTACGAAGCGGTCGTCCCGCGGTATGACCACTTAAGGCGGATTGCGAGCTCTGTTTATTGTCGCTTTAAAGATAAGCAGTGACCATGGCCACAACATGTTTGATGGTGTTTATTTGTGGCGTTGTGGGGTCGTATTTGGGGTGATCGAGATTATTAGAAGTATCCTTATTTCCGTGAATGTCGTCGTGACTTCGGAGATCGAAAGCCGCACACCCCAACCTCTTAGACAAAACACCGACTTCATCTTGCACACAATGTAAGCACTACTACCGTGACATTGGGGCTTAGTCTTCTCAAAATTCCTACTTGACAGTTAGCCGGTTTTTTCGGTCGCTTAGTAGTGCCTAGTATAGTTATTGTGGTGCCCACCGCTCGTACGACCCACGGCGTTATCCCTAAGGCGCGAAAAACCTCAGTCGTCATGTCAGGCCCGGAGGTGTTTTATGGCCCCAAGCCACTAACACCGCTCAATGACGAGATGAGACACGGGTTTGATGAGGAGTATAACCTGGAACAGGTGCTCCTGGTACTTGCCCGGCTGTTTTTCATCTACTATGACGACAAACGGCACAATACCAATGGCAACCCCATTACCGACGATATGAAGAACCTGCCTAAATACTACAAGAATTACCAACCCATTACCGATTGGAAACTGCAAAAGGGTCAAAAGACGATTCTGGCGGCGCTTATCTTGTGCCTCAATTTGGGCGTCGACCCTCCCGACATCGTCAAGACCTATCCGTGTGCCAAAACCGAGGCTTGGGTCGACCCTCTGGGATACTCCGAGACCAAGAAGGCGTTGGAACAGATAGGTAAAAACCTCCAGACTCAGTACGAGAATATCTCGTTGCGGACAAAGTACAAGCAGCTGTTGGACCCATGCGTTGAAGACGTAAAGCGCTTTTGCAATATTCTCCGGCGGAATGCTAAGGACGAGCGAATATTGTTTCATTACAATGGTCACGGGGTACCTCAGCCCACGCTGCTGGGTGAAATCTGGGTGTTTAATCGGGGCTACACTCAATACATCCCCATCTCGCTCTACGATTTGCAAACTTGGCTCGGGGCCCCGGTAATTTTTGTTTACGATTGCAATCTGGCCGGGAACATTGTCCACAACTTCAAAAAGTTCGTTCAGAAGCGTATTGACGACGACAATGACGGAAACCATGATCAAGCGGCCCCGCTGCCGACACTGGCCTACCTCGATTGCATACAATTGGCCGCGTGTAAGTCAAATGAACTTCTTCCGATGAACCCTGAACTTCCTGCAGATCTTTTCACTTGTTGCTTAACCTCACCAATTGACATCTCTACTAAATGGTTCATCATGCAACTGCCACTCAAAAAGCATTATTATGACAAATTGCCGAAAAACCTGGCAGGCAACGTTATCATCCCCGGCAAACTTACCGACCGTCGGACGCCGTTAGGTGAGTTAATATGGATTTTCACGGCAATTACTGACACAATTGCGTGGCTGCTGTTGTCACGTCCCATCTTCAAGCGCCTTTTCCGTCAGGAATTAATGGTGGCGGCGTTGTTCCGTAACTTTTTGCTTGCCAAGCGAATTATGCCTCACATGAACTGCAACCCCATCTCTGATCCACCTTTGCCGGAAATCGTTGCTCACCACCCCATGTGGGAGCTGTGGGACTTGGCTATTGATCAAGTGTTATCACAATTGTTACACGAACAGGAAAACAAGTCACCTGAGCCCAAAACGGCACCCGCGCCCGTACCGCCCCCGACAATCATGCCACCTGAAAATGGGACGGAAGCTCGGCGTTCTCTGAAGCTGGGATCAGTTTCGGGTCCGTCACAAACTTTACAAAAAGCGTCGGCTCCATCGCAAGCTCAGATCCTGAATAACTACCAGCATCTGTCATTCTTTGAACAACAACTTACTGCATTCGAGATGTGGCTTAATTACACTGGTCCTCTGCTGAAGGAACCACCTGAGCAGTTACCCATTGTCTTACAAGTGTTGTTATCGCCGGTACATCGTTTGAGAGCTCTCATTCTTTTATCAAAGTTTTTGGACTTAGGGCCTTGGGCGGTATATTTGTCGCTTCTGATTTGCATTTTCCCATACATTCTCAAGCTTTTGCAATCACCCTCGCAGGATCTCAAACCTGTACTCATTTTTATTTGGGCTAGAATTATGGCAATCGACTATAAGAGTACGCAAGCTGAGCTTTGCAAAGACAAGGGGTTCAACTATTTCTATGTCATTTTGAACAATCCTCAGGCAACTCCTGGTGCAGCCACTGCGAATGGAGCTCCCCTGTCTACCCCATTGGTTGAAGACCACAAAGCTATGAGTGCTTTCATCTTGACGTTGTTCATCAAAGACTTCCGCAACGGCCAGCGCCAGGTATTTTCATCAGAGATAATTGGAAACTGTTTGAGTTACATTGCTCATCTGGAGAACCCGTTATTGCGTCAATGGTGTGCTTTATTGTTATCTCAACTTTGGGCGAATAACGTCGAAGCGAAACGGATCGTGTTCCGGGAAAATGTCATTGGTGACTTATTACCTTTAGTCAATGACCCTATCCCCGAAGTTCGGGTTCTGATCATTATTGCTTTCACGACGTTTTTGACAGATATCAATGAGCCTTCGTCCCGTGAAGAACTCAAGCATCAAGATCATCGCCTTGCTGCTGCCACTGTTGGGCTCGCCAATGACGGGTCGCTGATGGTGCGGAAAGAGCTTTTGTTCTTTATGCACAAGTTCATTATGATCTATGAGAAATTCTTCATGGTGGTGGCTTTCAACCAGCTTGAGGAAGAGATTGTGCTCATTGAGAACCCTGACAATCTTAATGAAGCTCGGAAGAAGTCGCCTGCCTATGGGCTGATTTTCTCAAGTGTGTGGAAGGCTCTCCTTATCTTGCTGACGGATCCTCATTGTGAAGTAAAGCAACTTGCGGAAACTTTGATCGATATCATCATGCTCAAGCTTGCCGAGTCAGAATTAGGGCTGTTGGTGAAGGAAATCCAAGAATTTTTGGTGAATAATTCCTCGATCAACATCACCGAGGCATTTAAGAAGCAGGCTGCTTCCCCGGTGGTGAAGTTACAACGACAGAATTCGAGTGGTCTGATGAAGGCACGGAATGTACCATTAATCAATGGCGCTCATCCACAGCGGCGTGTAGCTCTGGCGCAACCACCAAAACTGTCGGCATCACTGCAACTGGATGCCCTGTCAATCATGAAGAAGATTAGCCTTTCGAATTTGTTTAAGCTGTTCCATATCAGTGATGATACCCACGAGTTGAAGCTTCCAAAGGTATTCAATCCCAGGCCGTCGCCGATTAATTATCACCTGCAATACCAACCGTTGACACCGTTCTTCACTAAACGGGATTTCCTGAAACCGCCTCAATTCCCCGAAGAACTGGGCTTCTTCCAATACTCACTGGAATACTTTCAGGAACCACAAATGCTGAAAAATGAGCTGGAAGAGGCTGGGCTGGTCGAATACAATCGCCTGTTGTGGCGTCGTAATCGCAACGAGCAAATTATCCAAGAAACTCAACCGCAAAAGGAATTGGCGATAAGAGGCGACTGGAACCGAGAAGTGCGTGTCTTAGACAATAAGATGCCTCCGAAGATTGTTAAATTCACTCAATTTGAGCGTATATTGGTGGCAAGTGATGAACGGGACACGGTGCTGGTGTGGGATTGGCAGTCAAACCATTTGGTTCAACGTTTCAGCAACATGAACCCGTTCGGCACCAAAATTACTGACATCAAATTCATCAATGAGGATGATCAACCATTGCTTATGACAGGGTCGCTGGACGGCTTGGTCAAGATCTACAAGCATTACCAAAATCCCGACCACGGGATCGAGTTGATTGCAGGGTGGAGAGCCCTCACCGACATGTTGCTTTCGACTAAGCTGATTGGGCTCATCAGTGAGTGGCAACAAAGTCGTGGTTCCTTATTGGTACTGGGTGACGTCAAAGTGATCCGGATATGGGACGCCCAACGAGAAATGTGTGTTGCTGATATTCCTGGGCGACTGACGCTGGCAATCACCACCTTGACCAGTGATCAAGTTGCTGGTAATATTATTGTCGGCGGCTTTGATGATGGTACCGTGCGTGTCTATGACCGGCGCATGGATGCCCGTGATTCCATGGTCCGCAAGTGGCTGGTGGCGCCACAGCCGCTGCCCCAGTTCTCCATCCGCAATATCCACATGCAACGGGGCGGGTTCCGCGAGCTTGTGCTGGGATCAGTGAACGGAGAGGTCCAGTTGTGGGACATCCGCCAGACGCTGTCGCCGGTGGTGACTTTCTACAACACTGAACCGCTCATTCGACTGGTCGACGTTCACGAGCACGCCCCCATCATCACTACGGGGGCCAAGCTGGTGAACGTGTGGACGACACTGGGCGACTTGTTGAGCACATTGAGCAATCCCCGCGACTCCTATCTCTCCAACAACACCAGTCGCTACGTTTCTTCGACGACCTTCCATCCGCACCGCATGGTGTTGGCCACCAACTACAACCAAGACAGCCACATCAACGTCTACAATTGCGTCGATGTCATGCTGGAGTATTAATTTTGAGAGTAATTTTGAGAGTAATTCTGAGAGTAAGAGTATAATCAGTATAGTGCGTATATACACATTCAGTCATTAGCCCTACAAAAATTCCGCTTTCAGTCTCTGTAAATAGAGCGGAACTGTCAGCCCCACCGCCGGTCCGCGCGCATTTCGGGACAATATCGGACGTTAGACGATCCTCCAATGATATTGAGCGTTGGGACAGTCCCAATTGTCTCCAAACCGTTAATTTTGCCACAATGAAAAATTCTTTTAGGTAGTGAAAATATAGTCAATGAATTTTACCAATATCATCTCAACCTAGTTACCCCAGGTTTGATTGTTGAGAGTGTCTCGCTTGTGAATACCCGTCGCTTAACGACTCCGCAGAGGTTATGATAAGTATGCAGGAGCATCGGGTCTCCAGTGGTGCACGAGTGTAGCTTGCAGCGATCGTCTCGATATAGTGCATCTCCACCGGGTGGCGACATACAGTGAAAAATCACGCCTACAACTGTTCACCGCGTACGATGGCCGATGACAATCCCATCCCCATGTGGCAGAAGATGATCTCCGCGTGTCTGGGGCTGCTAGTGACCCTGGTGGTGGTGACACCGTTCGATGTCATTCGTGTCCGGATACAACAACAAGAGTTACTCGGTCCCGGCCCCGCGTTGGTGTGCAAAGAACCTCAAGGCCGTCCCCCGCCGCTGGCACCGTTCTGGGCCACCCTGAACTATTGCCATGCCTGTGATTGTCAGCGCATCACCTCCACCTGGCAAGGTATGAAGTCCATCGCTCAGCGGGAGGGGCTCCCCACTCTCTGGCGGGGGCTCTCGCTTACCCTTTTCATGAGCATCCCCTCCAACATCATTTATTTCACCGGCTACGAGTTTATCCGTGACCATCTGCCCATCTACCACCACTCGCTTAACCCGTTGGTGTGTGGTATGCTTGCTCGCACAATATCGGCGACGCTGGTGGCTCCGTTTGAGTTAATCAAGACTCGATTGCAATCGGTACCGAGCACGGGAACCAGTGGAGGCATGCTCCGTAAGCTTTGGCGTCAAACTCAGGCTGATGTTCGAACTAACGGGTGGCGCACATTATTCACCGGGTTGACCATCACGTTATGGCGGGACGTGCCGTTTCTGGGAATCTACTGGCTTGGCTATGAACGGATCAAAGCTTACATTCGCCGTCACACCGACCCGCTGAAGAATAGCCACGTGTTTATGAACTCGTTCATACTGGGATCGCTCCTGGGACTGGTGGCAGCGATTATGACTCACCCGTTTGATGTGGGTAAGACCAGACTTCAAATTGAGGCCACCCATCTGGGATCAGCGATGTTCAAGTTCTTATGGCAAATCGGCCGTAACGAAGGTATCGGTGCGCTCTACGCTGGGCTCACTCCCCGGGTGATGAAGATTGCCCCCGCGTGCGCCATCATGATTTCGTCCTACGAGATTGGCAAGAAGTTCTTCATGACTCATTAACATTTTTCATTTTTGCATTATACCATTATTCACACATTACATTTACATCGACCCCCACTCGGCGGCGGGACTCATCATCGGGTCGTCGATGAGACACGGCGTTTCGGCAGGCTTGTACTGATGGTAGGGGTGGTCGCGGACTTTAGGCACGTTGCTGAGATCGCCTAACACTTTGTCGGACCACGGCGCTTCGTCACTGACGTTCCACCCTTGTTCCCGCTTGACTGTGGTGCCAGTGGTACCAGCGGTACTGTCACTAGTTTCCCGTTTAGGTGGGGGTCTGGTGGAGTAGGCGTTCTCGTCATACTCTTCCCAAGTTGCGTCCAACACTGCCTGAGCGTTTTCCTTGATCCACCCTTCAATGCGCTCGTCGGTATCGTGGACCACTTGACCCCAATGGAGTGTGAATTGGTCCACCAGCTCGCGCAATTCCGAGTCTATCGCTCGCTTCAACTGTTGCTTGACAAAGCGGAACGAGTTGAGGTTCTCTTCAAGCAGTTCCTGGAGCTTAGTGTTGTCGTACGACTGGGGCCCGTTGCGAATCATCGCCTGCTTTGCTTGTTCTTGCATGTGGTAGCGGTCTTTGCCCAAGCGACGTTGCTTGATTTCCCGGTCTCGGATACACAAAAGCGTCAGATGGAGCGCCTCAAAGTCGTCGATAGCACAGTCGAAAAGCGTTGAGTAGGCCATGAACATGCGGGTGAAACGAAGGGTAACCTTTTCGGTGTCCTCGGGTAAGCCGCTGGCCCAGGTTTGCCAATCAGCCAACATTTTGTCGTGGAGACCGGTGAGCTGGCGGTGTTGAGCAATCACTTTGGCCACAGTAGCGTCGAGACCCAACGTATCGATGAGAGGAGGTTCATTGGTTGCAACCAATCCCCGGGAGCTGCCACGCCGAAACGGCCACCGCCGTGGCTTACTGACAAACGAGTGGACATCCAGTCCTTCCTTGGAGTGGAGCAACAGCGGCTTGGTCAGAAAGTACGACAACGCTGACGACCCGGTGCGGCCACTACCAACGGGGTAGAGCGACAGTTCGGATGAGGGGAACATCGTCTTCTGCGATGAAGGGTGACGAGACGATAACGACATGTTTGCGATTTTACTTCACTTGCCGTATACGCCACGGTACTTATAGACTAAGTGGAGCAGAGCGAATGTTTTGGTGCAGCCATTTCGCTACTCTGGAGATTTTGTATATAGTGACGGGTGTAGCCATCCACCCCTTTCGGCAGAGGATACACTGCCTTCACCGTAACGACAGTTTACATTTAGACAAGAAAAAATCGATAAGAAATGTGTAATCGTTGAATTCTATCATGCTATTTTGGGGAGATCACTTTTTCGAAACCTCGTCGATGTGGAGACCAGTGACGTCGGCGACCTTCCGGCGCAACCCGGCCACGGTGTCGTTGACGAACTGCTTCAGGTGTTCGGCGCCCTTCTCGACGTCATCGACCAACTCGTGGGTGTGCTTAGCCAATTCCAGCAGCTTCGCCGCCACTTCGGGGAAGTTTCTCTGCTCGACCTCCCAGAGGTAGTGTGTGGTGTTGGCAAACGTCTGCGGCAAGAAGTAGCGGAAAGCGACGGTACCAAACAACACTGGCAACGTCACCTTAGCCACCACACCGTGCTTACGGGCAGCAATGTTACCCGCAAGCCCGGCGATAAGAATGTAGACAGAGTTAGGGAAGAGGTCTTCCTGGCGAGCGTGTAAGCCCAGCACCGTCGACGTCACTTGACGTTCAGCCGAGTTAAGCGACGAGTAGGCCTCGTCACCCTTCGATCTCAACGTCAAGTAGACATCCTCCAATTCCTGGCGTACCGAGCGGAACACGCGTTCGAGGAACCGCGCCGATCTCACCAGGGTGCCGTCAACCACCGTCGACGTGCCCACCGCTTGCACCTCGGTGCCGGCGGCGGGGACAACCGATCCCGGCTTGGGGACGACGTTGGCGTCGTCCTCGTAGAAATTGCGCTTGCTTTCGTTGCGGACAACCGCGTGCAGCTGCAGGGCCCAGAGACCCGCCACGACGGGGATACCCACCTTGACTATCCGCAGCATGGTGTGTTGGTGGGGTGTGTGTGGTGAGGGCCTATTGGTGAATCGAGCGGTGCGAAAAAAGGTTCACGCTGCAGGCCGTGTACTGAGGGGGGCGAGCGATGGCTTAAGGTGATGCAGGGCGAGTGCGGCGTCTGCACTACTATACCTTCAATCCATGCTATCACGACAAGCGCTCCGGCTAAGGACATTCCTGCGAACGGTGGCGCTGGCCACGGCTCGGGATCCTTTGCTTTCACCGTACCGAAATAATGACGGCTCCCTCATCAAGGGTACCAACGCCAAAGAGGCTCGTCTCGATGACCGCACCTTACAAGGATGGCAAACGAAGAAGTTGTGTCTGCTTCCAGATGAGGTGGCCAAGACGATAAATAACAACATCTTATCGCGAGCTATCCCCGCCCGGTTGAGAGAACGGGCAGCTAAAATCTACCAGGCGATCGAGAAGGAGCAGATCCAAAAGGCTCCCGAGACCGCGCTTGACTGTGATGCGTTCATCGGGGCTCTTTTCCTCCAGAACTACTCCCATGCCCATCAAATCTTACTTGAGCTCCAGCAACGGGTGGGCAAGGACAACTTTAACCCGCGGCGAGTGCTTGATGTGGGCTATGGCCCTGCCACCGGTATTGTCGCCCTTAACGATATCATGGGTCCCGACTGGGTTCCGGAGGAGAAGGAAGCATACATTGTCGGTCGAAATAATTGGGAGATGAAGAAGCGGGCGAAAATCATCTTATCTCGTCAAGTAAATGAGCTTTACGGGGGTGATGAAGATGCCGCCACCACTACTGAAGCCGAAGAGATGGCTGAACAAGAAGCTGACGCTGTAACTGAAGCTGAAGAAGAAAACGAGTTTCTCGACGATTACGTGGGTCCCATCGCAACTTCCAAAATCCATGTGCGTACGCGTTTCCGGGATCTGTTGCCTGTCACCAAGAAGTACGACTTAATCATGGTGCATCAGTCGCTTCTTTCGCGGGAGTACTCTTTCCCTAAAGATGTCGACACCAATATCCGGCTTTTGCTTCGCTTACTTGCCCCTGGCGGTCACATCATTGTCATTGAAAGGGGTAACCCTCTTGGCTTTGAGACGGTTGCTCGGGCTCGTCAAATCATGATCAGACCAGAATCTCACGTCGGTGAAAAGGGGAAGATCCCCCGTCCGTACATTCCTGGGTCTCAGCGTAAGCCTCAAAGAAACTTCAAGGAAGACCAGATGATCACTGATTTCGAAGCTGAGCTTATTGAAAAGTACGGTGAAGTTGAAGAAGATGAATTGGACATGGAGGCCGACGGATATGATGTTGTTGATATCACCAAGATGACTCCTCCTGATGACGGCCTTAGTCCCACTAGTGTCGACTATCATTTAAAAATCATCGCCCCCTGTTCTCATCACGGCAAGTGTCCTCTTCAGCTTGGGGACCCGAAATATTTCAAGATCCCAAGTCACAAGCACCGCCTCAACTTCTGCAGTTTCTCGAAAAAGGTCGCTCGGCCTAAGTTTACAATGGAGTTGAAAAAGGGGAAGAAGTTGGCGCTTCCTTGGGATAAGCTGGCTGAGGATGGGTTTGGGTTTGATGCTATCCACAAAAAGACGCTCAAGCTGTTGGAAGGACTGGGTCGTCCCGGCAGTAACAACACGGAGGTTGGGTCATACCTGTACGTGATTGCTCAACGCAGTATGAATGATGTGGAAACAATCAAGAAGATTGATAGTGATCGCAAGTACAATACTTATGATGATGTTCCTGATCATCCTGAGCACTGGCCGCGGATTGTCTCGAACCCTCAAAAGCTTAAAAACAACGTCAAGCTTACAGTATGTGCTCCACTGGGTAACATTGAAACATGGAACGTACCCAAATCCTTGGGTAAGCAGCCTTACCACGATGCTCGTAAGGTTGAGCTTGGTGATTTATGGGCTTTAGACAAGAAGGGGGTTGTGGTGAAATCACAAATTCTGGATGAAGTACGTGACAAGCTTGAGGTGTTGTCAAAGACGCAAAAGAAAACGTTCCTCAAGGAGCAACGTAAGAAGAACTTCAAGAAGGTGGTGACCAGAGATATGGAGCTGTTGACGGATGAAGCCTACACTTTGGCCGACTCGATCGAGATGGAAATGGCCCGCACTAATAAGAAACGGTACAAGATGAGACTTTAACCAGGTATGTATATAGTCATGTAAATAGATAAAGGATTTCTCGATTGTACTCCATAAAATTATCTAAATGTCTGCTCGGGTGTTTGGTATTATCTGCAGGACGATACCTCACTTCAAGTGTCCCCGATCTCAATTGCAGCCGTAAATGCTGGTGATCTTAGCCCTGGCTGGCTATGACCACACCATTCGCTTTTGGGACGCCCTCACCGGGGTGTGTTCCCGTACGATATCCCATACCGACTCCCAGGTGAACCGATTGGAGATCACTAACGACAAGCGGTTTCTCGCCGCCGCCGGCCACCTCTATGTCCGTCTTTACGATATCCGTCAAGGAGGAGCGCTGACACTGGGGCAAATGGCCCTGGCACTGGCACAGGGGCTGCAAAGCAACAATTCGCAGGCAGTGATGACATTCGAAGGTCATACCAACAACGTCACGCTGCTTCAGTTTCAAATTGAAAACAAGTGGATGGTGACGCTGCTGGAGGACGGAATGGTCAAAGTGTGGGATGTGCGGGCGCCGCTGGTTCAGCGCAACTACAAGCACGGGTGTCCAGTGAACGAGGTGGTGATCCACCCGAATCAAGGTGAGCTCATTTCGTGTGATCAGGACGGGAATATTCGATTATGGGACTTAGGAGAGAATAAGTGTACACACCATTTGATTCCTGAGGATGACGTTCCCATCAACTCGTTGCTGGTAGCTCTGGACGGGCTGATGTTGGTGGCAGGCAACAACAAGGGTAACTGCTACGTTTGGAACATGGCCAACTCCAAAGACACTACGCTGCTTACGCCAGTGACAAAATTCCGCCTGCATTCCAAGTACATTACCCGCGTGCTTTTGCTGACGGATATGAAGCATTTAGCCACCTGCCTGGCTGACCATACGGCTCGAATTTGGCTGACAGAACAAAACTTCAAGTTGGAAACGACGCTTCAAGGTCACCAGCGATGGGTGTGGGACTGTGCGTTCTCTGCTGACCTGGCGTACTTGGTGACGGCGTGTCTGGATCACTATGTCCGTTTATGGGATCTCAGTAACCTGGAAACGGTACGTCAATATAACGGTCACCACAAGGGGGCAGTGTGCGTTGCTCTCAACGATGTGTAATTATAAAAACCGTGTGTATAATAAGCTATATCTAAATTGTCCGGTATATGACAGTTTAACCCAAAAAAATCTCATTAGTCTCGTAGTTCAAAAGCATGTCAGGCGGAGCCGGCGCCGTCGCCGGGTCGCCCCGCTTGTGAGACGATGATTCTGGGGGCTCGCTGGTAGCGTCCCATCCAAGGGAAAAGTCCATCAAATCAATGGTGCCAAATGACGAGTTTGCCGGACCGCCGTCGCCACCACCGCTCATTTCGCCACCTCGATTTAACGACTCTAGGTTGCCGCGAGGAGGGGGCGCCAGTGACGGTGCTGAAGCTGACGGCGATGTTTGCAGTTGCGCCGGAGCTGGTGGCGGCCGTGGATTGGCAGCCGCTTGTGGTGACGATTGAGAAACGCGTGTCGGTTGAAGTCGCGCAATGTCGTCTTCTAAGAACCCTCCAAGTTCATAAGACCACAAAATGCGTTCGTCTACCCACACCCGCATCACCCACCAGGCGCCAATGCCTTTACTCAGACTGATAGAAATTTCTCGCAAACACGTCATGAGTAAATTCAGCGCCAAGATGATGAAGAGCCGCGGGTTAACGTTGGTGAACTTACCGGGTAAGTCCGCGAGGTAGTTGACGATCAGCGTCATCACCTGCTTGGGGGTTTCCGACGACGAAAGCAACTCGACCACATCCTGCTTGAGTACTTTCTGGACTACCGCCAAGTTGGCATCACTACAGCCAAGTTCACGGTATATGATCTGATCAAGGTCAAGCTGCATCCAATCGCTGAGCATATTGCGCTTATCGTCTTCGTCGCGTAAAATGCGCATCGCGGCTTGGCCAGTCTCAATCACCTTGATCAACCTCACCAACAAATTGGTAAACGACTTGGCAAGGACGAGTTTGCATTGCAACAACGATCTGCCAGTCTTGTGGTTGACCAAGTTGGTCGTCATCGCCTTGACAAATCCGTCGGCAACTTGTTTAAGCATCACCACCACTTCTGGGTGCAAATTAGCCAGAAGCTGGAGCCGAGTGAGCATGCAAATCATCCGCTTGTACAACAAAAGATCACATTGCTGGATCCATCGCACGATTGGCTCACTGGTATAAAGCTTTATCACCGGCGCAGTTAAAATGGAGTTGAAGTTCGAAAATGAAGCAAAAAACGGTTTGAGTTGCATGTACCGCAACAGCTCAAACAATGCATTGATGTGCACCTTGTAAAGCAGGTATAATGTATCAGCTATATCGGCGTCGGTGCCTGGGGGCACGTATGGGTATATGGGGGGAAGCTCAATGCCTCCCGGTATCAGGTTAAGCTGCTCTACCGCGGAGAACAAGTCGGGTATATAGGCCAAGTGCGCCACCAGCGGCACTTGATGCTCGAGAACCGTCAGCCGTTCCACTTGGGGCGAGTTGACGGTGATGAAATGCTTGGGCAGCAGCGTGTGCTGATATGTATGATCCCCATCGTCAGGGGAGCGGGGCAGCAGCTGAGCCAGCAGCCCCGGCAGCGCCGCAATGGCGGCAAGGCTCAGAATCAGACCAAACAGCAGGGTACTGCGGTGGTGACCTCGCCCCGCCAGCAGTGATGCAACGTTCAGGTCGCTGTTAAGCCTGATCCCGCAGTAATGGTACTTCAGATGGCCGCGCATCCCTAACCGTCGGGTGGTCAAATTGGGGAAAAGGATGCGGACGAGTTTACCAAACAGAGCCGGCAGCAATGGCAGCAAGTTGTTATCGGCGCACACCATGGCATAGCGGGCGTAAATGCGATTTCTCGGCACTACCGCCGTTGGCAGCGCATCGCACAGATTAATTAACCATACCATGCCAAATACTTGCCGCTGACGTTCTTTAGTTTCACGTCCGTGCACCGCAAGATCATGCTGAGCAGTGCCAGGGCTACCGGTGACGCCAGTTTGCGTACCATACAGCCGCAAATCCTCGGTGTCCATCAGCTTGATGCGAGCAGCAAGCTCCTGTAAGTTAGTCTCGGCGGCGGCGGCATATGCCATTTGCTTAAGTTCGTTATCGCCGTCATCGAGAAGCGACACTGAATCTTTACGAGTACGTTTGCGGCTTTTTGACAGCGACATCTCCGGCAGCAGGATGTTTGGTGGCGGCATGAGCAGCTCATACTGACCTGAATGTGCTCCAGGATGAAGCGCCTGAGTCGGTCCCTGATGGTGGGGGGTTTGTTGCGCCATGGTTGGCGGTTGCGGGCCGACAGGCGCCGCCGGCACCATTGCCGGATGCGGAGGAAACCGATAGTGAAGAGGCGAGGAGAACTGCTGCTGGACCATGGGCGCCTGGTACATTGGGGTCAATTCAAATTGAGGCGGCGGCGGTGGGTATGGTTGTTGGGGCAGGCCGTGGCCAAAGGTGGTCATGGGCACGCTGGGGATTGAGTAGCGCTGGGGGGTTCTAAAGTTCCCCGCCGCTGCCAGCCAGTCGCCGGACTCGGGTTTGGCGGCGCCAGGAGGACGCGGGTGTGGCTGCGGCGGCGGTGGACCCTTATCATAGTCATCGATGCCGTGTCCCTCCATCAAAGCCGGCAACCAAAGCCAAGGGCCATGCAAGGGCTTAGGGGGGAACTGAGGGGATTAAAGTGACCGGGGACGCTGGCGACGGAAACGGTTATATAAAGTGGGATCGGCCTGGGAATCCACGGCAGCAGCGACGGCTCTGGACGAGGACGAGAGCGAGGGGAAACCGTTTACACCAAATGGGAGCGAAATAACGCGCCGCAACAATGGATAGGTTCGGGGTATATAAAATTGGGGGGTATCAGGTGTCAGACACGCGTAACCGTGACCTGGAGATGAGCGGGAGTGGTTGGCAATCGAATCGATATAATTACGCCTGTGTCATTGTGAGGGATCACTGAGGTGAGCGGGTCCCCTGCTGTGTGCAGGAAAGAAAAAACTCAAATTTATTATCAGCAGCGCCCAGGGCGAGGCTTTTGTCCGGAGCGGGTGATCTGTTGTCCGCACGCGCGTATGGATTAGGTTAAAGCTGAGGCAGACGCGTTTAGTGGGGAAGAGCGAAAATAGGAGGCGAAAACACGGCTGGGAGGCCCGAGTAGGTAATTGTCAGCAGAGATAGGGTTTAGGGGCGGTGCTGTCACCGGCGTAGAGGGGGTGGTGGCAATGCCTGGCAACGCATAATTAATTGAGGGTGTGGCCGCCAGGCGAGAGGCAAAAAAAATATTGCTGCTCAAAGGGAAAAAAAGAATGACAGTTAGCGCCTGCGCGCCGCTAAGGGGGGGTTTCTGTGCTGCGGTGCTGCGGTGCAAAGACGTTGTCGCCGTGGGGATCAAGCGGTGCGTGATTGGACCATCCCCTGGGGGTGGCGTTGCTAGCTGCTACTGGCACCACTGGACGGTGACAGCCCCAGGGTCTACTGCCAGGTTGGGAAGCATTGCCGAAGCCTAATGGGGGGAGTAGAGACAGTGGGGAGGGTCATTCGGAGAGAGGGGCGATTGTTGACGCTGGTGGTTATCGGGGGGATGAAGGCGGTCAAAGGCAGCACTGCGGCTAGACATGGCTAGACCCTGGCTCAAGCAAGCTCAAGCGGCGCCAGGCGGAAGCGAGGAGAGCGGTCTAGAGGTTAGGAGTTTCAGCTGGGAGGGATAGCGAGACCCCTGGCCCCCCGGCTCGGGAATAGCGGCTTGCGAAGGGAGGGGCGGTCGGAGTTGCGGTAACCGTCGCGGAAATATCGCCGATCGGCTTAGTGGGTGCTAACATTGCTCTGGCCGGCATATGGCGGATCAGCTTAGAGTTGTGCGGGTTGTGGAGGGTGTAAGGCCGAAGCAAAGGCGGGCTAAGCCAAAGTCGCTTGCTGAGATAGAGTGGTCCCATATTCGATGACTAAACGTAATCGAGCCCGGGAGTCGAAGCACAGCCGGGTCGCTTCTTCTTGGCGGCGTGCCAAGGATAAATCAGTCGCAGACCTTTAGTGAACGCTGTAAGGAAATCGTAGTTTCACTCACTGTTTGGGTTAGCCTCTTTCTTTGAAGTGTGACATACACTGAAACAGAAACAGACTTTATTTTAATTATCTGAGGTGCTTTTTTCTTCAGGATGGTAGCGCTGCTGAGACTGCCCACCCGCATCGCCCTATCTTTGTCGCACACAGGTCATCGCGGGGGCATCGCATCTCTTTAAACCCATACACCATGGCCGTGCTCAACTCCAACCCGGAGATTCTCCTTCGCAAGCGGAAGGACAAGGACCGCAAGCGGCTCCAAAAACAAGAAGAAGCCCGTGAAAAGCAGCTCGCCCAACAAAGACGCAAGAAGAAGGCCGCCGCTAACAAGTTTGTGCGGGCTGAAACCCTTATCTCGAACTACCGACTGAACGAGTTGGAAAACAAGCGGGTGAACAATTTGGCTCAAAAGCACGCCATCAACTCTGACTTGCCCGATGATTCTCCTTACCGTCTCCTCTTTGTCGTGCGTGTCCCCAACCACACCAAGGGGCTCACTATCCCCACCAAGGCTCGCCAGGTTTTGCAGGTGCTCAAGTTGACTGAAGTCGACACCGGGGTGTTTGTCAAGGCCAACGACCTGACGATGGAATTATTGAGCCTTATCGCCCCCTATATCGTCATTGGCAAGCCCTCTCACGCGCTGGTGCGTAAGTTGTTCCAAAAGCGGGCTCGTTACGTCAACGACGAAGGCGAAACCGTTAAGCTCGACAATAACCAAGTGGTTGAAGACAAGTTTGAAGACAGCTTGGGGCTTGTGTGTATTGAAGACGTCATCCACGAGTTGACGCTGTTGTCTCCTCACTTCACTGCCATCACCTCGTGGATATTGCCGTTCAAGTTGAACGCCCCTGTCAACGGGTGGGGCCCCCAGGCCAAACTTGCCAAGTTGGTTTACTCGGAATCGACCAAGCGGGCCATCTCGATGTCGCGGGACTTCCGGTTGAAAGAAGTTGAAGACATCGACGCAATTATCGAACAACAAAACTAGATTAGCACTAATGGGAATGATAGACGTAACGATAACAAAATACTGCCACTGATAAACTTTGGTAGAGGGCTTTCGCTTGACTTTCGAGTGGGAGTCATCTTCGATCGCGGAGTAAGGACATAGACTCAAGCTATCGAGTTATCATGATAGCTGTCGGCGGCGGTAGGCTAATGATTGTTTCTCAATCAGCTGAGCCACTGTTTTGTATCAAGGTAGTTGTTTATGCAGTTGAAACATGAATCAACTGATCTATAGATTCCAATATGCAAATCCACTCTGAACGGTTGATCACGTCTAGTAGACCTTAATTCACTTCATTAATGTATCATTCAACTCTAGTATAATGACATACAACTTAATATCAAAGTGTCGACTTCTAAAGATAATAGAAAATGAAGGACGAACATGGCCCTACCATTGTATAACAATGATTCTCAGCTCTTGTGTTGAGTCACCAACTACAATCTGAATAGTTTGTCCATAATGATGTATACCTAGGCGATTAATTGTAGTCACCTTTATTTCATCTCTGTATGTACCATACAGGGCTCACTACGCGTCTCATTAACCACCGCGAATGGACATCTACCGTCAGCTATCGACATCGGATACTGCCCACTACAAGCTTGTCCAGCTCAATCCCGAGCTTGTGCTGGCGATTGAAAAGGGGGAGGAGATTGTCATCAAACAATCGGCGACGCTGGAGCCTCAGTTGGTGATGACTTCCGCTGCGTCAACTTGGAAAATCCGTCAGATGAACCACTCCAATCTGGTGCTATTGATGCAGGAATCCAAGGATATGAATGTTGGTGCCTATGCCTCTGGTGCCAGTGATCCTGAGCCTGGAATGGTCGGCGTGGCATTGTGTACTTACGAGTATGAACTCACGGCGATGAAAGGGTACATTGATCCGCAAATGATACCAATATACACGGGAGGAGACGTCCCTAAGAAAGTGCTGATGGCTCAGCTTCTCGACGACTCGCCGGTGTCCCCAGCAGAGTTTGCTGAGGCGTGGTCAAAGCTAGGCGGGTGTGAGCTTGATGGGTACGCGGTGATCTTATCTACTGAAGTGGTTTCTCGAGTGCTTTATCTTGTACTTACCACTTTAATTGCACATCAAGTGGATTACAATGAAAAGTTACCGGTAGAGGACATTATCAATTGGCTTCCATCAGAGAGTCCCGCAGTGGTACGTTCAGTGGTGGCTAAATTTTGCCAGGGTGATAAGCTTGATAACAATGCCGTGGTCCGGTGGTTTGGCATTGAAAAGCTTAAGGATTTGAAGAATCAAACGGTGGTTCATAAGATTTTCTTACTCAAATGGAAATCAAGTCTTCCGGAGTTTTATAGCGTGCCGCTCGACATTGCTGAACTAAAAGGGTACTACTTCACTCCCGTTGATGGTATGATCCAGTATATTGATAAGGATCTGCTTGCCAATGACATCAAGGTTCGCGTGGCTCAGCTTCTTGATCGCCAACGCCAATGGGACTACGATGAGTTTGTCTCCCTTATCGACGACTTGGTGCCTGCGGGTAAGAAACCCGATACGTTGATTATGAAACATGCCCGTAAAAAACGGGTGGGGTCGAAGTTTGTCGTCACTTCTCGTTAGCACCAAAAATCTATGAGATGGCGCGCATTACGAGCCCCGGACCAGTCGGCTCCGAAACGATCTTTTCTCGTGAATTTCCGGCAGCCTTAATATTGACACCCATCCCCATCCCCAGTGCCGGCGCCAGAGACATAACAAAAACATGGATAACACGTCGTTTGTGATATCCCTTGTGGTAAGTGACATGCCACCGCCGACGACGCCATAGACAATTGACTAACGAATGCTAGAGTGGGGCGTGCGCGGGGACGCTGACCGACCTCGCCTTTTTCCCCATTGACACCGTCAAGACCCGTCTCCAGGCCAAGGGCGGCTTTTTCGCCAATGGCGGCTGGCACGGCATCTACCGGGGGCTCGGGCTGTGTGTGGTGGCGCTGGCTCCGCTGGCGTCGCTTTTCTTCGTCACCTACGACTCGGCCAAGGCCTACACCAAAGACAAGCTCCTGCCAGTGGCGCTGCACATGTTGCTGGCGCTGATGGGGGAGATTGCCGCCTGCTTAGTGCGGGTGCCGGCGGAGGTAATTAAACAACGGACGCAGGCCGGGTTCACGGGGGCGACGGGCAAAAACACGTCGTGGCTGAATTTCTTATATTTAGTGCAAAACAAGCTGGGGGAAGGCGTGGTGCGCGGGTTGTACCGCGGGTGGAACACCACCATCATGCGGGAAATCCCGTTCACGATGATCCAGTTCCCGTTATACGAGTACTTAAAGCGAGAGTGGCAGACGCGGTTGCACGCACTGGGCATTGACCAGCCGCTTCTGTTGGCCCGCGGCGCCATCTGCGGCCTGGTGGCGGGGGCAGTTGCCGCCGCCGCCACGACTCCGCTCGACGTGATTAAAACCCGGATCATGCTTGCCCCGAGCCAGGTGCTGGTGGGGGCGTTGGTGCGGCAAACGTTGGCCGAAGAAGGGTGGTCGGCGTTCTGGAAGGGTGTGGGGCCCCGCACCATGTGGATCTCCGCTGGGGGGGCGATCTTTTTAGGGTGCTACGAGTTGGTGCTGCTGACGCTCTCGGCGTCGCTTGGCCAATGAAAAGCTGTACATAGAAATCTATACTGCCACGGGACCCGTCCGTGGGCCTTAATCTCCGTCTCGACTCCGTGTACTCAGCGTGTTGTCCGCGTGATCGGAATCGCCCCCGACTCGGATCGTCGCCACGACAGAAAAAAGCCCCCGGCTTCGCACACCAAAAATTTCTTTCTAATCCCTGATCACCCTTCCACAGGCCTCGTCTCCTCCGTGCTAATTACACCCCCACCCATAGCTTTAGGAGGCTACCATTGATATGATGTTCCGGACGCTTAGTCGAGCCCAAGTGGCCAGATGGAGTGTGAGAGGGTTGGCGTCGGCGTCGCTGCCGGCGAAAGCCACCGCCACCGCTGCGATCGACCCCTCGGTGAAGCCGCCGGCGGGGCTGCTGTTGCTGTTGAAAAACGCCCTGAGGGACGAGTCCAAGTACGGGTCGAGACCCATCTACCTCGACGTGCAAGCCACCACCCCGATGGACCCCCGTGTGCTCGATAAAATGTTGCCGTTCTTCACTGGATTGTACGGTAACCCGCATTCGCTGACCCACGCCTACGGCTGGGAAGCGGACAAGGAAGTGGAAAAGGCGCGTGAACACGTCGCCAAAGTCATCAACGCCGACCCTAAGGAGATTATCTTCACCCTGGGGGCCACCGAAACTAATAACATGGTGATCAAAGGTGTGGCGCGCTTCTACCGCAAAACTAAGAACCACATCATCACCACCCAAACCGAACACAAGTGTGTGTTGGACTCGTGCCGTTACTTGCAAGACAACGGCTTCGAAGTCACCTACTTGCCCGTCGACTCCCACGGGTTGATCAACCTCGACGACCTTAAGGCCGCCATCCGTAAGGAAACCGTGTTGGTGTCGGTGATGGCGGTGAACAATGAAATCGGGGTTATCCAACCGCTTAAGGAAATCGGGCAAATCTGTCGCGCCAACAAGGTGTTCTTCCACACCGATGCCGCCCAGGCCTACGGTAAGATCGACATTGACGTCAACGAAATGAACATCGACGTGATGTCGATCTCGTCGCACAAGATCTACGGCCCCAAGGGGATGGGGGCTGCCTACATTCGCAGAAGACCTAGAGTGCGGTTGGAAGCGCTTATCTCCGGTGGTGGTCAAGAACGTGGGTTGAGATCGGGTACGTTGGCGCCGGCGTTGGTGGCCGGGTTCGGTGAGGCCGCGAGATTGGTCAAGCAAGAAAAGGACTACGACACCGCCCACATCACCAGATTGTCGAACAAGTTGAAGAACGGGTTGTTGGCGATCCCCCACACCCAGTTCAACGGGTCGGACCAGACTGACTCGCAATACCCCGGGTGTGTCAACGTGTCGTTTGCCTACATCGAAGGGGAATCGTTGTTGATGGCGTTGAAGGACATTGCCCTTTCCTCGGGGTCGGCGTGTACGTCAGCGTCGCTTGAACCGTCATACGTGTTGCACGCGTTGGGTGCCGACGATGCCTTGGCCCACTCGTCTATCAGATTCGGTATTGGTCGGTTCACCACCGAGGCCGAGATTGACTACGTCATCGAAGCCATCACCCAGAGAGTGGGGTTCTTGCGGGAAATGTCCCCGTTGTGGGAAATGGTCCAGGAAGGTATCGACCTCGATACCATCGAGTGGAGTGGCCACTGAACACTAGTGTTGAGCTTGTATTGTAATTTATATGATATACGAATTGATAATATTTCTAAAATTAATGGGCGTGGCTGACTCACGCCGGTTCCGGCTCCGCTACCGGGCCTAACCGCGGCAAACGAAAAAAATTGGCTCCATATAAAGGTGTGGGGGTGGTAGAGAAAAAAAGACCCCCAGTTTCCAACTTTCCACACCAACACGTAATACAATTCCAACGATGGTGACGAAAACAATTACCATTTTGCCCGGTGACCACGTCGGTACCGAAGTGTGTGACGAGGCGGTGAAGGTGCTTAAGGCAATCTCGGAGAACACCCCCCACCAGGATGTCAAGTTTGAATTCAACACCCACCTCATTGGCGGTGCTGCCATTGACGCCACGGGCTCCCCCTTGCCTGATGAAACCCTTGACGCCGCCAAGAAGTCGGACGCGGTGCTTTTGGGCGCTGTCGGTGGTCCCAAGTGGGGCACCGGTGCTGTCAGACCTGAACAAGGGTTGCTTAAGATCCGGAAGGAATTGAACCTCTACGCCAACTTGAGACCGTGCAACTTCGTCCTGGACAAGTTGTTGGACATGTCGCCCCTCAGACCCGAGATCGTCAAGGGGACCAACTTCACCGTGGTGCGGGAGCTTGTCGGGGGTATCTACTTCGGCGAGCGTCTGGAACAACTGGAGTCGCCCAACAACGACACCGCGTGGGACACGGAAAAGTACACCGTGGCCGAGGTCACCCGCATCACCCGCATGGCGGCGTTCATGGCGTTGCAACACAACCCGCCGTTGCCGATCTGGTCGTTGGACAAGGCCAACGTGTTGGCGTCGCTGAGATTGTGGCGGCTGACGGTGGACAAGGTGATGAAGGAAGAATTCCCCCAATTGCAAGTTCAACACCAGTTGATCGACTCGGCGGCGATGATCCTCGTCAAGTCGCCCACCAAGTTGAACGGGATCATCATCACTTCGAACATGTTTGGTGACATCATCTCCGACGAAGCTTCGGTGATCCCCGGGTCGCTTGGGTTGTTGCCCCTGGCGTCGTTGGCGTCGTTGCCCGACACCAACACCGCCTTTGGCTTGTACGAGCCCTGCCACGGGTCGGCGCCGGACTTGCCTGCCAACAAGGTCAACCCCATCGCCACCATCTTGTCGGCGGCGATGATGTTGAGATTGTCGTTGGACTGTGTCAAGGAGGCCGAGGCCCTCGAAAAGGCTGTGGGCGTGGTGATTGACCAAGGTATCCGCACCGCCGACTTGCACGGGTCGTCGTCCACCCAGGAGGTGGGTAACGCCGTGGCCGAGGCGGTGGCGAAGATCTTGAAGGAATCAAAGTAATGATGGCATGAAAAATACATAAATACACGTTTATATCAGAGTCTCGATTAGAGTAGATCTAACTTACTGTTTTAATAAGGACAATTATTTATTTGAGTATCTGAATAACGTTCAATAACACGGGGTTTACAACCACCAGAGGGCAACACCCATCACCGCCCAGAGGAGAGTGTCCAAGGGGTTGGCGAGAGCAGCGGCGGCACCCTTTTTAGGCTTAGTGGGTTGGGCCGAGCTGGCTTCGTTGGTGGTACCGGTGGGCGAGAAGTATTGGTCGGGTTCCTTATCATCGAACGATCCGTTCCAGCAGTATTGCTCGAAACACTTCTTACACTGTTCCGATTGTTCGATGCCTTGTCTTTCTTGTTCACGACGAATGATGGCACAACCGACACAGGCGGGCCATTCCGAGTCCAAGGTCAAGTTGTTACGCGAGGCAACTTCGAACCCGTTCCGGATCATCGAGTTCCGCTTGTCGACGTCGTACTTCAAGTCAAAGGTCGAGGTGTTCGACGAGAACGAGAAGGGACGGTTGGCGGTGTAGACAATGAGGGGCACGTCGGTCTCGGTATAGTTGGGTTGCTTGTTGTTGGTGAACAAGTTGGACAAGTTCTTGGCGTCACAGCCGAAGAAAGCGGGACGAGCAGTCAAGTTCAAGTTGATGAACGACTTGGCGTCGGGCACGGGGGGGAACACGGTCCCGTTACCTTGCGAGGAGTTCATTCTTTGGTAGGTCTTGATCAACGACGTCCCATCGGGCCACAGGTCGTTGGTGTCAGCCGAGTTGTCGTAAGCAAAGATAACGTCGAGCTTTCTTTGAGGTTGGATCAACGGGTGCAAGGGGACGTTTTGACCATCTTCACCCCCGTCACAGAGGTAAAGAGTTTCGTTCTGGGCAATCGAACCCACGGTACCCTTGTTGGTCTTGTAGAAAGGGTTGGGGCTGTACACGGCAATGTCTTCGTCCTTTCTCGACCACTTCAGCAAGTACTTGTTGGCGATCAGCTTGACGATGTCGGGAAGATCAGTGGTGTTGAGCTGAAGGATAAACTGGTTGAACAACGACGACGAGGTCCCCATGACGAACCCACCGTTATCGAAGCCGCCAATACAGTCGCCCTCGATGGAACCGTTGGTGGTGTTGGAACCCAAGTACTTAACGTCGACGAACTGGTAAAGCGAAGGGTCCCACGACCCCAATTCGTAAGGAGAGAATTCGAACACGGTCGAGTTTTCCGAGATGATGTAGGTGCCGGGGGTTCTGCCGTCGGCGACGACGATGGGGAAAGGCATTTCGTGGTTCTTGAACGGGTCCAGGTCCTGGATGCCCGACCAGGTGACGGCAGCACCGTGGTCGTCATCGTCAAAGAATTGCCACGAGAGCGCACGCCCCCACACGTCGGTGAACGAGGTGTTGAAGCCGGCGTTTTCCTTGTCGTCGAGGTCCAGGTTGAGCGAGGTGAAGTACTTGGTCATTTTGATGGGGTTCCAGCCGCCGATGTTGATGATGGAGTGGGAGATGTCCCAGATCTGCTTCTTGTTGTCGACGATGTCTTGCACCGACGTCCAGTTGTTGAGCACCAACGACCCCACCATCCAGTTACCCCCGGATAAACCGGTGATGTAGGTGGCCAGCTGCAACAAGCCCCCCAACCCCTTGTCATTAGCGTTGGTGGTGCGGCTGTCCAACGCCAGCAACTCGCCGGCGCCAGCAAGCATGGCCCGGTAACCCCCACCGGAGAACGCAAGACCGATGGTCAACGACCGGTTGGCCTTGTTTTTCAAAAAGTCCTCGGGGTCGAAGTCGGACATGTTGGCGCGCTTCAAGAACTCCAAGAGCTCTTGGTCGGTGTTCTTGTGTCTTTCGGAGACCCAGTCCGCCTCGTCGGGCCGGAGCTGGTTGGCTTCACGGATGATGTCCTTCGAGGTGGGACAGTCCATTTTGCCCGGGGCGTAACTGTTGGTGGGCGACCACGCCACCACCGCCGTGGCTAACGTCAACCAAGAGAGCCAAAGCATCGGGGATTACAGAAGGTATGTGCGTGGGTTCGGGCTCGGGGAGATGTTTTTATACAAATCCTCGCAACCACTACGCGAGGCGGGGGGCTGCATCCGAGAGTGGTTGAGAAAAACCGGTGACCCGCGCCTGACATGAGCCCCCCATTATGCTCCCCCAGACGGGCCACATCCGCTAGCAGCTGGGGCAATCGTGGGCAATCGTACCTTAGTTTCTTGGCAACCGTAACCTAAGGCCAAGGTTTGTGGCGGCCAAGCCCATTGTCGTCCGAGCCAAGAGTTGCTTTGGCATTTGGACGGCAGCGCCGCGGATGCTTATGGTAAGAGATTGGGGAGCTACGCGATGAGACAACCAGAGGGTGGCTTTGATGAAATTAGCCCGGTTTCCCCTTGTTTTCCCGGTGGTACAAGTGGGAAGCACGCGATTAGTTAAGCGCCGCCCCGCCGTCACTAAACACCCGTCGCTATGGCTGGTGCGTCAATTTATCGTCACAACGATCAGCGACCCGCGCGCTGCTCACCCGGCTGTTGTCTGTCTGAGAAAGAGGGCTTCTCCGCCACTCAGAATTACGACGGTGCCCCCCGTCACAAAGTACCCCTGGCCACCCCTGACGAGAGAGGCCGAGTGTCTTGTGATGTCTGGTGTTTATCCGGCTGGGTGGTGTCGGGCCACCCGGGCTTCGAGCACCTCGGCGATCGCTGGAGATAGCCCGCGTCTACGTCAACCCCGTGACTAGCTCCGCCACCTGCGCCGACCCACTCGTCGGCACGTTTGGCCGAGCACCGAATGACGTCAGATCGCCCGCAACCACTCCCTTCTACGAGCCCCGGGGGCCACTATCGACCGTTGTTATCGCGATAAATTGCTTTGGCGCCCATCATTTGTTCCGTTTCTCTGATACCTGGCCACCGTAGCCTACCCTATTTTGGCGAGTCGGGTACCCGGACGAAAAAAACCCGCACTGAGATTCCCACGAGGAAACGTCGGTAAAACCGGATGATTTCCTTTAATTTTTTTCGCTCTCTCCCTCATTTTTGTGGCGGCGACGCAGACAGACAATCTCCCCGTTACCCCAGCGGCGTGAGCCCCTCCTAGGTGTCAAAAGCGGTGCTGGCAGTTGCTGCCCATATTAGTAAGTGGCACTAACAGCAAGTGTTGAATTTTCAGCAGTGGTAGGCGTGGTGTAGAATGTCGTGGGGAGGAAGGCCCACCCCTCTTCATTGTTTATCGTTCCCCTCGTATCCGTAGTTGACTTGATTGGGTGTGTTTTGGGTGGGTGGAGGGGTGTTATTGCTACTCTGGAGAGGCTGTGACAGCGCGCAGTCGTCGTACCGGGGGTGGTGAGAGTGCGATAAGATAGCCATTGCTCGCCTTTGGTGGGAGGAAATCGCTCTAAATTTAGTATACACCACCGTGGACATGCGTAGACTACCATACAACAATTTTTATAGGGGGTTCCCACCCAACTTTGCTTACTTATCAGGCATTTTGTTCGGAGCACCCCGACGCGATAATTGCCCAACAGGTGGATCGTTCCCCTCTTTTCGTGTAGAATAGCGACTATCTCACCCCCAAAAAAAAATACGCCCCAGATTAGACGCCCATGATATAAATCACCCGAACTTTACGGCGAGGGGGGTTACGGCTGGTGGTGCTCCTCCGGTGACCTAGCCCATTACAAATTTGGTTACCCCACGTTCCCAGCACGTGATGATAGCTGAAGTCGTTCGCCCCGCCATTTCGGCGTTACCGACATTGCGAAGATTTGGTATCACCATGGTACAGGAGGTCCACTTGCTCGACAACATCCGCCAGTACCAGCCCCAGTACTACCAGATGTCCCGGCAGCTGATCTGGCATCGGGTGCCGGTGCTGCGACGGCTGGCGGTGTTCATCCTCTTGTTCTTGGGCAAGATGGGCGAGTTGAGGGTGATCTTGACCAAGCGGTCGCTGAAGTTGAGACTGTTCCCCGGCCACGTCTCCTTGCCCGGGGGCAAAAGTGACCTGGCAGTGGAGACCGAGTGGCAGGTGGCGCGTCGCGAGATGGAAGAAGAGATCGGCATCTCCCAGAGCAATGATTTCTTGCTTAAAAATATGGGGTTCACCATTGAGCACTTGAACATCTTGCCGGCGTACCTCTCGCGTACGTTTTCCGCCGTCCGTCCCTGCGTGGGGTTCATGAACGTTCGCAACGAGGACGACTTGCATAAACTTAAGATCTCCCTCAACCCCGGCGAGTCGCTGCTGATCTTCTCGCTGCCACTTCGAGACTTCTTACACCCGATCTCCGAGGAGCTGTACGAAGCGGTGGAACGGACGTCGCATAAGATCCGCTGGGGCGGATTGCCCTGGAACTTGCGCCTGTACATCTTCAAACAAAACAACCCCAACGAGGCCGAGTGGTTGCGCGAGATTGACGACCTCCTGATGAGCGAGGACGAGCTCGAAGACCTTGTCACTGGTGACAAACTAAGCAAACTGGAGAAGCTCGAAGCGTGGGGGAAACTCGGTCTGCGTCGCGACGAAGAAACCAACGAGAAAGTCTACGACGTGTGGGGGTTGACCGCCAACATTTTGCATGATATCGCCGAGGTGGTGTATGCCAACCGCACCTCCCGCGAGCTCGGTGAGGAAGAGCTCATCTACTCCATCTGGAAGTACGGGGGGCAAATGCACGAAAAGAAGCGCCTGGAAGAGGAAGTTAAGTTGATCAACTCGCGGTCATTGCCCAACGAATTCGGTTTTAATGATATCTTACCCCGTACCGAGTTCTTGAAACTCAAACAAATCTATAAGCTCTGATCTCTTCTAATATACATTCCACATCGAACATTATAGAATATATGCCCCATGGTGGTGTCTTCCCTCACAGGGTCCCATCCCCCAGAGCGCGCGCGCGTCGCGCGAAAAATACCTGAACTCCAGCGCTACCTCGTCAACGGGCGTACAGATACCGACACCCGACTCGGACGACAATACCACCCCCAATGGGCAAAGAGAAGGAGCAACACCGGTTTCGGGAGGGGAAGCCGAAGCCATCGCTGCTGGCAAAACTGGGGTCGCATGCGCAGAACCCGCTGGAAGACCCGCACCTCTCACTCGTTAAAAGCGAGGAGGGGGCTACCATGTTGAGATCGGCGGAGGATTTCATCGCTCGTGAGGTCGCCGCCGAGGTCGCCCAGCTTCAAGAACGGGCGCTGTCAACATCTGAAAAATCGTCCTACGACGATGAATACCCGGGGGCGTCGATGCTGCACTCGACCACCCCGCCCCTCCCCCAGCATACCCTGCTGAGTCACATCAACAACAAGGGGAGCTCCGATGGCTCCAGCAACGGCGCCAGCTCGGTGGTCGATGCCCGTACCGCTGAAGAAGTTGCTCAGGATGTCGAAGCCGCTGCTGCCGCCGCTGGACTCCACAATGATGTCGATGATGTTGTCAAGCGAGCAGTGGCGGCGCTCCAGGCGTCAGGCCAACAGATCGACCAGTATATTGACCCTGCTATTGGCGGCGAACAACCAGCCGAAGACACTCTGCGCAAACGGAAACGGAGCCACGAGGTGTCGTTTGTGTGCCCCGTTTGCGATATCCTGTTCCCGCTGGAACAAACATACTATCTCCACAAGCGCACCCACGCCGGACTGAAAGATAACCGGTGTCTGATTTGCAAGAAGTCCTACACTCAGTACAATAACCTCGTCATGCACCGGGTGACGATCCACCAGGATTTAGTGGTGGCCGACGAGCCCGAATACACCCCTGAAGAATTGCTGTCGCTACGCGTGTTCCACTGTAACCAGAGCACGTGCCAGGCGACGTTTACGTCGTACGAAAAACTCTTGGTGCACAAGTATGAACAGCACGGCACAACTAATCTGAAACGACCTTACAAGAAAAGCGCCACGGAGAAAATTCATGTGTGCAACCATGATGGGTGTACCAAGCTGTTTTCAAAGGCTCTGGACTTGACGAGACACCGCCGGACCCATACTGGCGAACGACCGTTCCAGTGCGACTCATGCAACGCTCTGTTTGCTCAGAAATATCGCTTGACGACGCACCGGCGTATTCACACTGGAGAAAAGCCGTTCCTGTGTACTTTCTGTGGTAAACAGTTTGCACGAGGAGATGCGGTTCGAGCTCACATATTTGCTGTGCATCGCTCGAACGGGGAGCTGTGGTAAATCTAATGTACTTATGAATTCGAGAAACACAATGATAACCATGTAGATGAACATAATTTGGGTTGAATTAGCCTGTATACTGATATGGGGGTCTTGGTTATTGATTCAAACCTATCCTAAATGAGTTTATAATAGATTTCGACGCTTTTTGAGGCCAGAAAGACGCAAAAAGGACTCTACAGTCAGCAACGTTTGAGTTTCATCAAATACACTTTTACGCAAGTGGCATCAATGGTGTAGTGGTAACATTTCACTTTCCCAAGGTGGAGCCAGGGGTTCGATTCCCCTTTGATGCACACGTTCTCTTTTTCGACTTATTTTTATTAATGGATGGACTATCAACGTAGTATTCATTAGTTTTATTTCATTACAAGTGCTTTTGTACGGTTTCGTAAGTGGGGATGCTTTCTGCCGCGCCCTTCAGTTGCACCACAATTGAAGAAGCACATGTGGCGAAGGTTACGGCTTCTGCTAACGTGTGGCCATTAGCCAATTGGGAAATGATCCCACCAAAGAAGGTGTCCCCCGCTCCCGTAGTGTCCACCACCTTCTCCACTTTGCGGGAAGGGACGAATTGAGGAGAGTCCATGCCTTTGCCGAAGAACACACACCCGTGCGATCCCATAGTGATGATGATCGTTTGAATATTCTTAGGATTGAGTAAGCCTCTCAATTTGATTGCCAATTGGAAATAATCATCATTCGATTCGCCGAAGACCGTGTCGGGCAACAATTGACCCGCAACATCTTTAGCTTCGCCTTCGTTAACAATTAACAAGTCCAACTTAGCCCAAGTACGTTCATTGATTAATTCAGGCTTGAAAGGAGAAGGATTGTAGGCAATGTTGATATCGGGTTTGTTGGTATTAAGCCACTCAATGGTCTTGATGGTATCGGGGTACTCATTCTGAAGCATAACAAATTCTGGCAGATGGTCACCACTGAAAATGTCATTGTATTCTTCATGTGTAGGCTTCAACTCGCCATTGGCCCCCGCAGTGATCAAAATACGGTTCTCCCCCAGCAGTTCCACGAGAATCACTGCCACCCCCAGAGAGACGCCGTCGACAGTATCAACATATTTGACATCGACACCGGCGTTGACGAGCGCTCCTTTCAACTCCTTGCCGAACGAGTCCCCGCCGACCTTGCCCACCATTCGCACGCTGGTTTGCGGGGATCCATTGAGGCGAGCCGTGGCGATGGCTTCGTTCAAGCCTTTGCCTCCAAGATGGTTTTCGAAAGCATCAGCTTGATAAGTTTCTCCTCCCTCGGGTACTTTGGTAGTAAAGGTAACCAAGTCATAGTTCAATGACCCCACCACCGTGATTCTTGCCATGATGTAGTGTGACCTGGCGGTGAAAGTGGGCTTATATGTAACTTGGTCGCACCCGCAGTTCCGGAGATCATTTTCCGGTGGCCTCCATCTAACAATATGCCGCCATAAATGGATACTGAAATGAAAATGATGCTACATGTGAATAAACGACAATTTCGAAATATGTATTAACTAAGGCAAACGACCTTCTCTCTTCAACTTCAACTTTTCGGCGAAAGTCAACTTTCTTTCCACAGGAGGAGGAGGGGGAGGAGCAGCAGCGGCAGCGGCAGCAGCCTCTTGCTTCTTCAACAATTCGGCATCGCGCTTGCGTTGCTCCTCACGTTGTCTAGCTTCCTCAGCGGCCTTAGCTTGGCGCATAGCTTCGTCGGCTTGAGCCTTACGTTCACGTTCGCGTCTCACCTTCAATTCTTGAATCCGTTGAGCCTTGATGGTTTCAATACGTTCTTGCTTGGCGGCTTCCAAGTCGGCCTTGGCCTTCTCTTGGAGCACCACCAACTTTTCGGCGTTCTTGGCGTCGATCACCTTACGCCACGACGAGTAGTCAGGCATCATCCGTTCGAAACGTTGCTTGAGAGCGACGTTTTCTTCGTGTTCCTTTCTCGCCTTGGCAATCTTAGCATCCTTGTACTTAGCGTAGGTTTCCTTTTCAACTTGCTGTTGCGCTTCGGCGTCCTTGTTCAAGTGAGACAATTCGTAACGACGGAAAGCACGTTCCAAGTGGTCGGCACGCTTGGCAACACCTTGCAACTTCTCTTCAAGGGCCTTCTTGTCCTTGTTGAGTTGTTCAATTTGCATGATTTGCAACTTTTGAGTGTCCAAGTTTTCCAAGTTGTCCATGTCAACCTTGATGATCCCCTTGGCGTTGATTTCTTCGGCGATACGACGCTTTTCCTTCATCAAGATCGCTTGCTTTTCACGCTCGAGTCTTTCGGCATTCTTACGCTCTTGTTCGGCAGCAAGACGGTCTTGTTCAGCCTTCTGGTCAGCGGCCAAAGCTTCTTGACGCAAACGAGCCAGTTCCTCATCGTGCTTACGCTTGATCGAGTCGGCGGCACGCTTACGTTCATCGATGATCACCGCCCGATGAGCAAGAGTCTGTTGCTCGGAAATGAGGTTGGACATGGCGTTAGCCAAAGCTTGTTGGCGAACTTCTTGAGCCCGACGACCGTAGTTGGGGTCAAGGATCTTGGCCGAAGCGGAGAGGGTTTGGGCCAACTTGGCGATTTGACTACGGACCAATTCGGCAGGAGAGATTTGCAACTTGTCGACAGAAGCAGCAAAGTCGTCGCGGTTTTGCGCTTCGAAGGGGTTCGACTTAAACACAACGACGCCGGCTTCGTGGTCGATGGTAAGGTTCAAGTGACCTTCCTTGACCGAGTTGACAATGAGAGCTTCCACCTCAAGAGCCAGCAACTTGTCTTCAATACCGTCGAAGATGCCCAACGACACCAAGAAGTCAAGCTTGACAGTCTCGTACACTTGCGAAACGTGTTGGAAAATGCGGATCAAAATGACGTCGGTCAAGCGCGAGATGTAAGGCTTGAAGTCCTTGTCGGCTTCCAACTTCTTGAACACCAGAGCCACTTGGTCCTTGATGGTCAAAGGTTGGAAGTTGCCTTGTTCCAAAAGGTAGAAAAGCTCCTTCACCGCCGGGTCAACGTAGGTCAAAATTTGCTTCGACAAGATAACCTTGATCAAGCCATCCTTGGTGGGGACTTGGTTGAGGTTAAGCAACGAGGTCAACTTCAGGTTCTTGGTCTTCGTGTTGGAGTCATCCGAGAACAGACCGTCAACGTGGTGGAATTGCGAGCCGTGAGACATGCCCAGGGGCACCTTTTTGGGAATCGCAAGAGTTGCCAACACGAAGATCAGGGCATATCTGCTCAATTCTTCGTCGGTGGCGTTAGGCGATTGCGAGAACAAGTTGAAGAACTTGTTCCAGGCAGCGGCGTGGAACAAAGCGTTGTCCGAGACAGCGAAAATGCGGGCCAAGTTTTCGTAGTAGTTGACCATCATGTGGGGCTTGGGAGCCTTCTTCGAGGCGGTGATCAAGGTGTGAACATCATCAACCGATCGGAACGATTCTTGCCACAATTCCAACTTGACGGCGATATTAAGCTGAGCAAAACGTTGTTCCAAGTAACGTTGCACCGTTTCGGCATCGTTCAAGTCAATAGCGTTGGTGGTAGCGGTGGTCTTAGTTTGCGTGGTCACCAATTGCATGTGGGTACGCAACAATTCACACAAACGACGGAACTCGGCCTTACGCTTGAAGTTAAGGCAGAATCTGAACGCCTGGTTGACGATGGCGGAGTAGGTAACTTCGAACTTGGAGTTGTTACGCAAGATGTCCAAGGTGGCGCGGAAGGCTTCCCAAAGGAAACGGAGCCAAGGAGTCACCAATTCACGCTCAGTGCGGTCAGCAGAGTCGGTGTTGGAAACCGCCGACAACAAGATAGCTTCGGGCAGCTGTTGGGTTTCCAAGTCGTCTTCTTCGTCTTGGTCGATCTTGATGTCGGCTTGAGCTTGAGCTTCGTCCAACTGCTTTTCCGCCAATTCGATGAAACGGCGGACGATCACTTGCACTGACTCCAACCCGTTTTCCGAAAGTTGGACATTCTTCTTGTACTGGTGCAAAGCATCCTTAGCCAACTTCCCCCGTCTCAACTCGACGGCGAGTTGGATAAGCAACAACCCGATGGGCTCGAGGTCTTCGACGGCCATGTACCGAATCCGCTTCAGGATGATAAAGTCGTAAAGGGTTTCCAAGGCGGCCTCCTTCTGGCCAACGCCAATGAGGTCTTCTGCCCGCTTGTGGACATTTTCAGGGCGAAACGCCTGATTCCGATGGTGGGGGGGAGGCATGGTGAAGGCTGTGAAAAATTTTAGTGCGCGTAAATGGTAGTGAGGCCACCACACCTCAGGAGCAGATCACGGAAAAAGCGTCAATCAAATTGAATTCTTGGAGATGGAAATATTTGACCTAGTGTACAGTCAAGTTTCATTTGGGGGTAGTGTTACGTTGTGTGGTCGTGTAGTACGCCGTTGGAGGTTTTCTGAGAAACTTCCTCATGTGAGTGCATTACGCCAATGCGACTCATCAGCCGTGTCCACACCACAATCACAAATGGGAGTTAGCTACTGCTCTATATTACCTCTGAGCGTCACAATTGCATGTTTCAATAGTTCTATTTACCACACAATGTAACAGGAGCATCATAATCATTCTTCAGACATGTTCTTCATGACCATTTTATGATGATAACACCGCTAAGCGGGCGCTTGATTCACAATTATAGTACATTATCATTATCTATAAGTCTAAGCTAAACTCTATTGTCATTACCATTAGTCCCAGGCGGCTGTCTACATCAACATCGCCAACCCCACGAGAACCCCGAGCACTCCGGAAGCAGTGAGCGATCTGGCACCTCCATCAAAGGTGGGGATCGCTCCCTGAGTGGGAGCATCCGATTTTGACGCCACCACTGAAGGGGGAAGTTGAGTGGAGATGTTGTTTTCAATGACGTTGACAATCGACAAGGACGGCGGTGCCAGTTGAGCGTCGACAGTAGGCACCCGCTGAGTAGTAGTGGGTTCAGTAGTCGGCTCGAGAGTAGGTTCAGCCGAGGACACAGGCGCAACAGTAGGTTCGGGCGAAGGCACAGGAGCAACAGTAGGTTCGGGCGAAGGCACGGGCGCCGGTTCAGTGGTGGGTTGAGGCACAACGGTGGGCTCTTCCTCGGGCGAAGGGACCGACACGGCATCACAAGTTTCACAAACTGTGGTCGTCGTCGGTTGCGGTTCTTCGGGGCACGAGGTGGTGGTGACGGTGGTTTCGAAGCACTTGTTGTCAGCACACAGAGTGATAACCACCACGGTGGTCAGGATATTAGTCTCGTAGACTTCATCGACAGGGGCCTCCGACAGAGGCTTTTGTTGCGACACCACAACCACTTGTTCGGAGACATCGGTGGCGACGTGGTTGACGGTGTTTTCGTTCACTTCAGTGACGTACAGCGTCGCCTCAACGTCGTCAGCAGGAGCGGTGGTGGTAGTAGCGGTGGTAGTAGTTTCAGGCACCACCAGCGTCGACGTCTTTTCCACCACGATGCACCCGGTAGGACCACACACAGTAGTGTAGACAACAGATTCGGCCAGCACGGTGTCGACGACGTTTTCGGTGGTGGGTTCAGCTTCGGTCACGTACAGAGTAGCGTCTTCGATTTGAGGCGGCAATTGGGTGGTGGTGGTTTCAGTGGCCTCGACCGCCTTGGTGGTGGTCTTAGTCTTGGTCTCAGGGTGAGTAGAGAGCACGGTGGTGCTGGTAGTTTGTTGCACTTCCGAGCACCCGTCAGGGCCACACTGAGTGACGATGACGACTGTCTCTTGCACTTGAGTTTCCACCACGTCCAGAGTGTACACATCCTCCTCGGTGACGTACAGGGTCACTTCGACGGGCTCGGCCGACTCTCTGGTGGTGGTGATCACCGTCACTTGGTTGTCGATGGTGGTGGTGAGGGTGGTGTCGTTGTTCCAAGGAGCAACCGACAGCAGCGTTTCCTGGAGAATACCAGTCACGTACAGCGTCAACTCGCCGCCAATGGTGGTGGTCACCGTCAGCTTGGAGTAGATGTTAGTGGTCAAGTCGCACACGGAGCCACGGCACACCGTCTCTGTCAGCTCGTAGATGTCGTACTCGGTGGTGTCGGGTTCCACCGACGACGACAGCGGCACCACCGGCTCCAGCGTCGCCAGCAACGTGTTGTTGGAGTAGACGAACGAGGTTGGGGCGATACAGCTATCGCAGGTGGTGGTGGAGATCAGGGTGGCGATCAACGTCGGGAGGGCGACCGCGGGGGCAGCCATAGTGAAGATGCGCTTCATAGTGGTTTTTTCAGAGAGTGTGGGAGCAAGGGATCTTGAGGGGGTACCCGGCTACCTTATTCGTTTTATACCCATGGCTCGCTTTTGCAGCCAGGGCTGGTGCGTCGGCCGTTTTGGGGTTTTGTGCGCGCAGGGCCGGGGCTTCAGTGCTGGCTCCTGCGAGAAACGATGGTGGTGCGACTTCAGGGTCCCTTCGCTCACGCCTAATGCAGTGGAGATGGCTTGTGCTCTGGCTCGAAATGGCAGTGGCGGCATTGCTCGGCGACGCCGACGTGGAGGCACTCGGGCGGGCAACGCATCTGTTGATATATTTTTTCTCGGACTCGTGCCAGTATTGCCGCCAGTTTGACCCCACCTGGCACTATCTCACTGAGGTCATCCCGTCGCTGCCTCAGCTCCAATTGGTCGAAGTCGACGGCCCCCATAACCCGAAGCTCGCCCAGTTGTTTCTGGTGTCAGGATGGCCGACGCTTAAGCTTTTGAACTACGAGACTAAACGCATTACCCATATCGCCAGCCGCGACTTGGGCGCGTTAGTGGCGTTAGTTGCTGCCGAGACTGGGGTTGACGCCGACTTTAGTCGCTACCGCTCGCCGGTCCACAAAGTTGCCGCCCCGGTTGACGTCACCGCCCCCTCCGCCAACGACTCCTACCTCGTGGTTACTGCTCCCTGGTGCGACGGCTGGCAAAACTACCACTACCCCACCCACTTTATCCAGACGGCAGCGCAGAGCAAACACGTCCTCGTGGCGGACATCACCGAGTACTGGGACATCTTGCCCCAGCTCAATCTCTCGAAGTGGCCAGTGGCCTTTCATTTCCGTGACGGAAAAGTTCAAGGGTTCGCACCTCCGGATGCCGTGTATCTCCAGCAGTTCCTCGATAATAACGTCGACTTACCGTGGCACTCGCTGATTGATGACGTTGAATTAATGGCGGATGCCGGTACTGGCTATGGCATCCACGTGGACCACGGTTCCGTCCAAAGCGACGACGACGACGCCGCCTATGACGCCGCCGTAACTCTGATAGCATTGTAGTCATCCACCCTCTATGGCGCAGCGAGCCCTGCGCAGCGCTACCATCATATTGCCCCACCACCACAGTTAGTATTAACGCGCGCGATCGTTTCTCCCAGTGTACGTGTCAATGAACATCTTCCGCTTCCTTGGGGATTTGGCCCACTTGGTGCTGATCTTTTTGCTCATCCACACCATTGAAAAGAACAAGAGCGCCAATGGGCTTTCGCTAAAAACCCAGGTGCTCTATATGATCGTGTACATCACGCGGTACACCGACTTATTCACCAAGTTTTACTCAGTGTACAACACCCTCATGAAAATCACCTTCCTCGTGTCCCAAGCATACATTATCTTCCTCATTGCCAAAAAGTACATCAAGAATACCAAGATTGAGGTCGACACCTTCCCTATCCGCTACTTGTTCGCGGCAGCGGCGTTGTTCGCGTTGATTTTCACCCAAAAGTACACCGTGGGCGGCATCGTGTGGTCGTTCTCATTGTGGCTTGAGCTGGTGGCGATCATCCCTCAATTGTACATTTTGCAACGTACCGGTGAGGCAGAAAACATCACCACCCACTACATCGCTGCCCTCGGTATTTACCGGGCGTTATACATTCCCAACTGGATCTGGCGGTACTTGGTTGAAGGCAAGTTCAACTACGTCTCCGTGTTGCTGGGGGTGGTCCAGACATTGGTGTACACCGACTTTTTCTACATCTACTGGCAAAAAGTGTTGAAGGGCAAGAAATTCCTGTTGCCGGTTTGATTTGAAGGAGAGTGTCAGTTATATAATGGGTAGGTTTTTTATTGGCTAACTTATAATTACTCAACCACTTTACCCAAGGTGTCGGGACGACCCACTTGGCCACTGGCAAGGCCGCCCAGCGACCCCCGGTGACTAACATCAGGTACGTAGCCCAGACTCACCAGCATCAGGTATATTGTAACCATCATCACCACCAAATGGAGTCCTAGACAGTAGAAGAAGAACACCATGCGCGTAAGACGCGTGGCCAAAATAGTTCGGGTGAGCAGAATGAATAACCGTTCGATGGGATTGAGTCCCAGACTAATTCTCTCCTGCTCTTGGATGCGGAATTGTTCCACAGGGTGCATCTTCAGTTCGTATTGTTCCCGATAAGGGTTGTCATGTAAATTGGCTTTCGGGGTGAGTCGCTTCGCCTTGTTGTTGCTAAACAGCGCCATGTACTGTGTGCGTTCGTAAAGTTGTTCGTTATCTTGCTTGAGATGCCCCACCTGGCGTTTAAGCTCGGCGATGGTAGTATTGAGACGCTTAGCTTCGTCTTCCAACTCGGCATTGCGGTCACGGAAGCGGTCCCGTTGCTTGGTGATGATGGGGAGAATCAGTGGCTGAGCCGACGACTCCTGAGTCGCCACCAGCGGCGCAAACAGCATCATCAGCCCCGTGTCGTTGAAGCGCGAACCCAGAGTGTCTACACCAGCTAAATCCTCTTCAAGCTTCACGTTGAGCTTCTTCACTCGTTGAAGCTCAGTGGAAGTAGCCTCAACTTGTTGTTGTAACGTAGTAATCTGTTGCTGGAATTGCGCCAGCAGCTCGCGCAACTCCACCACTTGATTTGTAAGTTGCTTGTTTCTAGTAACCAACTGCGAGTTGACGGCAGTGTCTTCGTCATCGTCAACGCCAAACTCAAGTTGTCGCAAGAGCTGGAGTTCATGCTTCAACTCTTCATAATCATGCACCTTTTCAAGTTTACGTTTGACCTTGCTTAATTCTTCGGTCAACTGTTGCACATGCTTAATCTCATTTGAGCTTTGGGCGGTTTTCTCTGCCAATACCTGATCCAACTTTGATCTCACCTGATCAAGGTTGGCCACAAGCAATGAGTTCTCCCCTTCAAGCTCCAGTACTTGCTTCTTGAAGCCCGCCTCCATCTCCAACACTTTCAGATCCAGCTCGGCTGTGGCAAGCTTGCTTCGTAACAATTCATTGCGCTTTTCGAGTTCGTAACAACGCTTTTTCAGCAGCTCGGCCTCGCGATGAACAAAATCAAGCTCAGCTAACACCGCTGCCGATGCCTTATCGTTAGACCCCAAGTTGTTGCTTGCCTGAAGCTCAGACACTTCGTTATTCGTGCGCAATTCCTCTATCTGTTTTTGGGCGTCAGCGAGTTGTTTCTGCAATTGACGCTCCTTATCACTCCAATTGGACTCCTTCTCTTCAATGATGCTTTTGTATTCGTCTTCTTTAGCCTTGACACGTTGGCTTAAAGTCTCTGCTTGCAGTTGTTCGAGCTGAAGTAACCGCTGCTTTATCTGATCGTAGTCTGCTCGTTTGTTTAATTCAGTGGTAACTTGTTGGAGTTGTTCATTCAACTCGTCGACTTCAGCGCTTTTTATCACCAGATCCAACAGGATTTGGAGTAATGGTTTGGGATCAGGCGCCTCAGATAACACGCGGTACACTTCGAAGAAGTGCCCTTCGACCAGCTTTTTCTGGTTAGTGAGCTTATCAATTTCATTTTGATATAGCTTCAAAAGCGGTTTGATTTCCAGTAACTTCTCCAGGTCGTCGAGTTTCTTGAAGTCCTTGGTTTTGGCGGCAAGGTTCTTGCGTGACACCAACAGCGCTTTTTGATCCTCCTTAACGGCGAGGCCGTTTTCGTCGAGACGCTTCTGGAGGAGGGGGAGATCAATCTCCGTCCACAATTGTAGCGCCTTGTCAAACGACAGCAGCGCGCTCATGGAGAAATTGTCTGACGGTTCGTGGCTATGCTTGTGCGAGTCACTTACTTGACACGCTTTGTAACTGTGCCTGTGCGAACGGGCATTCACAGCAGAGGTGAGCATGCGAAATCGAAATATACGAGGTGTCAAATGGCACTCAGAAATTGTGATGTCGTCATTGTTTAATACCATCGCTTCGAAAATACCGCCCTGACCGTTTTACCATCATTAATGACTTATCGTCCGAGCAATTTCTATATTTAGTTGATAATTACTATAACTCTTCAAAATCCGAAGCAATAGATTATTACAACACACGCCAACGGTTGTGAAGCCCTCAAATAACTCACAGTTCCCCTCAATCACACTAACGATTAAATAACATGACAGCTTATAGCTATTTTTAGCAGAATGTGTGTAGAGTTACGAGTATGGTTATGAGTCCACAGTCAACCATTTCAAAAATTATAGAGAAACGGTAGTACTATAGTTATGGCGAAAACAATGCCATGAGATCATGGGCGTCAGCGACCCCTGCTTGTTGCCGCTCAAATCTAGGCTATTTTCTATCTCGGCCCAGGGCTGCCTCACCCTTGAATTATGACGTGCGACGATTAGCGATTCCGACACGGCTACCATAAATTGACAGTCTAGCGACAATTAATAGAATTCCAAAGATGAGCAATCCTATCGCCGTTACTGGTATTACTGGTGGGGATTAGTCTCCATTTACCGTAAATGGTATCTCACGTGATTATGCTCGCGGTTAGGGTTTCTAGCCCTAGTCGCACTCCCGCGGTCAGTGCAGTACCACGCCCGCCCGGCGAATTTTTTTTCACCCCATCAATAACCTGTTCTGAACTTACCAGAATAATTATCAGCCATGGGGAAGTCGTTTGGTCTTAGATCTCGTACGAGATACATGTTCTCCAAGGGGTTCAAGCAAGCCGGTGGTACCCCCCACCTTTCGACCTACCTCACCACCTACAAGGTCGGTGACATTGTCGACATCAAGGCCAACGCCGCCATCCACGGTGGTATGCCCTTCAAGTTCTACCACGGTAAGACCGGTGTTGTCTACAACGTGACCAAGACCTCGGTTGGTGTCATCTGCCACAAGATTGTCGGTAACAGATACATCGAAAAGAGACTCAACATCAGAGTGGAACACGTCAAGCACTCGAAGTGCAGACAAGAATTCTTGGACAGAGTCAAGTCCAACCAAGCTAAGAAGGCTGCCGCCAAGGCCAACGGTGAAACCGTCCAACTCAAGAGACAACCCGCCAAGCCCAGAGGCGCTTACGTTGTTGCCGCCAGCAAGAACGCCCCTCAAACCTTGGCTCCCGTTGCCTACGAAACCTTCATCTAATCTGTATATTGTAATACAACTTATTGGGAAACGGAAACCTTCAGTAGTCGACCGATCGAGTACAATTCCTTTATGGCTAATATCTTTCTCGACAAGCATCCGCAACCACAAATCACAGAACCTTACTTGTGGTGTGGTTGGATAAAGAGCAGTCTTCGTTAGGGTCCGTGGATTGAATGACGTTAAGTAAAATCACTCTAGATACACTGTCGTAAAGTCGAATTGACCAAGATCCGATTCCTCTGTCGCTGGTCTAGGGAAGTTAATGTAGACTACAGTACGTCGAGGTTACAATTTCCAGGGCCCTTTTGAGGGTGACCTTCTCGAAGCCCCTTGGTCTCGAAGAGGCTGGCTGACGAAAGATGAAAGACTTATGTGTGTTCTCGTACGACAAGTGCAAATAATTTACGACGATTGAGACTAATTGGCGAAGAGGGAAAATTTTGCAAAACCAGAATTATGTTGAATGTAGAATATTAGTCGGAGTTTTACCAACTCAATTCAAGTTTGCCCTGTTGTCTCTGTTCGAATTTGGCTTGTTGTCTACTTTAGTACGATTCTTGTGCAATCAAATCAAGCCTGTGATCATTATCTATAAGTAACCGTATTATTAAGAATTAGAATGTATTGAGGATATCTACAATTACTCTTCTTCTTCGTCAGCAGCGTCGTCACCACCCGAGGCAGCGGCTTGTCTCTTTCTCTTGACTCTGCCGGCTCTGCCACCACCGTAAGGCGAGTTTTGGGCGAAGTCGATGTGCTTTTGCGAGTCCAATCTGACGACGAACGAGGGGATGTTGACAATTTGCTTACCAACAGCGATGTGTCTTTGGTCGATGAGGACTCTGGCGTGGTGGATCGATCTGGCAAGACCCAACTTGAAGACTTGGGTTTGCAATCTTCTTTCCAAGAAGTCTTCGACTCTCAAGGCCAAGACGTAATCCAACTTCATCTTGTCTTCGGGCAAGACACCAATTCTGACCAATCTTCTGATCAAGGCGTTACCTTCGAACAATCTCTTGGGGTCCTTTTCATCTCTGGTCAAAAGGTCTCTAGCGGCTCTTCTGATCTTCGACAATTGGAAACCAATTCTGTAGATTTCTCTCTTGTTTCTCAAACCGTATTCACCGGCGAGCTTAAGTTCGGCGTCCAAACGAGCAGATTCGTAAGGTTGCTTGGGGACAGCGTAAGTCTTCGAGTAAGTTCTGGGAGCTCCTAATATGTTAGCGGTTATTCATATAGATAAACGATCCTCACTAGATGACGACAAGCACCACAAAGATTGAAACACTTGTCAACAACTGCGGTTAGCACATTGCTGACGGCGGCCCTGCAGCTCACGCCGTCACTACCAGTGTGACTGAAGTGTCGGGAGTTCAGTCACGGATCATATGAGGTCCCGATCCTCACCACCAGAGGGTACATGACCATGGTGGAGATGAAACACGTGCACGAGGCATCGTGGTCATTGGGGGCAAAAACACTTACTGGGCATCTTGACTTGAGTGTAAAGAAGAAAACTGGTAGGGTGCGAGGTCGCCTTTTTTATGGTCGCAGAAGATTTTTCACGGTGTGCATACAACAATATTCACCATCGCGGTCTGAGAACTACGCAGGCGATGCCCTCGCACTGTGTAATTCTCATCCCTGAGGCCAGCGAAGGTGACTGAATGAAGTTTGTCGCCCTCATATCGGGAGGCAAGGACCTGTTCTATAATCTCCATCACTGTCTCACCCAGGGCCATGAGCTAGCTGCCCTCGCCAATTTGTACCCCGTCGAACGGGACGAAATCGACCTGTTTATGTTCCAAACGGTGGGCCACGACGTCATCGACTTCTACCAAAACTGTCTAGATGTGCCGCTTTATAGGCAACCAATTAAGGGAGGGTCTAAGAACCAAAACCTCGAGTACGAGAAGACTGCTGACGATGAAATTGAGGACTTATATTGCTTACTTCAACGAGTGCTTGAGGCTCAGCCTGATGTCAAAGGCGTCAGCTGTGGGGCTATTTTGAGTCAGTACCAGCGTACTCGAGTCGAACACGTATGTAAACAGCTTGGCCTTACTCCGTTGGCTTATCTCTGGCAACGTGACCAGCAGGAGCTTATGGCGGAGATGTGTGAACTGGGCCTCGATGCCCGGTTAATCAAAGTGGCCGCCATCGGCTTGAATACTGGTCATTTGGGGAAGACTATTCAGCAGATGTACCCAGTGCTTCTAGGTTTGAATCAAAGATTTGACGTCCACATTTGCGGCGAAGGCGGTGAGTTTGAGACTCTTGTGTTTGATGCCTGCTACTTCAAAAAGCGCTTGGAAGTGGTCGAACAAGAGATTATTCTCTTAGATAATGATGTGGCTTATTTGAAAGTTAAAGTTGAAGTCAAAGACAAAGCTGAGTCTCTGCTTACCCTGGCAGTTGCGCCTCCCCTCCTCGAAGAGCCATTCACTGACTTTGACACCACCACTACTGACTTGGAGGTGAAAGTGATAGACAAACTGGAGGATCTTATCGAGTTATCGCCTCTGGTTAAAGTTGATGGTAACAGAGTGTATGTGGGTAATCTCACGTCACTGGCACCACTGGTTCTGAGTCAATTGACGAATATCTTCAATGACCTCACATTAATTCTCAATAACCATCAACTCACTCTGGATGACATTCAGTGTGTCACTTTGCTTTTACGCGATATGGCTGCATTTGAAGAAGTGAATGCAATTTATGTGAACTACTTTATAAAGCCGTTACCGCCTCTGAGAATTTGCATCGCTACACAAAGACAACTGGCTGAGGTATCGTTTTCGTGTACCATCATCAAGCATCGTCAGGGCCCAAAACAAGGGGTACACATTTTCTCCCGCCTGTTCTGGGCGCCGCTGAACATTGGACCTTACTCACAAAGCATTGTTGATGTACAACCGACTTACCGCTACGCGCTGCTTTCAGGGCAGATTCCCTTGATCCCGGCGCTGATGGACCTTGAGACCAATGGCTGTGAAAGTGCGCTATCACTTCAGCATCTCCACCGGGTGCTCGCAATTGTCAACACCACCAATTATGACCTGGTGATTTGCTTCATCACTGATCCAGCGTTAATGACGACTGCTCGTCATCATTGGCAGCAGTATACGGAACACATTGGCGATGCTAGCGATCAGCTCATCATTGTGTTAGTTGACCAGCTTCCTCGAGGAGCCCTGATTGAGTGGGGCGGTACTAGCTACACTGAGATCTCGCTGGGGATTGACTATGGCGACAGCGATGACGAAGACGATACGCCTAAGGCATCGCCGCCAGGGTTCGACCATGGACGCTTAGTGGCGTTTGGTGACCGCACCACCTTCACTGGGTTTACCAACGACGCCAGTGTTCTCAATTCGGGGTTGGTGGTGGCCACCGCACCCATCGCCAACAGCGCGTGGGAGGTGCTTCCTGTGTCATGTATTTGGGACGTCAACGGACGCGAGTGGCGGTATGCCACCGTGGTGAGGACCCAGCATTAGGGAATACGGTTGTGTAATTATAAGCAGCCAGCTGCAGGGATATATAGATACAGAGTTCGGGTGAACGGGAATTACTTGGTGATATCGCTGCCATCGCTAGCGGGACCGGTGTAGAGAAGCTCCGGCGGCACGGGGATGCCTTTACTTCGACACAACTCTATGAGCCGGTGGTTTTCCTGCTTTAAATCACAAATGTAGTCGGCGCTCTTGGTGAGGATATTAAGCTCCAGTCGGTTCTCCAGCTCGCTGAGCGTCGGAGTCAACAGCACGATTTTGTCGAACTCCAGACGAATGTTTTCCCGGCGCTTCTTTTCCAGGGCAATGTGGTGCGCCTTTTTCTGCTCTTCGGTAAGCACCAGGCCTTTCAGAGGCTTGCGTTTTGAGTCGTCGCCGTATTGGTCCATTAGTGCTGGCTAGGGGGGGTTGGAAGAGGGTGTGACGGCTGTGGGGTAGGTTTTTTCGCAGGGTGGCGCGCGCTCTCACCAAAAAATGGGCCTAGGCGGTGCGGGGCACGTGCCTTGTCCCCTCACTGCCCAAAGTGGTAATAGCGGCGGAAATTCTGCATATAGAACCCTCGATGATCAATATTTATGGTGCGGGAGAACAATGCCTGTATGACTAAGATAATAAGGTATTAGCGTATCGTAAAGGAGGCTTTGTTTGCGATGTGTAGATCAACTGATAACGAGGGAAATACGACAACAACACGGTGCCGACAAAAACCGCCGCCCTATCGTCGCCGTAGCCTCGCCCACGGGGCTGGCTCTAAATGTTCGTGCTGGCTGCTACGCGGCAGGCTACATATCCCTACCGCGCATAAGGCGACCGGAGAAAAAGAGGCGAAGTCGCCAACATATGAGCTACGCGTTCTACAGCTGCCAGCATGCTCGTCATCCATATGCATTGCCTCAGCTACCAGTAAATATTCCAAGGTTCGGCGTCGACGTTGAGGCCCTTCGGATGTCTGGGCGGACACGTTCGTAAACCCACCTTGGCACCGCTAGGTTTTCTTGATGGTACCAGGCTGTTTCGTCACAGCAATGACTTGGCACTAGGCGTCTTTTCGTAACCTAGACTTGGCGCTAGGGAAATTTCGTAACATTTTGACTTGGCACGGAAAATTCCTTAAGCTTCGACTCAGGTCGAAGTCACTACAATTGATTTGAATTATGGTTTTGAATTGTTGATTATAGCACCTATACCGATGTCGTACTTACAAAAGCATGGCAATACCAGCGGCAGCGGCGACGGCAACAACGTTGGCAGCGGAGCCAATGGCGTTGGATTCCTTGTCGCCGGTACCGTTGGTACCGTTGGTGGTGGCGTTAGTGCCGTTGGCGGCGGCCGAGGCGACGGTAACAGCGGTCAAAGCAATGGCGACGGTCTTGAATTGCATAGCGAGTGAATGAAGAAAAAACTGTGGTGAAAATTTGTCTCATTTATAGTGCCGGGACCCGGGTGCCTCTTTCCTGCACAGGGCCAGAGGCGTGCTCTATGACATTATATGCTTCGCGCACCCGCAGGTGGGAGGCGCGTAATTTTTCACGACCCCTAAAGGTCAGCAATGGCGAGCGGCATGAGGAATAATGCAAGATTAACGCCGCTCGGAAAATTTGGCTCGCACGGGGAGGGCGTTATTACCCCATCGCTGCGGCTAGACCCACCATCTGGTTCACCCGCTCGGCGTAGTCGTCACCGTCCTTGATTAATTGCGTCATCGAGTAGTCAGGCTCGAGCCCCAGGCCTAGCGCCGGCTCCGATTTGATCAACTCATGCACCGCCATCAATTGCTCGGCATACCTGAAATTGATAACGCGGTCGACTTCGCCCTGGTTGTAGCGGGTGAACCATCGCAGCTTATACTGTTTGCGGAACACCAGCGGGTGTTTCAAGAGCTGGGCGACATCGATGTTGGTAAGCCCGTCAAAGTCATTGTCCCATGCATGATCGTCGTCAAAATTAATATTGCGTGAGGCGTTCACCGTGTCCCAATCGGGGCCTAGTTTTATCGGGTGATCGTCGAGCCATTTTTCTGGGTTTTTGAGATAGTCTCGCAATAATGACTTCAACTCCCAGATTCTGAGCTCGGGCAGGTACCGATAGTTGTGGTGGACGACGTTGGTGACGGATTTGAGCCCATACTCTTGCAACAACGGCTGCACGACATCGTGGGGTATGTACCCCACCTGATTCTCAATCACCGCGGGCACTAACGGCAGGAGCTCGTGGAGCATAACAAAGTGGTCGTTGCGGCAGTTATACACCGTCATCGCCTTATTGCGGTCAAACAGAGACATCCGCCGCTGCTCAGAATCGGCATACTGGTAAAGGTCAGCGGGCATTTTGTCCTCCGATACCGCGAGCCCGGTGATGTCAACATATTGTCCCAGATCGACGTCGATAAACCGCGCATCAATTCCGTTCAAGCCGTTGCCCTTGTTGCGGTGGGTGATCGATGAGCCACAGTCGAGGAAGTACCGGCCAAACCCGTCGAAATTGCCTTTGTTGTCACCGACGTTTTCCACCACTACCAGCTGGTTGTACCGGCGACACATCGAGTGTAAATCGGCAATGGGCATCTGTACGTCGACGTCTTGGTCCCAAGGAAACGCAATCCCGTTCCAGTACCATGCAAGCAACAGTCCATGGGCAATCCACGTCCGCAACTCGGTTTGGCGGGCAAAGTTAAGGTAGTTTTTAATCAAGCGGTGAAGCGATGCAGATTTGCGAATGTCGGAGGTGATGATCCCTTTGAAAAACCGCCAGTCGTAGTGGTCTCCGAAGGCGTAGTCGGTCACCAGCTTGAGGATGTTGGCCTCGTTAAAGTATTTGGGGGGTTTATCGACACTTAAAGAGAAGTCGATGGCGTCAGCATACGCCAGTTCCCAGGGAAGACTGTTATCGATGGATTCCAATGCCGCTTTCGGGTTAACGTCGAAATCGCTTTCCTCAAGCCACATGTAATTAGTAGCCAGAGTCTTTGGGTTGGTTTGCGATTTCGATGCTAGCCGGCGATACAGCTCAAGCACGTTGACGTGGGAGCGGTTGGGGTAAATGCTAGTGTCGTTAAGCCCCGCTTCCAAAATCTGCGAGTGCATCAAACTGTACTCGATATCGTTGATGTCATTTTCCACTTCCACCTCCAACGGGACATCAATGTGAGAGTTGGTCAAAAACACTATCCGGTGGGGCGTAGGCGCCGCCGTAGAATGCAAGAATAGTTTTCCGGAAAGGTCTTTACCGTCGGCGGTGTGGCGCCCCGACGCAGCGAAAACTTCGAATCCGGTGAGCAGGTTGGGATTTTCCCGACAGTATTCTTCGACGGGTTTTACCGTCAGCCCGAAGCGAAGCTGCTTGTGTTCGTCCCCCGATAGATCGAAGAGCTGGCGACACATGTCGGCGTCCAGCGGCTGGCGATCATAGATGTATTTATGCACTTTGGAAAGATCGACCCAGTCCAGCCAGTGGAACGGTACTCGCAACGGTTGGCCTTTTTCAAGCAAGCGGTACAAGTGGTTATAGTATACTGCAAGCGTGAGGCGGGCGTCAAATGGCTGTACTGGCGGTTTCACTGAATTTTGATTAGTAAAGTACTCAGGGATAGCCACGGCAAGCGGGAGCTTTAAGGTAGGATCGCAGTCCCAAAGATCGGCGTCTTCATCGTAGGCGACGATCTGGGAGCGGATGTCTTCAATGGCCTTGGTGAGACTAGGGTCCTCGATATCGTTACCGGGGACCTGATTGATGTGTTCCCGGCGCCATTTCAGAAGGGTGCTGCGCATTTCCGGGTCGTAGGTGGCGGCCTTGACGAACTCGGTGTCGTCTAGGTAGAAGCCCCGATCATACTCTGGCGTGAGATGGAGAGCCCAGTAAGTGTAGTAGACGATGAAGAGGGTGAGGAGGGCCACCATCGCCTGGAACCCCCGAACCGGTCGGAACAACCCTCGTTTCATCGTCGCTGGAGAGGGCACTACGGGTGACACCAGGGCGGCGACACTTAATTTTATCACTCGGTGGTGTTCCAAAACCCGTTGACGCAACCGTACATGGCGGGCTATGTCGCGTGCGCTGATTCCCCCTTTGGGAACCGCTCTTGCTACCAGGGGCCCCCACTGTCGTGGTTATGGATACGAGCCCGACGGCCACAAAAGCGACGATGTTAGTGGGCCGCCGGCGATCAGTGTCGGATCGGTGGTGGTAGGTGACCAGGAGTCGGGGGCTTGTGGGGACTTTCGGGGCTTTACTCGGGCGCAGTCGAGAGACGGTGGGTTTAATGTCTCAGTCGGGTCCGCTCCGCCACTACTGGAGGCTTAGTGTGGCCCCACCGGTCGATAATCTCCCTGGAAATGATGATCAAATCCATCGCACCCCTTAAACGATAAAAGAGTGAGCGCCAAGTAAAAAAATCGCATATGTATTATCCGTGACAACTATGTATTTAAAGTTCATAGTGGGATGCGGGGATGGGGGGTCCGAGCAAGCCCCCGATGGCCATCAGTTGCCTATCTGATCGGCCTGGGGGCACCTCGCATAACTCCGCCGAAACCCCTGATGGCCGCGATCGGCGAGTTACAACGCCACCTCTCGGATCAACACCCCTTCCTCGCCTTGGCCCATGCAGCCGCGCAACTGTACCAGCGGGTTGCGGTAGTCGTGGTGGATCAGCTCTACGGGCAGGGGACCGAACTGGAAGATCAGCGACGTCCCCGTGTACATGACATCGTCCTCGACCCCGACCCGGTTGCAGCAGACGACGGTGGCCCGGTCAAAGTAGTGACCGGCCTGGCGGCGGCCAAACGTAAGAAACGGGAAGAAACGAAGCACCCAGTAGTTTATCGTCAGCACGCTCGGCTGTTGAGGAATAAATAATTGCTCGTCAGCCTCGTCGTTCTGGGTCGTCTCCACAATCATCGCCAAGTGGTCATCTTCAGTGTTTATGTGGTCCTTGGCGTAGACATTGTCGCCGAAAAATTGCCGTTCGAGTTGGTGTCCGCGGCCTAGTTTGTCAGCATCACTAATGTTGGGGACAATCAGCGGCGATTTGGGCAGAAGCCACGCCATAAGACACAAAATAAGCGTCGCCTGCTGCTGATAGCACGCGTTGGCGAACTCCCACGCCGTGAACGGGGCCTCAAACTTGTACGGATTGAGGTCCATGCAAATGCCAATGTTGGTCCGTGTCGCCGGGTACGTCTTATTCGGGTCCCGATTAAGGTAATATTCTTTATCAAAAATGATGTCGATCGCCCGGAACCCGCGTTCCGGGTTCTCTTCACAGCCAAACTCGTAGTCGGCATCGTACAAGAACAGCTTGCGGTAGTTGTGGAGCAAGTTGCCATTGGGGGCCACAAGCACCGCCAGATTATAGATGTGCTGGTCCAGTTTTTCTGGGTACCCCATGAGAGTGAAGCATTGATACTTGAGGGAGATCTCTTGCGCTAGACTGAGCAGCTTGCCCTGCAATGGAAGCAGCTGCTGTTCCCGTAGTTTATCAGCAGCATAATCGTCCAAATACGGTGAGATCAGCTCGCGGGAGCGGTAGTGGTACCCAGTCACCGCAAGCTCGGGAAGCACCACCACATCGGGCACTTTAGGGCACGCCGCCAAAAGCTGAAGGATCCGCTGGCTATTGGCATCGACACTGGCTCGCCGCAGGTTTATCTGGACACAGGCGATGGTGAGCTTCATCGGGGAACTGGAGTCTGGCTCGGCCACAAGGTGTACGTGTGCTCACGGTTTCAGTATCAGCTGACGGCGAGTACTGCAGAAAGTGGCAACAAAAACACCATTCAATTTATGCTAAACTCTCAGATTATCTATGGATGTTTATCCTACTAAGGTGTGAATACTTTCATAACCACTAATTTCAAAATTAACTTCTCGTTGTATCACTACAATCGTGGAGCTCGCATCGTGGGAATTTCCCCGGCGTTCTCGGTCCTTTTCCCGATAGCGCACACGAGCTCCGCCCACAAACCATTTCTTCCAAAATATTAAACTAACGGTAGTGGTGTCACTGTCGAAACCCATCGGTAACCCTTGATCTTTCCAGTTTCCACATATGCTTGGACTCCGAGGGAAACATACCCGGGCGTTGATCCTACTAACAGGGTTGATCATCGTCGTGTTCGCCTATCGGCTTGTGCTCGAACTGTGGACCCGGCCGACCGTCGACGCCTTCGCCCTCCAAACCGAGATCAACGAACGGATCCAGCCGGTGTTCGAGCAGTTTGTCGATCCCGTACCCAAAGTTATCAGCACCAACGTCAAATACCCTGAATCGGCGCCACCCCGATGGGGTCCGTTTGATCCCCGCTTCACCTTTCTGGTGGTATTGGACAAGTTGGCCAAGCAAGACGAGGCAGGTCAGCCACGCCGGCTCGATGAGTTTCACTGGGCTGATTACGTCAACGTCGACGCCCTCTTTGAGTACGGGCCCGCTCGGTGTTCGGATTTTGACCAACGCACTCATGATGAGAAAAAGGATAAGTACTGGCCCATATACGATCCTGAGCGGTACTGCATTGATACCGATGAACCTATTGACAAGCAGGGACTTTTCAAACCAGGATACCGCATCAACTCCACCCTGGGCCGGTCAACCGAGGAAATGAAACGAGTCCAGGGCAAATCGTACCTTGTGTCGACCATGCCCCCGCCCCATCTGATCAATATGATGTTGGGACAACACATGATACGAGTGCCCGTGAATCCTGATGCCAAACGTGAACAGCTCATCTATACTCTTAGTGACGAAGAATTGACTCGTGAACGTGATTTGACGGAACAACTCAATAAACTCAGAGAGGGGTTCCCTGAAGATTACGGATCGATTCAATACGAGATACCACTCGAGCACAGTGATTTCATCGACCCGTCACTTCGACTTATCGAGGAACTTGAAGCCAAGGAAGCTGAGTTGAACTCTTCAGACTACGCCTACTTGGAGGCTATAAGAACTCAGCCAGAATGGGCCCCTAAGCACTTCAGTGAACTGGTTATTTTGAAAGACATCCCCGGTTATACGTATGGGTCCCATTATGATTGGCGGTTTTTCAATGTTCTTTTAGGACCTCTGGTTCAGCAAGTAGTGCTTCGAGGTTTAGTTCAGTCCTGGCTCAAATTCTGTCGTATCAACGGGTTTCGCAGTTGGCTCGCTCATGGCACCTTACTCTCATGGTATTGGAATGCAGCACCTTTCCCTTGGGACATCGATGTTGACGTCCAAATGCCCATTGCTGACCTCCATCGGTTGGCACGGAACTTCAATGCCCTGATGATCGTTGATTTTGGCCAAGATCGTCCTCGTTATGGCCGCTACTATTTGGATGTCGGCACTAGTCTCAACCAGCGAACTAAGGGCAATGGGCTCAATAACATTGACGCTCGTTTCATCGATATGGACACTGGAGCATACATTGACATCACTGCATTGGCAAAAACTCCCTTGAAACCTCCCAAATCACATCGTGGCAGATTTCAAGACACTACATATAACTGTCGCAACAATCACTTTGTGTCGCTTCAAGAATTGAACCCGTTGCGGCTCACGTTGTACGAAGGCGAATTGACCTATGTGCCTCTGAACCCCCACTCAGTGCTCGCTGAGGAATATAAGGCGAAACTGATGGAGGTTCGTGGGTTCATGAACCATGTCTACGTGCTGGCGTATGGGTTATGGGTGCCAGAAGAGACGTGGTCCGAATTTGTTGAGGCTATCCCTGAAGAACGGGAAGATCTCGATCACATTATCAGCAGCCGCAAAGACTACCTTCGCCTGCTTCACCCAGGGATTAACGACGAAAGGCTCCAAAAGAAGCTTGACGAGATGGCTTACCCAATCTCGAAACTTCGTCTGGTTGACAATTACGTTGAGTACTTAAGTTCTCAATTCAACCTTTTACAAGCTTATCTTGCCCAGTACAATTTGACGCATTTCCACACCAAAGAAATGGAGTTGTTGAACAAGGGCTACCTGACACGGCATATGTATTTTGATGGCCAACACTTCCGCAAAGAGGTGACTACGTTGGGTAGGAAATTGGGGTCTGACCATTATACCGTGCTCACAAACCTGGATGGTACCGACTCTCTTGAGAACAAACTTGACCGATTGAACCGTCTACTTGATCGGTGGTCTAGCATTGACTAAAATATAGAAAGAAACGAATTTGACGACAGCTTTAGTAGGTTGATTGCCGTCCATGAATAATCACTCCACGCTTTAATCAGGCCATATGTTTGTGTGCAGTCCGTCGACTATCTGCAGTAGTCGCACCAACCAATGACAAGTTCCTTTGAAAATCTCTTGCCAACAGACCATCAACGATGTTCAGAAGAAACGTCCAATTAACCGCGAGAAGATTCAACTCGCACCACTCGTTTGGTACTTCGAAGTTGATTAACGGCCCTGCTTTCCCCCCTAACAAGGTCAACGCCCAAGCCGGGAAGCAGTGGGTTGAAAACATCAACCACAAGGTCGAACACTCCGAATCCATCACCAAGTTGTGGAAGAAATTGACCTACCTTGTCGCCATCCCCGCCATCATCTTGACCGCCATCCCCGTCGGTAAGGTTGAAAAGGAACACGCCGAGCACCGTGAACACTTGGCTCACGTGCCCGACTCGGAATGGCCCGTTCAATACGACTACCAAAACATCAGAACCTCGAAGTTCTTCTGGGGTAACGGTGACGAAACCTTGTTCTGGAACCCTGCTATCAACAGACACATTGAAGAGTAATCGTGTCGCTAGCTATTATTAAATGCATCTACAAATAAATGAACTATTAATTACCCTTTTTTTTCCTCAGCTGTGACTTGTTACACGAAATTCGCACTCGGGGTTTGAGGGTGATCTCACCTCCACACTAAGCGTTACACAACTACAGTCAAATTAGGCCGATGCTACAATTTGGTTGGGGTGTGTTGATTCATAACATTTGACTCATAACGTGGAAAAGATGTAAAGGTTATTAGTAGCGGCGATAGCCACCAGGTTTTCTTTCGGGTGCCACGACAAATGCAACACCGACTTTTTGAAGTCAATGTCGTCAAAGTCGGAAGTAGTCCCGGCACCGACACCACTCATCATTCTTCGTCTCATCGGCGTTGACAGTGACCCCAGTTTCTTCAGCTTGAACGCCAGCTTGTCTGCTTGCAACACGATTTCTTCCTGGTCGTCGTCGTCAACATTAGAGCTCGGCAGTTGGGGGTAAGCTTCATTCTTGCCCACATCTTCGTCGTCTTCGTCATCCAGGTCCCGTTTGGCCCGGGTCGCTGAATCCAACGACACTTTGGCCGCGTCCCGATGACCTGAACCGACGGCGTTGGGGTAGATCATGAAGTTGTTGTTGTACGACCCGGTCATAACCGACTTCAGGTCGCCAGAGAATTGAACCTCAAATTTATCAAAGATGGCATCATTTTCGTAAGTGTCGCATAAACGATCACGCAAATGTTCGTGGACGTTGATCGTCTTGATGGGCTTGGTGTCCATATTCATATCCCATATCTTCACCGTCATATAGTCTCTGGAGACGATATACCTCCCGTCATGAGAGAATTTGACGTCAGATATCGACAGAGTGATCTCAGTGAAAAAGTTATGGGAAATCGGGTCCAAGTATTCTTCGAAGATTTTGGCGTGATGATCACACAATGAGTTCAGCCGCATATCCGATAACTTGATCGTCCCCTTTGACAGAGAGTACATGAATAAGTTGCAGTGAGTGGGGTGGAACTCGGCCAGGGTGATTACCTCAGTCAACTCTTCCATATTCGCCGGCTTGATGTCGACGATATTGAACAGCTGGTCGGCGATGCCCAAATTCCACAAATTGATGCGCAAGTCGTCACTGGACAAGTAGGTTTCTTGGTCAGAGTTGATCAGAATGGAGTTGATGTGGTAGGCGTGAGCGTTCAGGTAGATGCGTTTTGGTTGGGCGGAGATGAGCTTGTCGTGGATCTGCAATTGCGGGAGCTTCAATTGTCCGATGCCCGTACCCCCCAGTAAATGCAGTTGGCCATTCAAATTGTTTTCGGCGACCAATTTGATCTGACGCTCCATAATCTTCCAGAGTTTGATCGTCTTGTCATTTGTCAGCAACAAAAACAACAGGTTATTTGACGACCGCAACCACTTGATCTTGTTAATCTTCTCCTCGATTTCCAACGACTTAAGGTAGTCGAATTCGGCGTCGTGTGATTGGAACTCGGTGAAGAACTTGTATTCACACAGCTGTTGCTTCTTTTGCTGGTTGCGTTCAAACAACACCACGCGGCCACCTTTGTCCCCCGTGGCGAGAAACTCCCCTGTTTGATCGAACTCGACGGTGGAGATGATGTCGGCCTCGGTAATATTCTCGATATCACCTTTGTCCCCGAAGCATTGGGAAAACTTCCACGTCTCCTCGGCCATGGCGAATTGGTCTATCGTTTGCTCTCAAAAATGCAAGATGAAATGGGATAAATTGGCCCCCGACGTGTGTATACTTGTTGACAGGAGGGAGGAGAATGCTCGTGGCGAGGATGGTTGGGTAATTCTTTGTAAAAAACCGGCCACGCACGACTAACATCACCGCTGAGTGCGATCGTCCTTACAACGACACCCACCCACCGGTTGCCCTTCTAGGAAAACCAAAGGGGGCGACGCAATTGCCGTACCTTCCGAGGGGCACTAGGGCTACATCGCTAATCTACATCGTTACCGCCAATTGGTCGAGGTCAATTGGAAATAGGGGTCGTGCCACCGTCATCCCCCGGTGGCTGTCTGAGGGTATATCTTTGGCAATCACGACCCCACCGATCTCAAGGGATCGAAACCGCAGCGCCGGGAACGTGACCCGAGCTGGGCGAACTTGTGACATATCATTGCTGTGGCCGAGCGCAGTTTCGACTCTGGCTACGACTAATCAGCGATGCGGCAAATCTGGGCATAGGGGCCGGCATGACGCCGCCTCAGTAGCCAGAGACAGCTTTTTTTTCCTCTCTCCCCTGTAGTGAAGTCACGGGACCACAGGTGCGAACGACAACAGGGCCAGTCGCGCAAAAATCTTACGACGATGTTATGACGATGGCAAAAGGGCAACAACAGCTTAGGCTGAAGACGCCCACACATAATGGGGGTAAAGGTTTTCATTACTCTCTATCGTACATTACACTATGTAATTTAGGCGGTGGCCTTCTTGGCGGCGTCTTGGGGAGACACCTTTCTGTCCTGGTTGAATCTCTTTCTTTGAGGAGGAGTTCTGATCTTTCTGTCTTCTCTCGATCTAACACGGACAATTCTGGCGTGGATGGCGCACGAAACACAGTAGTGCAACTTGTTGTACAACTTAGGAAGAGCGTATTCCTTGTACACCGAGGCGTCCGACAAGTCTCTGACAGCGGCGGCTTCAACCATGTTTCTGATGGTGACACGCTTGATAGCCTTGTCCTTGGGGACACAACGGGCACAGTTCAAGCATCTGACGGGCTTGACGTGACCTCTACCCTTCTTGTTTCTGCCGGAGTTCTTTCTCTTCTTAGCCATGGTGGTTAATAGCGGAACTCAATCGAGTGAAATTTTTTATTGCGAGAGCGTGAGGGCCCACGGTGTGCACACAAATTAGTCACGAGGTATCGTGCGCGAGGGTTGTAACCCTAATGCTAAACTCAAATAGACGGCAAACTACACGCTGACATCGTAATCACCCGAATAAAGGCTGAATCAGGGGTAAAACACTGTTTCTATATTGCTTTATTAAGGCATTGACCGTCTCATTTGATTCCTTGGTGATTTTTATCTTGCGTAACTTTGACACCCACTGTAATTAGGGTAAAAGAGGACAAGGCTAAGAACTGTAAGCGACATATCAGTAATGTTATCGTTGAGTCAATCATTGATTATGATAACTGGATTTGCAGAAGCAGTGGGGTTTGACGTTTATGTCTCAGAGCCAACTTGTCTCGTCACTCTCAGTTAACTTCACCACGAGCGTTGTAGCTTGGCTTGTATAGCAGCCCTACACATAAACGGAGTAAAATCCCAGTTCTCTGCTGCAGTAATTTAGCCCTATTTGCTAGGCATAGGACGACTGTGTTGATAAAGATGTCACGACGCATATGGCTAAAAAGAACCTCGGTTAGGAGCCATTTTGAATGTTTTGGTTTCAAGTAGACGTAGATGATGGAAATAGTCAAACGGTCATGAGGCTGACATTCAATTGAAATGTAAAAAGCGATTGGAGTGGTTTGAACTCGAAGTGACTTATTCAAAGATTGAGTTCGAAGTGTTAAAGCAAACACTAGAAATTGTAATTAAATTTGTCATGATGATAGTTGCAGAATTTTACAAAATTTAACAATACTTTCGTGAATATAAAGAATGCAGTCATATTGGAGTACTTTCTCAGAGGATTAATTATTACACCACATTAAGTCACACCCAAATCGGGTTTTGAGTAATATTAGCACTCGAACTTCGTACACTTTTGGTGAGCAATCTGATAATCATCAGATTCGAACTACGGGGACGCGCGCAAGCCGATATCGCAATGCGAGTCAAACCCCGAGGTCAGTCAATCAGTGAGACACTCGATACTTATTAATGGTTAATTGACCAAAATGCTAGCCCGTAACCCCTATTTAACAAAATTGTCTGCTCGAACCCCGTTATCACAAGATCAGGCCACTTGTTGGTGGTCGTGCGGTGGAGATTTTTTTGTACGCACGGTGCCAGGCCAATGAGAAAAAGATAATTTTCAAAGCACTCGACCAGTCCATACCCAAAGAGTAAGTCGTCAGAAACGGCCACGATCGCCGCGGTCACCCCAGAAACGAATGCGAATACTTGAATGCTCCATTGCGCAAGACGATACGTTGAACGAGGTGCGTGCCCCCGCCCCCTCAGCGGGCTCAGCGATGCCATTGATTTTGGAGATGTCACTCGTGATAGACCTCGTCAGCAGTATCCGTGCCATCCAATGATGGCGTATACGTATACAAGTGATTTCTATTCCTTTCAAGTTTCAGATTATTTCAAAACGATACTAACCAGTTAGTGCTCGCCCGTACTTTGAGAGTCGCTAGACAAATCCCCACCACCCGGGTGTTCGCTCGTAATGCTTCGCAGAAGTTGATGAACCAACCCACCGCCAAGACCTTGGCTGAAGTTACCGGTCCCGACTCGTCGCTTATCGGTCCTGGTGCCCAGCCCGGTACCATCCCCACCGACAAGGACCAAGCCACCGGTTTGGAAAGATTCGAATTGATGGGTAAGGCCGAAGGTATCGACGTGTTCGACCTCGAAAACCCCATTGACCAAGGTAGCGGTACCCACGAAGACCCCTTCTTGGTCCCCACTTACATGGGCTACAGATACGTCGGTTGCCAAGGTAAGGAAGGCTTTGAACCCCACAAGCCTTACTGGATGAAGGTTGAAGAAGGTGACGAACCCGCCAGATGCTGGCAATGCGGTAACGTGTTCAAGGCATTGTACTTGGGTGAACCCGGCCAACAACACCACTAAACATGTTAGCATAATAAGTAAAGTTCATAGTATACACAGAGATATAAATTATCGACGACTACACGCTAGACAACGTACACTTCCACAAGCTTGCCGAAATCAAGTCCCTCGCCACTGTGGACGTCAAATATCTTCACCCCCTCCAAATTGTGGATGCCCCGAGATACGCCAAATAATCGAATGTCGGTGTCATACACTGAATTGGGATCAAGCGGGCCGATGCGGAGGCCATTATCAAGCACTACCACGCCAGTTTGCGGCTTGGGAGCTTGGTAGGCGAGGGATAATTGGGTATTGTCACATGCTTCTGGGTCTGCCCCTACCGGAAGCGAGAACTGTTTCTGTTGAACAAGTAAGGAAAGAGTAATGCGGTTAGGCGAGTTGTTGACTGCCTGGAGCCGCCACACCGCCACGTCACCCATCTCAATGGTGGGACGACCGTTGAACGTTAGTCGTAACCCCAGCAAGATATTATTCACCAGTAAATTGACGGTTACCGTATTTGTCTTTTTGGGCCTTATTTTCTTTTTCACTGCTGTTCGAAGTAAATGGTTGATGGGAGGAGCAATGATGCAAAAGTCAACTAACGGCGTCCACAGCGTCGTGATGTCGCCACTGACCGCTGTCCACTCGTTGTCGATCTGTTGGTGCACTTCCAGCTTCAATTTGATCAATATGTGTTTAGTGTCAAGCTCCTCTTCGTTTGTGAGACAATAAGTGAAGTTGATGTTGTCGCCCAGAGCGAATGTCACTGGCCATGGCTGCGGATATATACGGGAAACCAGCCCGTGTTTGAAGTCCACCAGCATGTCGTTGATCACAATTTTGAATCCGTCAAGGTCCAGCGCTAGTGTCAACGACGCCAAAAGCATCAGGTTACGCCCCGCTGCCTTCATCGTTTTGAGCTTGAGAGAGAGAGCCACGTTCACCGGCGCCACCCAGTGGACCTGCGCCCGAGGGTTAGCACGAATGGTATTCACTGGAGGTAACGGTCCTCCGGTTTCGTAGATGGCAGCGCTCAAATATTGATGATTGAGCTCCGCTAACAAATTACGACTTCGCGGCTCAAGGTCGGGCAAATTAGCTTGTGGCAGGAGTATCTCTTCCTCCTCCACCATCTGAGCCATCACTACCACGTGAGGGTTATCAAATTTGGTACGAGGGTAAGTGATAGTAAATGAAAACGGGTAGACAGTGGTACCATCATCACGAGGCTCAGCCTCGGTCAACACGGCATCGTGCACGGAGAAAGCATCCGGGAAGTCGCCATTTGCCTGCTTAAAGGCGTCAATTCGGTCGTGGGGCACGATTGACACCGCCACCAGGACGCGGGCCTGAGGCAACACCGGGCCGTGGCTGACGACGTACCCCGTCACCCGTTCGTCGAAAAAACAGATGGCTCGGGCCCGCGTGCCCACAGATAGCTCTAGACTAAGAGACATTGGCGATGGGCGCGACGAGGGCGGGGGCTGGGAGTCGGAGTGATGCTCGTTTGCCGGTACCTGAGAGGTGGAATGATTTCGCCAATGCGACTCATGAACAAAAACGTGATGGCAGTCACCAAATGTCAGCGACGAAAATGATGATAAATAGATATATTCAAGAAAAATTCGTTCTATAAGTTTCATATATAAGTAGTGTGTTTTGTAATTTTGTACATCGAGTTAATGTAGATCGAGTGGTTGATTATTGGAACGGAAAAACATTGATCCGGGACGAATAACTAATCAGGAACTTGATTAATGTGACTACGTAATGAAATCTATAAAGTATTCGGTGTGTGTATTTTGAGTCATTAAAAGAAGTTCCGATCGGGGTGAGGTTCAATGGACCATACGAAGGCCACCGCCCTTTTGATCGAGGTCATCAGCAATATACGCCACTGATTCGGTGTTTTCACCCCAGCCTAGCCGGGCCAGAGTGATGACATGCTTAAGGTTAGGTAATCGTCCATCATCAAGGGCAATTGCCAAGTCGATGGGATCAAGTTTGGTGGTGGTTCCGAGCGAGCCCAGCGACCCGAGGTAGAGCACCCTCAACGGACGTTGCGGGTCCGGCACGAGGTTGTCTTCGTCGAAAAACGTTCCCAGCACGTACTCGACCAGCACCTCGAGCTCTTTGAGAAAGGGCGCGTAGTTAAACACCACATCCAGGGCCCCCAGCGAGAGATTGGGCATGGGGTATTGGATACGGAAACAAGTGAGATTTCGTCCCACTTTGAGTAAGATATCGTGAAACCCAGAGTCGTGGATCTGAGGACAGTTGGAGAACTCGAGGGTGGTGATCGTCAGCGGGAACGTCAGCTTAATGAGGAAGTCGTCGGTAACCCCACCGGAGATGTGGAGATGCGCTAGGCGAGGCGGCCAGCAAATGGTCTCGTAGTCGGTGATTTCCACCAGCGACCGCGGGAATGCAAGATGGGTAAGATGCTGGAGCCGGCTCACCAGGCGAAACAACTCGCCGAGGTCGAGCATTTCCAGAACCAACGAGAGGTCGAGGATCTTAAGGTTGAGACAGTTTTTCAACGCTAGAAGAGGGCCAAAACCAAACGAGGTACAGGGGGCGACGAACATCTCGAGCGACGGCGCCAGCCGTTTGAGGAGCTTGGCGACAAAGGCGTTTTTGCCCAGCTGGACCACGGTACTCATGTCCAACTGTTTCACCTGGCGGCCCAAATGGCGCTTCTTGGTGATGGCATCAACAAAGCCATAGAAATTTGTCGCCTTAAGCACCGGGTGGTGATACACTAGCGGCACCAACGCCGCGTATAGGAGTTTGGATAACGTCAAGTGTTTTGACCGTATGCGGTAGGTGTGGCAGTAGATTTCGAAGATCCACACGATGATTTCGATGGGGAGAGCCATCAATTGCAGCTGAGCTGGCTGGTAGTGGCCGACAACGTGAAGGATGTGGTCCTCGTCATCGCTGTCGGCATCGGGACCCGCCGCCGCCTGAAAGCGGCGGTACGGGACCACCGTTTTCTTTGCCCTTCGTTTGTTGACTATGGTGACGACGCTGAGTCTCGATACTCAGCTGATGATCAAATAAGGTAAAAACGGGAGATGGCGTCGTGGGTGGAGAGAATCCGGTTATGATGCCCGCACCTAAGATAAAAAGCAATGTGACAAAGCCGCAGCGAGCATAAGTGTGGAAGCCGCTCGAAGCTACCGTCAACAGAAACGTTTGTGGGGGGGCCATCGGAAAAACGTAGTGATGTGACTGCTCGGAGTGTCCATGCTTTAGAAATATTGCTTTTTATTTTTTTTTCTCGTTTAGTTTTCGTCTCGATCGCTTAGCCACTTTTGGGAGTAACTCGTACAACAGAAAACAGTATCATGGGGAATTGTGATGTACAACATACCGAATGTAAAGACAAGATTCAAATTGAATTCTACAGCAACGTTTGAAATCAACTGAGAGTAAATTCCTTGAACTAGTAAGATACTTGTCAGTAGTAAATAGGTGCGGAATGTAAACAGATGACTTCTAGACCCGCAAAAGCGATGAGATGAGAGACACATTTTCCACCCACGGATAAATGCCGTGATTCTACGACCATCTATGCCAGCAACCTGACGTTTAATTCTGAAAAAAGCAAGTGTCACCGCCGCGTTTAATGAGGGCTAGCCTCGGATCTCCGTTTCTATGGTCTTCTTTTCGCTGTCCCCGCATCCTCACAAATGGTGATCTGAAAACTGTATATAAGTGCGAGTGGCGCCGCGACTGCCACACCACTTACAAAAAAAAAATTTTTCAGTTGAGATTATCATATTTGCAAGATGGTTTTAGTTCAAGATTTGTTGCACCCCTCCGCCGAAACTGAAGCGAAGAAACACAAGAAGAAGACCCTTGTGCAAGGCCCCAAGTCCTTCTTCATGGATGTCAAGTGCCCCGGCTGCCTCCAGATCACCACCGTGTTCTCGAACGCCCAGACCGCCGTCACCTGTGACTCGTGCTCGACTGTGTTGTGCACTCCCACCGGTGGTAAGGCCAAGTTGACCGAAGGCTGCTCGTTCAGAAAGAAGTAAACGACGAGACTTTGCATGCCCCTTTCAAAGGCGCCTCATGAAATAATGTGTATAATAGTTTAGGGTTAAAGATAATATATAGGAATTTCTTTACGAAATTGATCGTCTTGTAAGTGTCACGGGAACAACCAGTTGTATCCCAACGCCAATACCACAATCCCCAATAGCCAGAGCCGGCCGCGGCTCGTCGTCAAAAACCAGAGGCCCCACCCGAGACTGGCATCGCTCAACCGACGCAACGCCGAGTTGACGAGACGGTCCCACCCGGTGGGTTTCATATACACTTCGGTGGGGCCCACCACTTCGACGCCGCCTCCAGTGGGCTCAATGACAAGTTGGAAGCCTCCTGCCGACACGATGGCGTCGGGAGCAGTGTCGGGAATCGAGATGTGGAGACTGACGGGCCGGTGGTCCAGCAAAAGGATGTGCGACACCGCGGCGTAGCGGTGGACCTGGGGTTGGGTTTGCGGGTAGCATGACTGGTAAAGCACTCGATCACACCACAGCGGCGCCCGGGTGCGTTTATAGATGGCGGTATGAGTCTCATACTTGTATGTGGGACGGAAATCGATGGGGGCTTCGGCAAACCCCATAAACGCCTCGCCACGAGCCATGGCGCGTGTCAATTCGTCGTAGCGGCTCACCAAGGTGGGGATCTCGGCTTCCAGTTGTTGGGCCAGCTGGTCCTGGAGTCGCCACAACGATTGCATTTCTGGTGAGTGAGGATTAAACTTCTCTGTGGTTCGGTAATTGAGATCGCCAAGGAAGAAAGTATGGCTATCAGGTTTAAGCAAGCCGTAGCCATCGCCAAAGTCGAGGCCTCGCATCACCGCCACGCTGACTTTGTTGCGGAATGTGTAGTGGTCATTACCTTCGTGAGCCGGTAAATGGGCCCCACCAAACGAGATATCGACGCTTCGGGTATCACTCAATTTGTAGGCAAGACGGACACCCACGCCGCCTTTAAGTGATGAAAACCCAATCCCATACGACACGGTGGCCGTGCGTACTCGAGAGATCTTGGAAGCAAATGGCGAGATCACCACCATCGCCATCGCTCCAACGTGGACAAGCCCCACCGTCTTAAACCTAAGATTTGCCCCATTGTATTTAGCACTCAACGCCCGAATGAACGCGTCCAGATAGCCAATGGCGTAGTGGTTGGCAGTATCATAGAAGCACCCGTCCATGATGCCGCACATTTCCTGGAGAGCAAACACGTAGAGCTCACACACTTCGTCGGGGAGATCCTTGACACATCCGGTGATGAAAGTTTGTGAGTCAATTGGCTGCTTGCCACAATTGTAGGTGAATAAGTATATGGGTATCATTAGCCACCCCGGTCGTCTTGGCGAGTGCGAGATAGAGTACGCTTGCGCCGCACATGCAGGGACAGCAACCCCGTCATCATTCAGTTACACTTGACACGCCGAGTGAAACCAAGTAAAGCTCAGATCGAAAACCATCGTGATCAGTGGCAGTTGAGGTGACGACCACAATATCTGCCTACGTGTCCACAACAGAAAATATGACAAATTAATCAATAAAATAACAGTAGACAATGAATAATGATACATGAAATACTGCAAACAGCTTTTAGTTCCATTATACTCAAATTGTCATTGAGTCCATTTTCTTCGAATCGTTCGCTTGATCGTGTTTCCGTTGTGTTTTTGAGAGTGCTCCGGCTTGACTCAATTACGAGCCCCGCGGGCGATGCCGCCGATGAAGTCGCGCAGAGCTTTTCCCTATCGCTAGCCACGACCATAGGACTATGGGGTCTAAACGGGCGAAAAAGCTGCAGCCAGCGCTCGAAAACCGACCAGACATGCTTGACGAAACCGGCAGGTTCGATGTCCTCAGCAAACTACCGGAAAATTACCACGAGGACGCCGCGTTCGACTATGAGAAACGCCTGGCGCTGGTAGAACCGGAAATCGTGCTAGTGGACTCCGACGACGACGACGACGACGCTACCACTGACCGTCCGATGATCTCGGAAGCTAACGGTGATATCATCATTGACGTGTCGAGTGCCTCCGACTCGGAATCCGAGGCTAAACCACCGACACCCGCGAATGAGCTCACCGAGAACCAGGACTTTATTGGGTTTGGCGACGACTCTAGCGATAGTGAAATGGATGAGGGTGAATACTCTGATGACGGCATCATTCTGGGCGACGAAGTCAGCGCCCACCACCGTCCTCGGGCCCAACTGCCGTTCCCGTGGATTAAAGACCACGACCACCTGAAAGAGATCGAGATCGCCGACTGGTTGACCGAGGAGATGAAGGACTTTGTCAATTATATCTCGCCGTCGAAAAAGGAGATTGAGACGCGTAACCGCATTATAGATGGGCTTAAGCTGGCGATCAAGGAGTACTGGCCCGAGTGCACCGCCCACGTGTTTGGGCTGAGTGCCACCGACTTGTACTTACCGGAGCTGGACATCGACATGGTGGTGGTGCTGCGGAGTGGCACCTACGAAGAACGCAGCCGGTTGTACCAGTTGTCGCTGAGATTACGCCAGCTTAAGCTCGCCACCAAAATCGAGGTCATCGCCAAGACTAAAGTGCCCATCATCAAGTTTGTCGACCCCCAACTGGGAGTGCACGTCGACATCTCGTTTGAACGGGTTAACGGGATTCACGCCGCGCAAAACATCCGCAAATGGATTGCGCAAATGCCTGGTTTACGGGAAATGGTCCTCATCATCAAGCAGTTTCTCTCTCTGCGAAAACTCAACAACCCTCATGTCGGTGGTTTAGGCGGTTATGCCACCATCATCATGGCCTACCACTTTCTCCGCATGCACCCGAAAGTGTCGTCAAATACGATGAGTGTCCCCGACAACCTTGGTCCTTTGCTCATTGAGTTTTTCGAGCTCTATGGGCGTAACATCAACTACGATATCGTGGGGCTCAGTCTCGGCAAAGATGGTGATACCCCTTGCTATATCCGCAAGGAAGAACACAGAGTGCTCAATACCAGCAGGAACCCGTACTCGATTGTCATCCAGGACCCGCTGGAACCGGAAAACAACATTACTCGAGCGACGTTTGCATTGCGCGACATCAAAAAGGCATTTGGTGGGGCGTTTCAACTCTTAACGGCGCGGTGCTACGAATTAAACCAAGCCCTGTATAAGCAGCGGTTGGGCCAGCTGATATTGGGTGACATCATCAAGTACCGCGGCAAAGAGCGTAACTTCATCGACGAAAGAGATCTAGTACCCAACCAGGCGTTGATTGGTGACCGAGTAAAACTTCATGGCGACGACAGCCCCAAGAAGCGGCGCAAGCAGCCGAAGGAAGTGTACCTGGTGGCCAGTTCCAGCGACGACAATGGCTACGAACCTACGTTTGAAGACCGCCAACAACTGGCGAAGAAGGTTATGGATTTGATGGGAATTGACGATGATGATGACGACAACACTGCAGCTCCCCGCAAACGGGCCCACAGCAGTTCTGACGACGACAGCGACGACGAAGCCCGCCGCGCGGCGAAGCGGCTGAAGCTGGTGAACAAAGACACCAAGCGTGACTTCTGGCTCGCAAAGGGCAACGAGCTCACGGGAACTAAGTAACGAGGATATGTAATATTATAGGACATTATTAGCATTATTTAGTAGGCGGGTTGTTTTTAGCAGCATCTAGAGGTGGTGGGGGTAGCGGTACTCTGAGAGACGTCAAGCTGTTTGCGGGCGTCCCAGTCGCTAAAGAATTGGGGGTCGATCTCGTCGACCACGGCGTCAAATACGGCATCGATGCCGTCGCCAGTTTTGGAACTGGTGGGGTATAGTTTGAGCTCACTAGCATCAGCAAACTCCTGCACTGAAGTATCGTCAGCCACCGCTACGTCCAGTTTGGTGCCCACAAGTTTTATGCGACACTGGTCGTGGAGCTTAAGCTGGTCGAGCCAGTAGCGAGCCAGCTCCAACAGTTCCTGGGGCAGGCTGAGATCGACACATATAAGGGCACACTTGGCGTTACGGTAGTACATCGGCGTGAGCAGCCGGTAACGCTCCTGGCCGGCAGTGTCCCAGATCTGGAGCTCGACCAGCCGGCCCAGACCCAGGGAGGTGTATTGGCGCGAAATGAAGGCGGCGCCAATGGTGTTGCTGACGTGGGGGTCAAACTCGTTGGTGGTGAAGCGGTTCACCAAAGAAGTCTTCCCCACCAGCAGCTCGCCCAAAAGCACCACCTTGTACGGCGGCAGCGGCAGGGGGTCCACCATTTGTGTCCCGTGCCCATACCATCATCGATTGCGATCTGGTGCGCGGGCCGCAGCTTATCGTCCTGCACACAGCCAGGTAACCATCGTGGCTAGTGGCGTCAGCGAGCGCGATGTGGGGTGAGTCTAACGATAGCAATTCAAACCCCGAGATGCCCTTCATTGCCAAAGCAACTTCGATGCATGGACGGTTGCGTACACGAGCAGTGGCGGCTACCATGCCGCCACACTCACCACCACCACTTAGTTAAACAATGTAGCCAACTTAGTAGAGGATATCTAACTGTTTCCCAGAGCTTCCGTGGGTATTTCACCTCTAGTGGGCCATGCCGTTTGTGCAGGAAGCCGAATTTCAAAGTCCGCACCTATACCAAAGAGAAATTTATATCGATTCATATCATCCAGCAACCGATCCACCAAACCACCAATGTCCTCCGCCGAACCTGAGGGATCAGGACTGACCAAAAAGCCGGGGAGAAAGCATGTGCTGAGGGCGTGTCTCGAGTGCCGCCGCCGCCACTTCAAATGTGACGGTACCATGCCTGTTTGCAACCAATGCTCCAAGCGCAACCGAGAGTGTGTGTTCGTCGAATCACACCGTGGTGGTAGCCGCAAGAAGGGTGTTCGCAAGGATAAGGCCAAGCTGAAACTGCTGGGAGTGCCTGATATCGAAGATATGGAGATTGTTGCCCAGACTAAAGAACAGATTAAGCAAGAGAACGACCAGTTGCTCACTCAGATCTACAAATTGCCCTGCGCCAAGGACCGTCTGAAGTGTAAGCTGCTTGATTGCCCAGGTAAGGATGTCGTCAGCGGCCGCCGAGAGCTTGACGAGGCCACCGCTACCCAGATGCGTAAGCGAATTCGTCTCGAGCACTCAGTGAAACAATTAGACTGCATGTTGCTGGAGAAGACGGCTACTGATGAAGATATCACTAAGGCCAAACAAATGGAATTCGAGCTCCAGTACCTGAACCCAGCCAATCTCATTGACATTCGTACCATTAACCATGACGACATTGTGCAAAACTACTACCGATTCTTCCACAACCGTCACCCGGTACTTCCGCCACTGACTGAAATTCAGCCATACTTGGATGTGGCCCCGGAATTGCTTCTCATTCTCAAGATCGTCGGTGACGGCCAGCTGCTGAGTCTCTACGCTAAAGATGTTGCTTTGATTCAGGACCGGTTATTACAAGTATGCAATGTGGTGAAGACGTCGGCAGCCAAGGATATCATTTCGGTACAAGTGCTTTTGCTTCTGCTGGTGGTCGCCCACATCTCTTCGCTCCATCAGCTTGGTCGCAAGTTTCGCGAAGCCTGCATTCACCTTCTTCTAGAGCTTCAGATACATAATCTTGACAGCCTGATAGATCAGGCCAAACTCCCACTTTACAAACTGGCACGAGTCAAGCATATTACTCGAAGTCTGATTGCCGACCTCGCTCGTCGGCTGCTTTGGGAAATTTACTTTCTCGACGTCATCATTGGCTCCGCTGATGGCCGTACTTTATCCAACTTGGCAAAGATCGATATTTCAACTGCATACCCACTGTATCCTCCTCGAGAAGTGTTTGACTATAAGGGACGAGCTGAAGCCACGTTATTGGTGGTGGAAGCAGTCAAGTTGAATTTAGAAATTATGAACAAACTCCCCTTCGAAACTACTATTGGTAGATTGAAGGCTGAGCTTTCTAATTGGGAGTTAAAGTTGCAGGACCCGCTGATGTTCGGGTGTCCTCCCCTCATTCTGAAGACGGGAGAGATTAATGAAGGCGTCCACCAGCTGACACTCATGTTCAACTATGCTAAGATCTTTGTCCACCGCCCTTTCCTGTACTTGTGGAAGATCAATAGTCCGCAAAACCCTCAATGTGGCGACGAAATCATGGAGGCTTCAGATATGCCCACTCAACTTAAGGCTGACGCCCGTGCTACTATTGAGACCCGCAAAACTATTGAGGCCGCCACCCTGGTGGTAGAGCTGTTAATCGATACCAACGCCGCCCATGTTTTAGAGCGCACACCGCTTTTCGCTTGCGCTCTTGCCCTTGCCGCTCTTGTCCACATTTCTGCGTACATTTGGATCGAAACCATTTTGGAGTCCGACGACGATGAACTTGTCCAGGAGAGTGGGTTGGGAGTTAACGAATTGGACGTTTACGTCGAGTACATCAAGTTGGCGCTCACTGCCATCTACCCCATCTCGCGCCACTGGATACTATCGGGCAAAGTGGCGAAACATATTCGTGACTCGCTCCAAGCGCTCCGTCCTGAGCTTTACGATAAACTCAAGCATCTGTTACCCCAATTGGAAGTGGCACTTGACCTGATGCAAGTACTGGAATCGCAAGCGAACCCTCAAGATAGCGAGTTCTCCAACCTGGCAGTGCTGTCACTGCAAGTGTCGCCGCTCAATAGTCATTTGAGCCCTCACTCCACCATTACTCCAAACAGTCTTACTCCGTCAGGATCGACTAAAGGATACAATAGTATGGGTGACACTGACGTTGTTGAGCCGATAATGCCCAGCTCTACTATCACTCCCAACCCGGAGATCGCTACCGTTCAAGAACTGTTCTTATTGGATACCAACAACCTCGTAAACCAGAGCGACGACGCCTTGTTTGAATTCAATCAATGGGACTGGGAGCCGGCGCCCGCGGCCAACTCTGGTTGCGACTGGATCGACCGCGCATTGCTCGACTACTTTGAAGGTGGCGAAAAGCCCACCAACATCGTTTGAAAACTGCATAACGAATATTCAAGAAACACGTGAATGAGACACGAAGACATGACGAGCACGACTTACCCCAGCATATCCACGTTTATGACTAATTTGTATAGGAGACGAATTATACGAGATCATCTGGAACAATAAGCCTATCATGTAATTATGCATTATCTATTGATACAATTTAGCCTTGTAAACCCAAGGCATTCGTGAATTGCGAGGCACCGCCGCTCTGTTGCATGTTCATCATGAAATCTTCAAGAATGGCAAACGCCGAGATCACCCCGATCAACACGGCGGCACCGACACCCAAACCACCGAAGAAGTCGCCCACAAGCGCCAACACGGTGATGGCAAACGCCCCGGACACCGCGGCCACAGGGATCACTCTCTGCAACTCCTTGGCCACCAGGACATCACGCTTACCCAAGATGGTAATGCTTTGTTCCTTGAATTGAAGGGCGATATCGCGGGGAGCCGACCCCGAGATTTCCGACCACTTGTTGGCGAACCACACCGCCAACGCCACCACCACAACCGAGAACACCACGGTGCGGATAGGGGAGAGGGCAGAGTTAACTAACGACGCCGACGCGGTAAGGTAGGACAAGATACCAGACACCGGCACCAACAAGTTGTTGTTGATGTCCAAGGCGTAAGCGCCGATGATGGTGCGAGTGAGGGCCAGTTCCAAGCCCAATCTTTCCAACGCTCTCACGAGGATGAACCCAAACACTTGAACATTACCGAGCACGGTGTAGGCAAAAAGAAGGGGCAAAGCACCAGTGTAGAGCAAGCGGATGGGGTAGACGTTGGCCATGCCTCTCATCTTAGTGGAACGGATGGGAATTTCGATCCGGAAGTTTTGGAGGAACACAGCAGCGAAGATGGCAGCAATGGCAACGTAGAAGCCAATGAAGTTGGGCAAGTACAACCGCGAGAACGACGCAAGAATCAGCTTGTACAACGCTTGAGGTTCTCTGATCTTGAAGTTGCGGAAAAGGTTGGTGAAGGCACCGTAAGCTTCAACCCGGTTCAGGTTGGCCAAGGTGAACGATTCCACACCGACGATCGAACGCACCATGTTGGTGGCGGCCTGAAGGGCAAGGAAACAAAGGATACCCGAACCAAAGGAGTAGCCTTTGTCGAAGATTTCAACCATCAAGGTAATAATGAACGACCAGCCCACCACTTGGCAGAAGATGGCCAAGTACCACGAGATCGACGCCAGCGGGTTCGAGAGCGACAGGCCCTGGATGGCGGAGTCGTAGTAGCCGGAGAAAATGAGGCCGGCGGCCATGGCGATCGAGAGGGCGATCGACGTCAACTTTTGCCCCGTTTGGAACAACTCACGGTCGTTTCTCAACGCCAAGTTGACGTTGACGAGGCGACAGCCGACAGCGACTTGCCAGAGGAAGCCGGCGGTGATCACTGGGAGCAACCCGAGCTCGAAAAGGGTGGCCTTTTCCATGCCGAAGATCGAGCGGAAGGTGAAGAACGGGTCCAGGATCAAAAGCGGCGCCGACGGCTTGAGCCCGTACAACGGTAATTGGCCGAGGAGGTAGATCATCCCTGACCCCACGGTAAACATCACCTTTTCGTCGAAGGGAAGCCCTTCCACCGGCACCTCCACTTCAGGGAGCACTGGCACGAAGAAGTTGACCAAATCAAGAAGACGGACTGGGGTTAGTAATGCAAATTGGCAATAGCGACGGCAGGTAGGGTGGTGTACTTACATCCGCTCATTCTGGCTGGCAGTGAATGTCGAACAGATTTTTTTCGCGCCGTGGTAACGATGGCGGGGGTACGAGCGCGACGGTAGAGGATATTCAAGGCGTGTGTGGGGTTAGTGAACGGGTAGACCGTTATTGTTACTCATGATAATGGACTCGATAATGAAGGTTAAAGTGTATTTTGGTAAAGTTATTTTCGTTTACGCAGTTGGCGATCATTTTATTACTCGTTTATATGGGGACAATCAGTGAGGATGGTCGTAGAAAACAAGCAGTAACTTTGTGATGAGTCACATCATTTCGAACACGTCTGTCTGTAAAGATTAACTTATATCAGTCACTTCCAATTGAGTCAAGTTACGACACAATCTCGTTTTTTTGTTGAGATTGATCACCAATTTACGGTGATGTGGTAATCTTTCTAGTGTGTATGTATGCAAGTATTTTCTATGACCATCTATCTACAGTATGCGTGCCCAAACGTCAGCGGTTGCGTTTAGCTAGTGACGCTGACACTGCTGCTCCGCGATACCACCGGGCCGAACCCCGAAAGCGTTTCCGTCAGCAGTTTGACTGCCAGCGCCGCTGCCCCCAACGCCGACCACTGGCTCAGCCACCCACGCGACTCTCGCCGGAGCCACACCTCGACGTCGCGGGTCACCCGCTTCACCTTATCAAAGTCTTCGCGGGCCATATACTTAAACATGTCGTCGCCGTAGAACTCTCGCACCACCAACCCCAGGGTGGTGCGGAGGTTTTCGTCTAGGTTCCACAGCGCCACGTTGTCATCGACATCGCCGATATCGTAGGGATTGGTGGCACTGTACCACTTATTGATTTTGTTGAGAAGAGTCTCCAGGGGCTGTTGGGCCCGGCGCGGCGTGACCTGGGGATCAGGCTGGTCGACAATGTCAACAAGGCCGTCCTCGGTGTCCTGGGTGTTAGTTAGCGATAATATGTCGCTTTCCTGAGCCTTAATAGGATTAAACAACACGTAGCTCTCGCCATCGACCAGGGTAACATCGATATCCTCATAGTCACTGAGGATACTCGAACACGTCTCCAGGGGCTTCACCTGCGACTTGTGCACTTGATTCACGTTCATGAGGGAAATCGGTTTAGACGTCAGAAACGGGAGAACACAACGATATTTGCCTGTATGTGTGGGAACAGGGGTTTCTTATAATCAGCACGCGCCCGCCGGCCCGCCATCGGCGCCCTATCTTTGCTCCTGGCGATAACGACCTGCACACAGATGACAGGGAGTGACTCGATCTCGGTGTGGGATCGGGCGCCCCGCCACACCCAACGCCACCACTGGCACGACTACTATGAGGGTACTGGCTTCCCCTCCTCAGGTCTAGCCACTGTGGCGAGCGCACGCCATATAAAGTGGGAAATATCCGGCAACGTAACTGCCAGTGTAACTGGGAGATAAGCCTCTCTAGCTTGCGCTGGATTGTGCCCCCCGGAATCAGGGTGCTCGGTTAGGCGACCCGGACCCTGAAACCCAGCAATAGGGTGACGGGAAAGTTGGGCAGGCATACGACACGCGGCGCTGCCAGATTTAGACACGTATTGTCTCTACGGGTTTTCGTTGACACATCAGATAGGGGTGAAAGACTAATTTCGTAATTTTTGAATAACATCAAGCATGTAGTCAGTAAAGTGTTCCATCATCACCTGTGTGAAGCGGGAAGAAAAAACGAGCGACCTCTTTATAGTCGATGGCCCAAAGGCCGGGTAATTTTTTTCTGGCGCGGGGCGACGTCACCGTTAGTCAGGGCTGACTGCGAGCCGCGGGTGCGACGTCGAACCCAGGTGAACTACTATCAAGTGATACAGGCATACCACCGCACGATGGCAGTAAAGGGATTGGGCGAACTCGATCAGCAATACGACGGCTCTAAGCTTCGCGTGGGCATCTTGCACGCTCGCTGGAACAAGAAGATCATCGACGCTCTCGTCCAGGGTGCCGTCGACCGTCTCAAGCAATTGGGGGTTAAGGAAGAAAACATCGTCGTGGAACTGGTGCCGGGGTCGTTTGAGTTGCCCTACGGTACCAAGTTGTTTAAGGAACAGCAGCAACGCAAGGGCACCCCGTTGGACGCGGTGATCCCCATCGGCGTGTTGATCAAGGGCTCCACCATGCACTTTGAGTACATCTGCGACTCCACCACCCACCAGTTGATGAAGCTCAACTTCGAGTTGGACATCCCCGTCATTTTCGGCGTGTTGACGTGCTTGACTGAGGAGCAAGCCGAGGCCCGGGCTGGGTTGATCGAAGGCAAGATGCACAACCACGGGGAGGACTGGGGTGCCGCCGCCGTGGAAATGGCCACTAAATTCAAGTAGGTAGAAGGCATATCCACCGCCAAATAAATACTTAAATCAAATAAACACTTAAATCCTTTGGGACGCCTCGTTGTATTGATCTTCAACGGATGTCTCACATCGTATTGTCGGCCCGATCAGCAGCCGTTGGGCCGGTTAAATCTTGCTTAAAAAATCGCCAGCGTTTCGCCGTTGCTAGTTGCCAAGTAGCACTCGACTTTAGAATGTGGTCACGGGCCCCGTTAGCCATGGCAAACAACCTTAACTGAAGCGAATAGAGCATGCCAGAGCAAACACTTGACGCCATACTATTGTGTATAGATGAGGGGAAGCGCCACGAACACTTGCGCTTGTATCACGCAATGCTCCCCAGCACGCGATCCTCCTGACACCGTGCCCACCGCTCCCGGTGAAGGTGGTATTGCTTTCGAGCCTGCCTAAACTCAGCAAGGAATTTCGGGTCAAGTTCGTCACTGGTTTCGGAAACCAATTGACGCAGCTGGCGATCAAGTGACTCAACTAAGTCGCCGTATTTCTTGACTAACAGCTCATTAGAGTAGCGCACCAACAATTGGTACTGGATCACCTGGAGACTGGAGAACTCCAGGTTGAGCCGTTGTAGTTCGGCCAATTTCTCCCTGATTGATTGTCCCACGTGGTCGTATTGTTCGATAAGTTGCTTGATCTGTTGCAACTTGGTGTTGTCGGCGGCAATCGTGGTCGCGTACTGGTCAAGGTATTGCTGGAAACTATCCGACAGTTGTACGTAGCCTTTCACCAACTCAGGGTTGGCCAAGAGCTCTTCCAACTGAGGATTGGGGAGGTCGGTGATGCTTGTGGGAAGTGGTAACAATGCCGTCGGATTGAACCCCATAGTGTTAGTCGCACACAGTTTGGTGCGGCAGTCTTAGCCAAGTAACTGTGGCTGAGCTGGGCAACAAAAGTGAGCTTGAAATATGGCTAAACCGCAAGCCGTTGACAGAATGAGTCACCCATACCACTCAATATGTTGGGAAAACCATACGACTAGCTTGAGACGACGAAATGAAATACAATGCTTGACTGTGAGCGAGAGAGTGGGTAAATGAGCATTGAGGATAGAGTTGATGTACGCTTGTTCATATTGAGGGGTTTCCTTGCAACACTTTGTCCACGAAGCATAGTTGAATACAATCCTTAATAGTCGTGAACTATTCTGTTGCGATAAAACTCAATCTAAGACACTTCAATCTCTCTAGTAACGCAAACTAAAAAGGAGATGCTGTCATGGCACATTCTTGACAACAATGGTTTGATTAATTTGATATACTATTAATGCTTAAATGCTGATAAACTATGCAACTACACAAGATCCTGCTTGAGTTTTTCCAAGTTCTTTCTGTCGCGCTCCAACTGCTTGCGCTCGATCCGCTTCATCGCCAGCACTCGGATTCTCTCCCCGTACTTGTAACACATGACGGGCCACCCAATCAACAACAACGCGATGAACCCGCTCATGGTGTTGGCCCAGCCATAACCCATTGCTTGGTACATCTTAGGCGCGAACAACGGGAACGTAAAGCCAAAGATGGAACGGAACATCGCCGCTGCCGCCACCGACAGCGCACTGAAGTTGATGATGACCTCAGTACCTTGCTCGTTGGTGGTTTTGTGAATCGACATGTCGATGAAGTACAGCTGACTCAGCTGGAACACACAGACAAGGCCAAAGGCAAAGAGCCCCAGCCCAATACCGGGCATGATCCAGTGGAGCTTCTTTTGCGCCGACCACCCGAACCAGATGAGGCCCACGGGGATGAAAAACGACGACACAATCAACATGGGAAGGCGGAACTCGGGCTTAGCGACGCCGTTATTTTTGGCCACCAAGTGGTTATACGTACGCCCAATGAGATAGGTCCACACAAACACCGCGAGCAAGAAGCCGACGCCCATCGGCAAGTACATGAGGCCGGTGATGGCGGCGTTGTAGCCGTAGGTCTTGTGGAAAATCGAGGGGAAGGCCGTGATCAAAAGATACATGAACCCGTACGTGAACGCCATAAGCAGGCCAAGCGACACAATCATGGGGTGGGTAAACAACAACATGAGGGGGCGCGTCATCGTCATCCACATCTTACCCCAGAACGTTTCACCATCGGTCAATTCGTAGATGGTGTGTAAGTTTTGGTTGCCAGTAGATTTGCGGAGGCGCTGAGCTTTACGCTTAAGCAACGTGGGAGCGTAAGTTTCCCGGAAGAAGATCGTGGCCACCACGCCCACAAACCCATTGAACATGCAGAGCACGTAAAATGTCCACCGCCACGATAACCCCAGGTTGACGATGAAGCCACTGATTAAAGGAGCAATCACCGGTCCCAAAAGCGGCGCCAACGAGTAACCGGCCAACGCGATATTGACATTCAACGGCCGAGCTTTGGGCAGGTCACTCTTCATACACATATCGGCAATGACCCCGGCACACACGTTCATGGGCACACAGCCAAAGAGACCACCAATGAACCGGAAAACCATCATTTGGGCCGTGGTATGAGAGAAGGCACACCCAAGGTTGAAGAAGAAGTTCATCCAGACCAGGACATCGAGCACAATTTTGCGCCCGATGCTATCATGCTCAGAAAGCGGAGCAATAATTAAGGGACCAATGGCCCATGCAAGAATCTGAATCGACACCACCATCAGCTTCACCACAGGGTTAGTAATGTGGAACTCGTTGGCGATATCGTCCATCGCTGGCGAAAGCATTGAGGACGTCATTGGGGCCACCAAGGCATAAAGCGACACAAACAAAATCATGATCCATTTTTTAGTCAACGACCAGTTGGCAGGGTTACGAGGGTCGTCAACACTGTCCCAAGTGATCAATTCAGGGTCAACGTCGACAAATTCTCCACCTTGTTGCTTGATATTAATGGTGGTTTCTTGGACGGGACCGGTGGGGATTTTCTCCAAATCAGCGGCGTCTTCCTTAATTGACTCGTAGTCGCCATCGCTTACAGCTTCATCGTCTTCTAATTCCTGGTTTCTTTGGATCAACTCCAGCAAAATGGTATTTCTCGAGGCCGCCCGTCTCACGGCGATGGCGGCGTCATCGAGGTCCCCGTAGATGTCTTTGACCAGGTACGCTCCCAACGACTCCCGGCGACCGCGTATCAGGTCAAACGAGCTTCGTAACAGGCTCCGCCGCCGAGAGCGTTCGGGTTGATCGCTTCTTTCGTAGTTTGCTGAAGTTAAGGGTACGGGTTCAAGCCCCAGCGAGTCGTTCGACGACAGCACCGAGAGCTCCTTGTCACACACCGACGCCTTCTCGTCCTTGTCACTCATAGTTTTGGGGAATTTAGTCGGGGGGTCGATGCCATTTTATTGCTGCAAATGTGACAAGCAGGGTGCTGCCGCACGCGTAGATTTCTCGGCTAGCGTCGGGGTGCCAGCCGTAGCCCCTTCCCAAAGAAAGCCCCACCTGGCGAAAAAGAAATGGCTAACGGACAGGATAACGCAATTAGACACCAAATACGAGATGGCTTTAATTATCCCCAATTTTGACGGACACATTTGTAGGTAAACGAGTCCATTAGAGCTAATCAGCACTATAAGGGTGTACACCGTTTGCGAGGCTGAGCGCGTCTCGGCAACTGGCGGCAGATCTCATCGCGGGTCCGAAATTATTCCGCGTCCATGAACAAAAGGCGCTTCCCGCGAGTTGCCGAGCGGGCTTCGGTTAGAGCAGGGGACAATACGAGTGTTCTCGATTAGTAAATGATTCCGTAGCTTATCGGTGCCACGCGACGCCAAGTACGAGCCTATTAGTCATCGATACATGGTGTAGACACTTGAATGAAGTTCAACTAATGTGAAAGCTCATCTCTGGCTGAAAGGGTTGCATTTTACAGATTGGTGTGATCTCATCACGGTGTTTATTTCCCATTAGAAATTTTTCCGATATTCTCATTTACGCAATTTCCGATACTACCGATGTCGTCACGAATTCCGTCACTTGTTCGATCCATGCCTTCATCGTGAGCCGCACAATGCCATCGCACGCATACTACGTCCATTAACCCATGAAAGTTGTTCCCGGCCAATACCTAGCGCCGCAAATAAAACAGGAAGGGGATGAGATAATAACATTCACTGCTGGTCCTGGGGCCACGGTAACTACAGTGCTGCGTCAAGGGGTGGATGTGCCGATGATTGTCGCCACCAAGTGTGGGGACATGAAGACTGAAGGACGCGAAATCCTGGTGCTCCTGACTCGAGAGCAAGCCGGGGTGGTCAAGACGATCTTACCCAAGGAAGGCGATGTGGTGATTGTGCGGATAACACGGACGCTGGCGAAACAGGCGTGGTGTGAGTTGGTGAGCACCCGCGACAGCACCAACATGCTCAGCGACGGCGGCATTGGCGCTAACGGATTGATTGCTCTGGATAGCGTACCTCCGGGGGCTGGCGCCCAGCCGTTGCTGCTGCTCCAAGCGGTGGCGCTGAGTGCGGCGTTTGGCGCCACTCTGAGAGACCTTGGTGAGCTGTATCGTGGCGTCATCAGAAGCCAGGATATTCGTAGTACTGACCGGGATAAGGTGAAGGTGGTGGAGCTGTTTCGTCCCGGTGATATTGTGCGTGCCACGATCATTTCCTTAGGTGACGGCAACCACTACTACTTGCTGACGGCTGCCAACGACTTGGGCGTGATTTTCGCCCGGAGCCGGGGCGGGGCTGGTGACCAAATGAACCCGGTGGACTGGGAACACATGATGGACACGCGTAAGGGCGAGGTCGAGCGCAGAAAGGTTGCCAACCCCTTCCGGGTATAACTTAGGCATCATGATGTAAGCTAATATGCTTGAAAGTTGTGTATATTTAGGGCTCTAGGCGTCTATTCTAATGAAGGAATCTATTGAAATTTATTGGAATCTATTGGTAGTCCTCCAAGTTATCGTTGAGGGGTTTGGGCAATTCGTAGCCCAAAGTAGTGCGGCCGTAAGTGATCCCACCTAAACGACTCACCGGTTTAAGCTTATTGATATCGACGACATTACCATCATTCAACACGTCGGAACGAATGTGGAATCTTATCACTTCTAAAAGCAACGTGTTCCCCAGCGGCTTGCCCGTGCGCTTCAGCTTCCACTCGTGGCTGGCAACAAGCTTACACTCCATCGAATACGCCAGCTCGGCGACGTGAGCCGGCTTCACCACTGTCAGCTTCTCGGGAGTGAGCCCACAGTATTTCCACTCGTCCACTTCGGGAGGGCAGTCCAACGCCGCCATGTTGGCTGCCTCTACCCACCACTCACTGATGATATTGATGGTACACTCTTCTGTAGCCAAGATGTTGTTGACGGTATCTTTAGCCTTCCCCTGGTTTTGCGAGAACCCTAACGTGACGATCGGCGGGTCATTATTGGCCAAATTAAAGTAGGAGATGGGAGCCAAGTTGGCGATGCCATCAGGAGACACCGATGACACAAACGCAATCGGCCGCGGCACCACACCGGAGATCAACGTCTTGTAGTTTTCGGGACCGGCTCTTTCCGCAGGATCAAGCTCCACTTTTTTGTGCCGTTTCCACTCATCGCTATTAGCGCCTTGGCCTAGCTTCCATTGCGGGTTGGGCACTTTGGTGAGGCCAAAGGTGGCGGTGGGGTCGAACTCGGGGCGGTGGGCCACCAGGGCTTTGAACTCGGAGTAAGTCATGCGGGACAAGTGGCGGACGGCGCCATAGATATATTTTCCCCTCATGAGTAGTGTGCCGAGCAAAACGCTTATCGGTGAGGGTGTGGCAGAGTGGCTTTTGTCATCATTAGTAACATAGTCCCGGGCCGAAAATTCGGACCGGTGATTACAGACAGCGACATTTTGATAATCGAATACAAAATACCTCAACGTCATTGATATAGATCAGCTTTGTTTTCTCTAGAATTGGGAAAAGATTAATCAAATAATGCCAACCCAAAATGATCTACCAGTATATTACAATCATAGTATGAAGACTATTGCTCAACGATGGACTTTTGCAGCTTCGTGCCGGACTTCATTCGTGATGTTTATCAAACATTTAAGGGTGCTTTCGATTCAAATGGTTATAGAGATCGGACTTTTCCATGAACATCGCACAAGAGCACGACTAGATGAAGATGACGAACTATCCCAAAATAAAAGTAAATGATAGTTTAAAAAGTACCAATATCATGAATGCAAACTGTTCAAATAATATATGACTTCTAGGGGAACTCATTGTAAGCGTCACCTTAAAAGAGAATTGCCCTGTATCCATATAGTGGCGTATAGGTTTGTCTATACGGAGTGCGACCACGGGAAATACGACGTACATGATGTCAGCCATACGGCTACCATGGCTTCGTATAAAAGTTGCCCCTCAATCGACGAATGAAATATCTTTTGTTCAACATCATTACCAATGGTCGCTACTGAACTGGCGCCGTCTACGATGAGTCTTGTGCCGTTTGCAATGGACGTTCTGGCGGCGAAGGTGGCGTGGCTTGAGCTGAACTTTCCCACCACGGTGGTGACAGAGCACGCCCAATGGACGGGTGAGCGTTACTGGGCCAACGGAATTCAAGTCGTCCCTCAGGACCCTGTGCAATTCCATTTACGGTTACAGTCTATCATGGTCACTGACAAAGAGCTCGTGGTATTGGAAAACTGCTTCCTCTTTAACCACCTTTTGTACAGCATGATATACGCTTTGAGACCGCAGCAATTGAAACTTTACTACGCGGATAACTTTTCGATGATTTGTGTGTCCGTCACCCAAGATTGGTTTGCCTGCTTCTCCTTGCACATTGGGGATATGAAGCCTCCCTCGTTCGCCGTGCTCTGCTTCGGCGAGGCCTTCGAATGCCCATGTTTCCCGTGTCGCTTTGAACATTATCCCGACACTTCCTTCCTGATGTACTGGCCCCGGCGGTGACTGTACTTGGTAAAGAGGGTGATGGGCATAATTTTATCCGTATGGGTTTGGTGGTATATTATTGATGGAATATCTTTTCTATGGAGTATTTAGGGTTTTATTTAGGACAGTAGTTAGTCAAAGACATCATTTTTCAATCGCTTGATTCGATGAAGTTGCGAAGTAAGAATAGTCGTATCTCATTGAATTTAAGGTAACTGTACGTATATGTCTAGTAGCCGTCGGCGCGGCCCATCTTGCGCCAGAAGTCACTGACGCCATGGTATTGTTGATCCTCTTCCAGCCATCTGATCCCGTTCATGGCACTAAGAGTCCCCAGCTCAAGAATGGTGTGATTGCGCTTACGCAAGGCGGCTTCAGCCTTTGGATAAAGCTCGTTGAGCACGGTTCGATTCTCCACCATCACCGCTTCAGGGATCAACTGGTGGTGAAGACGGGGATAGGCAATCGCCTCAAGCATGGTATAATTGTAGAAATACACTCCGATGATGGCTTGAAGCACCGCAGTGGGGATACGCAGCCCGCCGGCACAGCCGATAACCATCTCGGGACGTCCATGTTTATCAACGATGATAGTAGGCGACGTCAGGGACAAGGGACGTTTATGGGGCCGAATGAAGTTGTGCACTGAAGGAGTCAAATTGAACGAGTTGGGGCGTTGAGGCATGGAGAAGTCATCCATCTCGTTGTTGAGGATGATCCCGGTACGGTTGTCGTAGACCAAACTCCCGAATAAGAGATTGACGGTGGTGGTCATTGCCACGGAATTGTTATGTTTGTCGACCACTGAAAAATGGGCCGTACCCATCAGCAGGGCCATCTCATATTCGGGTCCATAAGAAGACCAGTCAAAAGTGTGGTCGTCGCTGTATTTGTTTTCGGCAAACACCGAGTCGATCCAAGCGTCCAGGGTATAGTTTTTGATGAGTTTCTCTTTGTAGACGTCTTCGGTGTCGCCAAAACGGGTTCTGATGGCAGCAAGCCACTTGAACGACTCGATGAGTTTGTGGAGATATAACAGCGGACCATCATTTTTGAAAACTCGTGTGAAGAACTTAAGTCCAGCAATCATCGCTAAACCCAGTGATACACCTCGAGCTGTGTACACGGTTTTCAGGCCTTGAGGGAAGTTAATGACGGTGGAAATAGGCTTTTCGACCACAACGTCGTAGTTGGCAAAGTCTTGAGCCACGATAAGCCCCCCCAGACGCTTAGCCAGCGCCACCATACCCTTGACGAGTTCACCATCAGGATCGTAAAAGATATCAGCAGATCCACTTTCAGCAATCTTCTCAAGCGTGTCAGCATAGTTAGGACGTTTGATCCAGTCGTCACGATGTAACATCGAGCCATCGTCGCGGAAGATAAAGTCCCACCCTTCCTTCAATTGAGGGGCAAGCAGAAACACCTGTTCGTTCTCAACTTGGAGGATAAGCTCAAACAACACCGAGCATGGCCATCCTTCCCGATTGAGCTTAATCACCGGTTCAAAGAGCTGTTTCCAGGTAAGGTTACCCGACGAGTGGTGTTGGTAGAGGTTCCAGAGCCCCTTCAATTCACCAGGGACGGCCACTGCTCGTCCCCCGATGATACTGTAAAGAGGGAACTCATCGTACATGTGCTTAGAAGCAGCTTTAGGGGCAGCTTCCCGAGCATCAATGGAAATCACATCGTCACCGTTCTTGGAAAGGATAAACCCGCCACCACCAATCCCCAGTGAATGAGAATTGACTGAGCCAATACACAAGGCAACAGTAATAGCAGCGTCGGCAGCGTTACCTCCCTGACGAAGGATATCTTTGCCCATAGTCGAACAGAGGGGAACATCACAGGCGACCATTGCCTGGCGGCCGCGAGCCACATGTTTCGGGTCAGGATTAATTGTCGGTTTCCCGAGACCATCACGCAATGGATCGGACTCAAGGTGAAGCAGTAATGCCTGGTAAGGGTCGAGTTCTCGGATCGGATCGAGGGGAACGGCTGGAGCCGGCCCGGTGGCGAGCCGGTAGCGGTAGCTGGCGAGGGTGACCAACGCCACGAGCCACACGGCGAAGTAGAGGAAGCGTAGACGCCACGGGCGCCGGGAAGGCGCGGGTTTTGTCATGGTTATTTGGTGGGTGGCGGTGGTTAGCAATATACATACTTACTAATCTCCAGCGTTATCGTGCCTCGGCTGTCTGCAGGACGGGCATCCGCTGCTGGCGCGCAGCCACTTGGTCAGCGATGAATTGCGGGGGCACCCCGTCACTGAAAGCACTTCGCCAGTGGTGGAGCGGGGCAAACGCGTTATCTTTGTTTTCAAAGTCAGCCACTTTCTCAGTAATATAAGCGTTGGAAGTGCCGATAAATGTGCCGTAATGAAGCACTTTCTGGTTCAATTTAGGTCCACCGACTAAGACAAACTCCACTGGTTCGTTACCGTTATTAGTACCCTCAATGACGTCGCCACCATCGTTAAAAAATACGTTGGTGTGAGGCTTTATCGTCTGTGATTCAATATCAATGGTGCCATCACTGAAATTGTATAAGAAGTAACTCCACTCAGGGTCAACTTCTTGAGAGAACTTCGCCTGAGGTTGTACGGTATAATGGTAATAATCAAGTGGTATTTTCACTAACGGACGACGGTGCTCGATGCCCAAAGCTCGACCACTGATGATTTTAACCTGTATTTGACCGTCTTCACTGGTGGCAGTAGGGTATTCCCAGGCTCTGAGATCGCGGTATTCAGGATCAATATCCTTAAGGTCTTGAGGTAAATCAACCCATAATTGAATACCTTTGACCGTTTGGTTATCGAGATTCACCGGCATCTCGGCATGGACAATGCCTCTCCCCGCAGTCATAAACTGGAGGTCACCGGGGAAGAGCAATCCCTGGGACCCCGTGAAATCTTCGTGAGCCATACCTCCGCTGAGCATGTAAGTAATCGTTTCCATGCCAGCATGAGGGTGCCAGGGGAACCCGCCTTTGGCGGAGGACGGCTGAACGATGTGGTCACACGCAAGGAACGGGTTGAACATCTTCAGCGTCCGCATGCCGATTGAGCGGTAGACGTGGGCACCGACGCCCTCGGGGATCCAGGAAGCGTCGACTAAGTGTTTTATCAGGCGTAACATCGGTGATAATGGTGGCTAAACTGGTGGCTAAACTTGTGGCCGTTTGTCATCGATTTGTCACAAAGCTGAGGGTAGGGCTCGTAACGGGGGAATATAGTAATCAATCAGCCATAGCCTATAATGTCAAATGATGGATGCAAATGACTTAACAATATCTTGATATCTGACGTTGAAGCTACTCAATTTACAACGTCTGATCTCTTTGATGCGTTCGGAGAGTTTCGAATTCCTAGTCATCCTTTATGATGACAAATCTTAAAATATGGAGGCTAGACTACTGCTGCCTAGATACTTAAAACTCATTTCAATACCGTCCATTAAATACATACACGCGGGACGAAGCGCCGCTGAGCTTTTGAGCTAGCTGTGGCGCTAGCTCAAAGTTATAGGGGACTCCCCTAGGCGTGGTGCTTGCGGGGTTCCACGACCAACTGGTCGAAGGTGTACATCTGCGACACCGCCGCCTGGCGCTTCAACATCGCCAAGTTGTCGATGCCGTCGTTGTAGGCGGCGACCACCGCTTCGCCGTTGAGGGCCTTGTTGGCGCGGAAGGCGTCGTTGACACGGCGCACCGCGTACGAGCGGAAATTGTAGTTGTCAAACTTGTAGGCGTGGTGGAGAAGATCTCTGTACAACGTCAATACCTCTCTTTTGCCGGGCATGGTGGTGGTTAGGGGGTGAATTAAAGGGGCGAAGGACTTGGAGGGTGGTGGAGGCGGAGATAAATCAGCCCGCACTTTTTTCCTCGGCTGTGTGCAGGACTCAGTCCGCGAGTCGCTGATGGCGGTGGGTGTGCAAATCCGTCAGTCCAGTGGAAAATTTCTCGAACTATCCGACAAAACGGGATATTTTATTCATTAACACGTAATTAAACCCCCTCGGCCTTGGCTTCTTCGTCGACAAATTGGGACAAGTCGGCGGCGGAGAACTTCTTCAGCCGCTTTTGCTTCTTCGCGGTGGCGTCGGCGACCATCTCCTCGAAGATCCGCGCCTCCTCTTCTTCTTCGGGCGTCCGTTGCACTTTACTCAAGTGCTTACCCAACCACAACAAGGCGTTGGCCTTGGCCAACCGCTCTTTCCGCGACAAGTGTTTGTTTTGGAGGACGACGTCACACACCTTGTTGAGAACGTCGGTGACCTCGAACTTCGACAGCGCCCAAGCCGTCGCCAAGAACTTGCCCATGATGTTGCGTTCCATCTCCATCTGGTGGTAGCGCACTTCGTCCGACAACTCTATGCCTTGTTGTTGCGCCAACTCGATCTGTTCTTGCTCCTTCACCATCTCTTCGAGGGCCGCCTGGGCGTTCAACGCCGTCTTGAGGATCGAGAGCCCGTTCTTGACGGTGTTGGTCTTGGTCTTAACCGACGAGTAGAGCTTCAGCACCCCAAACGTCTTCATCGAGTGGATGTTGTCGTGGGCCTTGTTGGTGTAGACGTACCCGATCAAGTGGAGGAACTGGAGCCCGAACGACTCCTCCTTCATCTCCTGTAATTCGAGGTCTAACTTCTGGACGTATTCGGTGACGGCGGGACCGCCCGCCTTCTGTGCGTCCAAGTACTTTGTAAGGCGCTGGTCGAGCTCGGCGGCGAGCGTCTCCACCCGTTTCTGCTTCTCCTTGCGCATCTCTTCGTGCAACGCGTACATCTTCTCCCGCTGCTCCTTAGAAATCTTCTGCTTCTTCTTCTTGTTGATTTCCTCGCTGGTAAGAGTGCCGCTGTGGCCGATCTTCAGCCCCACCTTGTTGTCGTGGCCGTGCACCTGGACGTGGGTGCCGTCGGCGCCGTCGGCCGCCTGTCCCGGCTCTTCCAGCTCCTCCATGATGTCGGCGGTCTTGCTCATGTCCTTAAACATCAGCAACTCGCCGATCCACGACTTGAACAGGTCGCCGCCGAAGATGGCGGTGAACATCTCCGCCGGGTCAATGTCGGCCTGCCCCGCCTGGGCGGTCTCCTTCATGCCATCCTCACCCAATTCGTCGTACAACTTACGCTGTTGCGGGTCCTTCAACACGTTGTAGGCCTCGCCCAATTCCTGGAACTTTTCCAGCGCATGGGGGTCGTTGGGGTTCTTGTCCGGGTGCAACCGGATCGCCTGCTTACGGTAGGCCTTTTTGAGCTCGACGTCGGTGGCGGTAACTTCGACGCCAAGGAGATCGTAGTACTTCGTGTCTTTCACCATGGCGGAGTTGTCGACAATTGCTTCGTGGGGCTATCACGCGGAAGCGTAGGCGATGATGGCGGTAATCACGACTCCCTCCGGCTATGTGCAGGACACATTGAGCCACCCTCGGCTTCCTCTGGATGGTTGACATTTTACTAATGGCAGTCCGCAAGAACCGAGAACGTGGCGGATTGCCGCCAATCACGTAAGCAATACTCACACTGCCAACTGCTTGCATTTGCCGTTTACTAAGCCGTGCCACGAGCCACCCGAGACCGTATACTTTTTTGACGTCCGTCATTTTCTCGGGGTAACACTCGCGATGACGTCGTAGTCTCCGTCGGAAGGACATGCGCCGGCTAACTCCACCCATCACCAATCATGCGTCCTGCAGGTAGCCACAGGGAAGTTTTTCGACTCTCATCGATAACCGTCCTGCACACAGTTATCGACAAAGGTATTTTTCGACATTCATCGATCAAACTTAGCTAACAATTTAATTATCACCAACTATGCTCCAATACAACCCGGTGATACACCCCAATCCCAAGGGGAAGCGATTAAAATTTGAACCGTTTTTACGCAAAGAATACGGGCTCGGCCTCGACCCCGACCGCCCCATATGCCAGTTCTTCATCCCGCAAAAGGGCCCGCTGCTGTGCCCCAACGGCGTCAATTGCCCTCATAAACACGTCCCGCAAATGTATCTGAACAAGATCGTGTGCAAGCACTGGTTGCGGGGTCTCTGTAAAAAGAACGACCACTGTGAGTTCTTGCACGAGTACAATCTCCGAAAAATGCCCGAATGTCTTTTCTACCTGAAGAACGGGTTCTGTACGCAAACTCCTGAATGTTTATACTTGCACATTGACCCTCAACTTAAGATTGCTGAGTGTATGAGCTATAACCGTGGTTTCTGTCCCGATGGGCCTGAATGTACTAAGCGCCACGTCCGAAAAGTGATGTGTCCGTTGTATTTAACCGGTTTCTGTCCCAAGGGTCCCGAGTGCGAGTTTGGCCACCCTAAGTTTGACAACATCACCCCGCGTATGAGAATCCGGGCCGAGAAGCCGGTGGAGAAGCCAGACGAGAAGCCAGAGCAGGAAGCGACCAACGACAAGAAACGCCCCGCTTCTGAAATGCGGTCGCCTCCGTCCAAGCGTAGCCGCCACTAAAACTCTTGTATACTCCATTTAATGACTTACGAACGACGATAATGAGAAAATCACTTTCAGTCTTGAACTTCACTTGTAGGAGTGCTGCTGACGTCGATCGTGCTGATAAGGCCAAATCTCCACGAGAAGAGCCGTGCGTCCGGTGGGCCAGCGGGCCCCATGCTATCATGGGAGTGGCATAATCGGTGCCTGCGGTACATGCTTCCGAAGCCATCGCTGCCACCTGAACAAAACGCTTAGCGGAGAAGCAACGGTCTCGCCTCCGCATGCCTTAAGCTGTACGTGCTGGCTTATCGGGGCGTTATGAACGTCACCTTCCCCACCTTTTGTTGGTTGGAATCGTCGGGCTATCTGCGTCGGGGTTCGATTTAATTGGGAGAGTAATTCCTTCCCGCATGGACTTGTCAAGCGTCTACCCCACACTCCGAGGTTGACTTCGGGCATCCCCGAGCAGCTCCAGTGGCCAAACATGAACGCCAAATCATCAGATGCAATACCTAATATACTATAATCAAGCTTTTATACATTTTATAATTAATTAACAATGTCCTTTAAGTAGTTATTCCTCATTGTAGTCCAATTATGGGTGGGGTACACGGCTGAGCACTACCTGCAGGCCCACGCACCCCGACGTAGCTCTTCGCGGAAAATGGTAGCCAATTCCGTGTGCATTATCGTACCTGTCGATAACATGCTCCACTCCCCATCGTCGATGGTTTATAAATCCCATTGAACCATGGAGCACATGGCATTGTCAATCTTCTTTGAATGACAGCCTCGTTTGCCTCACCCACTCCATCCAGTAATGAAAAGCACAATGCTGCCATCGACGTGAATTCTGTCGACGAAGACCCTCCCCAGCTCACTACCTTCCAGTCGCCGATCACGGGGGAAAAAGTCGTCGCCGACCAGGCGTTTGAGCTTGCTCAGCAGACCGGCCACATCGAATTTACCAAGGAAGAAGACCGCAAGCTCCTTCGCAAGATCGACTTGTGCATCCAGCCGTTTATGATCGCCGTGATCATTTTGCAATACATGGACAAAACCACGACCACGGCGGCGTTGATGCTTAACTTCCGTGAGGCCTTGGGAATGACAGGCGACATGTACCCGTGGGTGGCCTCGTCATTTTACTTGGGCTACTTGGTGTTTGCTTTTGTCACTTCTCGCTGTCTCCAGAGATTCCCCTTGTCTAAAGCACTTGCGGTATTCATCTGTTTATGGGGGATCGTGCTTACCTTGGAAGCAATTCCCAACTACGCTCTGTTCATCGTATGGCGTACGGCTTTGGGGATGTTTGAGCTGGCGGTGCTTCCTGGATTGCTTTTTGTTGTTGGTCAATACTACCGCAAAGAGGAACAACTTTCTCGGACGACGTTTTTCTACTGTATGATGGGGTTGGGTAACATCCTTGGTAATTCATTTGCGTACGGTTTGTTTATCCATCAAGACACTTACGCTCTTCCCGCGTGGCAAGTGTGTTTCATTACCATGGGTCCCATCACCATTGCCTTCGGTATCTTTTACTACTTCTTTATGCCTGACACTCCCGCCAATGCCTGGTTCTTGAACGAAAGAGAGAAAGCAATGGTGGTGGAACGTATTCGTGATAACCAACAAGGGTTCGGTAACCCTCAATGGAAGTGGAGCCAGTTCAAGGAGGCCATGCTTGACACCCAGACGTGGTTGATGTTCTTGTTTGGCTGCTGCAACAACATTGGTAACGGTGGGTTGCAGAACTTCTCGGTGCTTTTAATGAAGGGGATGGGTTTCGACTCCCGCCACCAGATCTTGATGAACATGCCTCTTGGGGCGATGCAGATTGTCGGCTCGTTGGTGTTGGCCTACATTGAACGTCTTGTCAAACTGAGAATGACTGTCGGCACTTTAGGGGCTGGCCTCTACTTGATGGGGGTGTGCATGTTCGTCTACGGTCCCAACAACGCCGTCAAGTACGCCGGTTACGTGTTCACTCCCATCTTACTTTTCCCCGGTGCTTGTGTATTGTCATGTGTGGTGCTGAACGCTGCTGGCCACACCAAGAAGCTCACCTTGAACGGGGTCTCTTTGCTTGGCTATTGTGTCGGTAATTTAATTGGCCCGCAAACCTTCTTGACCAACGAAGAACCTAACTATCCCACGGGTAAGACCACGTTGATGGTGACTCTGTCGCTTTCGGTGTTCTGGATGCTTTCGCTTTGGTCGCTTTACCTCTACCGTAACTGGAAGAAGGAGAAGTTGGTGGGCACGGAAGTGTACGAAAAGTTCAAGGCGATGGACAACGTCGAGTTCGGCGACTTCACCGATAAGGAAAACCCATTGTTCAGATACTCCTGGTGATGATGCTATTACTGTTGAGTTAAGGATTGCAGTTGAACTGCGACTATGTAATTTTGAAATATAAAAGATCTTCATTTGCGATACTGCCGTAACTCCTTCCGTTCCTGCGGCGTCAACACCCAGTTTATGCCTAACTCCTCGTCAAACTCACCTTCCTGACTGATATGAGAAATTGACTCTTGGTACTCGTCATCATCCATGCCCACCAACAACACAATTTGAGTGACGCGTACAAACTTATCCCGTAAGTAGTAGTTGTCGCGGCACACTTGGTTAATGAGATGAGACATATCACGTTCCAATTTGAGGGCGCCAAGATCGTTGATCTTGAATTTGCGCAAGTTGTTGAGAAGCTTCTTCTCGATAATGTTGGAGAGATTGACCACCAATAACCTGAGAAGCTTGTCGAATATAAGCTTGCGATGCAAAACGCGGCTGTAGGGGTTGATCAAACCGTACCAGGCGATGGAGAATTGTTGGTATCTCACGGCATTGAGATTCTCGTCCTCAATATCAGGTGCTTGTTCAGGTAAGAATTCGGTGACCAACGTCAATAGCCTCAGCTTGATAGATTGATTATAAAGGTTGACCAATGAGTCACCAATAATTTTGGTAGCGGTAGTGGTGAACGGGTCCATAAAGTCGTCCTTCAAAGCTAAGCGCATCATTTCCTCCTCTTTCGCCAGCGCATAATACTTGGGTAGTTCAGCAATGATATTGTTCACAACTTTTTGTAGGTATTCTTCCGCCATCGCAAGGGAATTGAGGTAAGTGATAAAATTTGAGACCTTGACGTTGTTAGCGGTAACAGTGTGCATGGGGTTTGCGGCGGCAGTGGCTTGGTTGACGGCCATAGCCGTTGATGAGTACACACTGTTCAATGCAGTGGAGGCGCCTCTGAAGAATCCCATTGCCGGTTCAGGGGTTGCCAGACGACTTATACCAGCGACACCGGCCTCGGGCGCCTCTGGTTCCACAAGACACAACCCTTGATTGTATCGAGGACCATTATCGTTGAGGTTTTTGATGAAAAAGCCGTTGACATAGTCAGCATTGAGCGTTTGCGTCACGAACAGAATGAACTTCTTGCCCGTAGAAGTCAATGCCGAGTTGACGCACCCCCTTATAGTGGTGTTGAACACCAAGGTAACGTCTTCTATCACTGAAGATACCGGTAAGTCGCCCGGTTGTTGTATTGGTGTTTCGTCCCCCAATTTGTTGCGAGGATCAACTTGTAATAACGGATCAAGCGGTGTGAGCTCTTCGATGGTAATGGCTTTTTCGAGAGACCGGCGAAAAAAGTATTGGTATAAAATTTCGTAAGCTGGTAGAAGCTTAGTGTTGATTTTCTTGGTGACATTAGACTTGTCCAACACCCCGGTGTCGCCATCCAAGTACTTTGTGGTAACAAATCGACAATAGAGCGACCAGTGGTGAAAAATAGTGGAAAACTCAGTCACTAAGTCGCCCACCGTGGTTAGCGGGATCAATTCCATTTGCGGTTCAATGGTGCTGTACTCACCTGCACTTTTAAGCTCTTCTTGACGTTTGGAAAGTAAGGGATACCGGTACTCCTTGACGTCATAGAGACACTTATCAATGCGACGATTATCGTAAAAGGTATCAGCGATGGTACCAATTTGGGCGTCGATCTCCCCTTGGATCTTTGCAATCACCTTAGGCATGGCATTGCCGTAGTACTTTTTGACCAAGGCTGCGTGTTGACTCAACATTTGACTGATGCTTTCAAAGAAATTGATGAGGATTTGCGAGTACATTCCTGGTCGTTCAGCGGCTTGGGAGTTGTCCACCACCAGGAGGAGCGTCTTCAGGGTATCGGTGATGATACGAGAAATGAATTGGGAGTAGCATGTAAGCCCCACGTCGTGACAACCAATCAAAGGGAACATTTGAAAGTTCTTTGTGAGTTCAGTGACGTTACGAGACTCAGCAGCAGCTTCAAAGCGCTGTTTGAACACCGCACAGAGTTGGTTCGTCCACTTTTCAATGACGTCATTGGGAAGTTCGGGAATCTCTGTCAGCGGTACCACTGCCTCGGCGTATTCACTGGTAATGATCAGAGAGTCAACGTGGTTAAGAATCACCAGTATGCAATGAGCGCCCTGTTCGTAGAGTCCATGGTCGATGGCGTAAGCAGCCTTGTTGATGGTAGTCTTTAAAAGCTGGACTTTCTCGACAAACTCGAGTTTTTCGCTCACTTTAGTGATCTCGTCGTCGAGCGCTTTCACCTTGATGGTAAGCACACCCCCCAACTCACTGGCAGCGCCAAACTTGTCGGCGAGCGCCAGAGTTTGACGCTTGGTGTAATTGAGCTTGGTACGCGCGTATTCGACCCCCAGAAGCTCCTGCTGGTGCCTTTTCAGCTGGACAGAGACAAACGAGGCCGCGGCGTCGTCGACGAGTTCGAGGTGGTCGTCGATGGCATCGATGAGGTTGACGAAATCCGAGGGAGCCGCCAATTGGGCATATTGAGCCTCGATGGCGCTGGCGGCTTTATTTAGTGCTGCCGGCTCCAAGAGATCATGGTTCATAGCCACGGTGTCGGTGAGTTTTTCGCGCCGCACCGACATCGACAACTACACGTCGTGTTTGGTACTACGAAGACGAGGTCAAGAAAACGATGCCATTAGCGCAATGAAAATGAATATGATTTGCTATTATGGGCTTAATCAGCACGTGGTCATAGTGTGACAATCGTTGAAATATCCATTTGCAATTCTTGGTGGTATAAATTTTGCAAGTGAGACACCTTTCTTTCACAATCAATCTTTACAGCATATATGCCAGTTTCTCTCTCAGTAGCCATTGTACCACATCGTTGGTGATCATCCTCAATGCCTCGTAAGGTACTTTTCATAATCTGCCTGTAGGCTTTAATTAAGGTATGGATAAGAAAAAGTGGGGCACAAATTGTGGGGTGATTATAAATTTTAGCAAATACCTTCTTTTTGATCAACTCAAGAGGCAATATTCAAGCTCAAATGACCGCTACGACCCCAGACAATCCTAATTTCCAGCCTTGTGTTGTTGAATCTCCCAGATTCCAAAATCTTTTGCAACGAGTTGTTGATGAGAATGATCGCCGTACTTTGATCGATATGGTGAACGATGCTGAATTGTTAGCTTGGGAGCAGTCGAGAGTTTGGCTAGCTAAGAAGCAAGCTCCGTTCAGTCATATACTCAAATCGAGTGGGTCAACTGGACCGAATATGACACTTAAAGCTGAGGAAATTGCTAGAGTCGACCAAGAGATGGCAAAGTTGATACGGGAATACGTTCAGAAGACCGAGTCGATTGACCCAAAGGCTTATCCCACAATGGCCATTTCGGATGATCGCAAAATCGATGCTCGTCGTCCTGAAATCGATCAAGAACTCAAGGCGGCTGATGCTGAATTCTCTTGCCGGCTTTTGACTTTGATCACTGGGATCGAAGGGTTCAACCCAGAAATTGCTCGTACGATCGAAGTGGGGTTTGCCAAGATGGATCAAAATGTTAAGACAACCTTGGCTGAGACAAATGCAAAGTGCACGCAACTATTCGAGGAGAGATTACAGACCACCAGCATTCCTCCACCGACCATCGAGGAGGCGATAAAGGTTTTCAACGACGTAAGATTAGAGGAAGTTGGTCCGTCATCTTAGAAGTAAAGAGCTGGTGATGGTATATTTTAGTGCATAGTTATCGAAGCATCGTTCGATGGTTCACAAAGTCATGCGAAGACACAAAGCTTTGTTAATGTTGTTCTTAGTTTTCTAACTTCATTGGGTAAACTACTCTTTCTGAATAGCTGTATCGCTTGACTTTGTCTCACTAGCTTGGAACGCCTGTCCCTTCCACCAAATTATTCCTTAAAGTGGTTGTCGCAGAGTTTCGTATTGGCACGGGTGGAGAATGTAATTGTCAGCTCACAGTCGCACACAATAACATGTACCACGCACATACCTACATTCGTATCGGTGGAATGTCCACGGCAACAACAGCATCTGGACCCGTAAGTTCTAGGAACATTCCAGAAGGTGAATGCAGTCAACTAGTAAGTACGACTAACGCAGGGATGGGAGGGGAATCGGAAGTAAAAAAAAAAAAAATAAGAGTGAAAAAACTAGGTTCATTGCCTCAGGAGTACTGGGCATGGGGAATGCTTTGTTTAGCAAGATATAGCCAGGGGGTAATGGCATGGCTGTGCCGAAAATCAACCAGCAAACGTGGCAATTGTTTGCCTCTGCAACGTACTGAGAAACCCCACGTATAACTCTGCAAAAGTAATGCCTACAGTGCAGCCTCCTTTGCCACCACTTGGCAAGCCACTTTGTTTGCTGCTGTCTCTTCTTTTTTCTACGAGGTTCCATTGGGTTCCACCTCCAACACGGGCGCTGAGATTTTCGTGGATCAGCGCCCCAAGCGCCAGCGCTGGCGCGCGTTTGCACTGCCGAGTTACCCAAGCGGGCAATCCCCCAAACATGACTAAGGCACCGTTTCACCGTGATGGCGTATGAGACACATCGGTGGTGGGGAATGTGTTGGGGGCGCTGGCCACGTGCCCGGGTGGCAACCCATATGGGAGCATCAGACAATTATGCCTACGGCGTTGGGATATTTACGAACAGCCATCTG